CGTCATCCCTGGCCGAGATATCCCCCCTCCCACAATCTCGTTGTCGCCACGCTGGCGAATCTTCCACTGCAAGTGGTCCAAGAGGTGAAGTGGCCCAAGTGGCCCACAATATCCTTGTACTCGGTTTTGCGGTACTGATCAGTAATCTAGAAGTGAAGTGACACCCCACATTTTGTTTCACATCATTTCTGCTTCATAAAAAATATAGAATATAATAAGACCCGGGTATTATACAGGATTTTCCGTTGAGAAGACCCCCCCCATTGTTTTCTGGTGGTTTTCATAATACCCTAGGGTGTTTTATCCGGGAGAATACGGTATAAATACCACCCTTTTATTCGAATAGCGGTTTACAAGCAGGTTTCACAAGACAACCCACATGCCTACTAGTAGCATCACCATCCACCTGGCACTAGAGAAGCACAGCCATAGGCACGCAGCTTGTAGCAAGAACCAGGCTTGCTTAGGCGCAAACACTCCCATGCACATCCCCTCCCCATCCATCCCTCACACCTCCTTCCCTCCTCTTTCTAGATCCTACCCATAAGCCCTGATGCAAATACCAACGCCAATGCCACTGCCACCAACCCCCCAGCATGCCCGATGCAAGAAGGAGGCGGCGACTGACCGAGCGACCACTTGATAGCTTAGGGTTTCTTGGGTGCAGAGGGTGTAAGGCCAGGGACAATGAGGCCAATGCCTCTGCCATTGGACCGGTCGTACGTGCACGTTCCGTTGGGAGAGCCGGCGTAGCGGCACACTCCGTACTCCTTGGGGCGTTGAGCAGCAGCCATGAGGCTATTCGCGTACCTGCGGTTGTTGCATGGGTTCGGGGTTTCGGGTTTAGGGGTTTTGGTGTGGGGTTTCGGGTGCAAGAAGTAAGAAGGGGAGGAGCATGTCTTGGAAGCGGAGGGTGCGTCATTGCATGGCTGCATGAAAGCTTGATTGCATGGCTGCATGAAAGCTTGATTGATTGCATGGCTTCATGAAAGCTTGATTGCATACGTTTGGCCATTGGGGGAGCCGTAGGTGGGCAGGTGCATGTTGCGGAAGCAGCGGTTGCATCATGGTGAGGAGTGAGAAGAAGGGGCAGCACGACTGCATGAAAGCTTGATTGTTTGCTTACGTTTGGCCATTGGGGGAGCCGTAGGTGGGCAGGCGCATGTTGCGGAAGCAGAGGGGGCATGATTGCATGGCTGCATGAAAGCTTGATTGTTTGCATACGTTTGGCCGTTGGGGGAGCCGTAGGTGGGCAGGTGCATGTTGCGAAAGCAGCGCCAGCCGCGGCAGTAAGGGCAGCCCGGGCAGGTAGCATCCGCTTTGCAGTTAAAGCCATTCTTGGGGTGAGGCGCCGTGAAACGGCAGGTCCCTGGGGGGGAGGGAGGGAGGGAGAGGGGGAGAGGAGGTTGAGTTTGAAAGGGCTTGAGTGAGAGGAGGAGATGGAAAGCACTTACAGTAGCCCAGTGGCCCAGTCAAAGGTTCCCAGCCACTGGTGGCATTGACTGACATTGACTGACGAATACCAAAGATGCCTCGCGACTAAAAGACATACTTACAGAAGCCCGTGGCCCAGTCGAAGGTTCCCAGCCACTGGATCTTCCTGTTGACGTATGTGTAGGTCGGTCGGCAGGAGGAGAGGGAATTTTGAGGCGTCGTGAAAGACAAAAACTTACAGAAGCCCGTGGCCCAGTCAAAGGTGCCGCGCCACTGGGTCCTCAGATTGACGTACGTGTACCAGGTGCCGTTCTTGGCCTTCACCGACATGCCAAACAGGGGGTGGAACCTGAGGAGGGGAGGGGGGGAGGCAGAGGGGGAGAAAGGGAGGGGGAAAGGGGTGTCTAGCCACTGGTTCTTCAGATTGACGTACGTGTACCAGGTGCCGTTCTTGGCCTTCACCGACGTGCCAAACAGGGGGTGGAACCTGAGGAGGGGAGGGCGGAAGAGGGGAAGGGAGAGGGGGAGAATCTGAGGGGGGCGGCGAGCAGAGAACGGCAATGGGCAAGAGAAAGCGCAGGGAAGGACTGATGTGATGCGCGTGGGGTGATGGACAGATAGTAGGCAGAAAGGCAGAGAGGGCAGAGAGAGGGCAGAGAGAGGGCAGAGAGAGGGCAGAGAGGGCAGAGAGAGGGCAGAGAGAGGGCAGAGAGGGCAGAGAGAGCGCAGAGAGGGCAGAGAGGGCAGAGAGAGCGCAGAGAGGGCAGAGAGCGCAGAGAGGGCAGAGCATGCATACTTGGGGACGTCATAGGGGTAGAAGCCGAAGGGCGTCGAGTTGTTGGTCCGCGGGCTGGCCTTCCACGCAGGCACGCCCGCGAGCTTGCGCCCCGGCGCGTCCGTCCCCTTCGCCCCCGCGGCCGCGGCCGCGGCCGCGCCCGCCTCCATGGCGGCGACGAACTTCTTCACCTCCGCGGGCGCGTCCGCGGGGAGCGGCTGCGGCTGGAGCGTGCGCGCGAGCTCCATATCTTGCCCCTCTAGCGCCAGGTCGAACAGCGCGCTGATCGGCGAGCTGGTATCGGGGAAATCGGCGGGAACGTCGGGCACGTCGGGAGCGGCGGGGTTGGCGGGAGTGCCGGGGGTGGCGGGGATGGTCAGGTCGTCTATCGCCTCTCCGGCCGAATCCGCCGGCGGGTTGTCCGCTGGTCCGGCGCCGGGGCTGGTCGCGGGACCGTTGCCCGCGCTCCCCGCGTTGCCGGGGGGTGCGCCGCCCGCAACGTCTCCCGCTGCGCCGGGGAAGCCCGGCGGAAGGGTCATTCCGCCAGACCCGGCGTCGCCAAAGCCGACGGCCCCGGCGGATTCCGCGCCGGGGTCGGTGCCGTAATCTTCGTCCGCCACGCGCTCGACGTAGTCGTCCCCGACGTCCTGAAGGATGCGGCGGGAGGCGGAGGCGGAGGCGGAGGCGGAGGCGGAAGGCGCAAGGAGCGCGCACGCGAGCAGCAGCGCGCAGGCGAAGAGCGGGAGCACGAGGCGCTGTTTGAAGGCCATGGTGGGAGGAGCGGTGCTGCTAGCTGCTGCTGCTGCCGATACCGAGGAGAGAACGAGAGGCGGCCGGGTGAATTCAAGGGCGAACACGTGTAACGCGAGGCTTCAGGGGTGCTTTCACTTGGAAGGCTAGAGCTCCTCGAGCCGAAAATTGAAACGAGGAGAGAGAAAACTGGATGATTTCGAATGGCCTCACTCGCTTGCTTTAATAGCTTTCAGTCCTCCCACTGAAAGGATAGAGCTCCCACCCACCGCGGTTCCCACTCGCTGCCCTGTGTGACTCGAGTCTGACCAGCAGGGGATTCGACTCTCAGGCGACTAGCGACTCCCCACTCCGAGGCGAGTCCGAGGCGAATCCGAGGCGAATCCGAGGCGGTCCGAGTCGGTTCGGAGTGGGGTCACTTGCGGAGGTTGGATCAACCCCTCAGCCTGGATAAACCCCACTGAGTGGCGTTGACATCAAGGAACCAACCAGCCATCAACGGGCTCAGCCCGGTTGGGCTGCCCGTTTGGGCTGCCCGTTTGCCGCACCAGGCTGGTGCAGCCCGGTTGGGCGACTCGCGCGGGGAGTCAACCCCTGCAACCTCCTCTATCGCGCGCGTCGCTCGCTGCGTCGCACACAGTCGTACGGTGACAGGCGGGCGTGAAGAAGGAAAATGAGAGCATCGGGGGATACTACTGCCGATGCTAGGCTCTTCGGCTGAAATGGAGCCACTAAGCGACAGAACGACAGAGGGATCGAGCAATCGAGTGGGCGAGTGACCAAGCTATCGCGTGATACATCCAGCGGTTGAGACGGTTCGCGAGGCGTCGAGTCTGAGCACCGGAGTGCACCCCACTGGCGTGCACCACACCGGCGAGGAACGAACACGGAGGACCGGTTTCTCAAAACGAGGGGCGCTGTATGGCCCGAGACCAAGAGCTTGACCGGTTGCTGCGCGCCCGAGATCAAGATCTGCATGTTGCTCGTTGTTAAACGCCATGATACGGGCAGGGCTGGCGAAATGGAATCGGGAGGTTGCGGGCTGACTGGATGACTATGGAACCGCCGCGTTTCGTCCTCTGATGAATGCAGCCTGCTGTCAACTAGAATCGCCTGCTTCAGACGACTTTCGTGACGCCTCAAGGGTTGATTTGGAACTGCTAAGCAGCTGCTTTTGGCTGGTACAGCACCGTTGGTCTCCTCCCTAGTTTCCCCTCGGCTCTCCCTGCGGCATCTCCGCCTCCACCCTGTCTGTTCCGTGTGGCAGTGTGAGACATGGAAACTAACCGCAACTGGATGATGTTGGGGCAGCACGAGGCGAAGAATGAGGAAGGAGTTGAACTGAGAGCACGAAGTCAAGAAAGTTGAATCTCGGGTTGGTGAAGGCAGGATAAAGGCAGGGTCACGGAAACGGGGGGAAAATTGCGGAGCGCAGGTCGCGGTTTGGTCGAAAATGTGCCGTTTGGTATTCCAGTAAGATACCCGTTATGGAAGTACATTCTCCATTTAGGAGCATTTTAGGAAGCAAATCGTTGAAAGCTCGTCCAGAAATACACTGTTCCAAATAAATAATTCATAAAGTGCTAGAGTCCTATCCTTCACATAGCAAACCATACATACTGTACTATGGAAAGGGTTGTCTGTAACTCGATACAGACTTAAGTTAAAGCTGCTTTTCATTTTCCAAACACTACACAACTTGGGCAAAATATCCGCTCGTAGTGGCAATAGTACCAAGAAGTGGTTAATAGTGTACGTATTGTTTAGTATAAATTATAGGTTAGGGTTCACCATGCCATAGAGGATATAGGCTTCATATTTCGTACCCTGTAATGAAACAGAGTACACTACAGGAAACATGCACATTAAAGTTTGAATATGCATAAGATCTTATGCTAGACAAAAGCTACCATAAATGAGCAACCAATATCACACAATAAAGAAGGCAACCAGACAAGGATACCTCACACATCCTTGGCTCGCCACCAACTAGTTTAATAACTCAAACCACCTTGTCTTTCAGGGATTGCAGCAGTCAACTTTACACCTGCGCGGTGCCTGCAGTGAAGTCTGGGTTCTCGCACTTGTAGGTGCCGTCAATTCCGATTCCGAAGCCCCTGGGGTCAGCAAATACATTCTCCAGCAACTGGTGGCGCTCCGGCAGTGGGCTCTCATCAGCAAACTCAACAGCATCCTCCACGACATCGTCAATCTTCTTCTCAATTGCCTGAAAAAAGATCAGAAGGGAGCATGGACAAGTTACAAACGAGGAACACTGACAGCAAATTGACAAAACCCAAAATCAGGCTCCCTTAGAATATCTGACAACTGGGCTGCAGTTGCCAGGAAAATTGGTCTGTAAAGGGTGAAAACGAAATCTTCTAGGCTTGGTGCTCATTATCTCGTTCATAAACTCCAAGAGACTGCTCATGAAGACCATTTGAAAAACTGTTAACCATCCTTAACCCCCTGACAGAAAAACCCCGTTCTCACACTAATCAGCTAATTGCATGACAGAAATTCCATGAAGACACAGAGTGTCTGGCCAGGCAACACAACTGACTAGAGCCCATGCATTTCTTTCACCAGCAAGCATCACCCCAACAGAATCGTGCATCCAGTTACACACAATCCTCTAGCGAAAAAACGAATCGAGAATCCCCCCCCTCTGTCCGCAACAGTCATGGTGCAAAGCCGTGCTTTACCGTGCAATACGCTCGTGTCACTCACCTTGAGGTCGGCCTCGGTGGCGAGCCCCGTCTCCAGGATGTGCTTCTTCAGCGCGATGATGGGGTCGCGAGCGGCATACTTGGCCTTCTCCTCTGCGCGAACCAGGGAGGTATGGAGGGGACGAAAGGAGTGGGGGAGAAACGGCGGGATACGGGGAGGGAGTGCAGAGAGGGGGGAACGGAGAGGAATTAGGGACCATTAAGTTGGCATTCTAGCAAGGACTTTGGTGGAAGGAGAGGAATGTTTTGTTGGGAAAATTTGGCGGATGGATTTGTTAACCAACTGGAGAGTGGATAAAGAAGAGATGCATTGGTAGGTACGCTGACACGGGGAAACTCACTAGTACAGAGTCATTTACCAGGGGAGCGAAGCTCATCGGGGTCGGCCAGGGAGTGACCGCGGAAGCGGTACGTCTCGCACTCTATCAGCGTCGGGCCGTCGCCCCGCCTGGCGCGATCAATGGCCTCCAGTGCCACCTCGCGCACCTTGAGCACATCCATGCCGTCCACGTGGACTCCGGGCATGCCGAACGCGGGGCCCTTCTTCCAGATGGCGGGGTCCGACGTGGAGCGCAGGTGGCTCATGCCGATGGCCCACAGGTTGTTCTCCACCACGAAGATCACCGGAAGCTTCCAGAGCGCCGCCATGTTGAGGCACTCGTAGAAGGAGCCGTTGTTGCACGTGCCGTCGCCGAAGAAGGCCACTGCAGCCGGACGCAGCGAACAAACAAAAGGCAATCGACAAGTGAAATCGCAGTGAAATGTTTCCCTTCACGCTCTGATAAGATAATACGCTCTACCGGGCGAATGGGCAGCTACAAAAGTCAGCGCAACGAGGGTCTCACCTGAAACCTGGTCCGCGTCGTGCTTGAGCACCTCCTTGTTGTACTTCACAGTGAACGCTGCACCGACAGCGACGGGGATGCCCTCGCCGATGAAGGCGAAGCCACCGAGCACGCCCTGCTCCTTGGAGAACATGTGCATGGACCCGCCCTGCCCGCGACAGCACCCCGTCGTCTTGCCGTACAGCTCTGCCATCACCTCGCGCGCCGACACGCCCTTGCTCAGCGCGTGCACGTGGTCACGGTATGTGCTGGGTTGTTGAAGACGAAGGAGTTGTTGCGAGGTAGGGTCGGGGGAGAAGGGAGGGTAAAAGGAGAGGGTTAGAGAAAAAACTTCATGCGGAAAAGAACGATCGGGAAAAGGGTTGGGAAAATAGCTAGGATGTGGCCACACAATAGAAGCAACAAAGAAGATGGTACGGCAGGTGCAAGTGCGACGCGTGTTACCTGGTAACGTAGTCGTCCTGTCGCAAGTATTTGATGATACCGGAAGAGACGGCCTCTTGACCGTTGTACAGGTGAACGAAGCCAAACATCTTCCCGCGGTAATACATCTGAGCGCACATGTCCTCGAAGGTACGTCCCAGCACCATGTCCTCGTACAGCATCAGCGCGTCAGCGCGATCAAGATCCTGTTTAAGAGAATGGCGAGGGCACAGAGAGACATTGTGGATGCAACTTGTTGAAACGAAAACTACAAGACACGCAGGACGAGAAAAAAAAAACTCGCTATTCACTAGAAAGTGAAGTATGAAAAGCATAACTAACGATTTTCTAAACAGTGAAAATGCGTTGAAAGAAACTCCCTCACAGCCGGTTCAGGGAACAATGATGAAACTGACACAAGCTCTTCTCGAACAAAAAGAAAAGAATTGAAATAGATTATTGAATCAAGCGAGATCATCGCAGGGTTTTTTATGGGTACTGTTCGACGAAGGATGTGTATTGATATTTTGCTTCTTCAATGATTACTAACCGGCACGACATAGGTGGATGTTGATGGATCGGCAGTGGCAGTGGCGCGCGCAGCACCAGCCTTCCAGTTCCCCTTCACCTGCACGGCCTTAACAGCCTTTGTGGGAACTCGCGATCCCAGAAACCGGCTGGACAGCGGCGCAGCAGCACCAGTGCTGACAGCAGACCTGGTAGAAGCCGTGGTTTGCCGAGCAGAATCTGCTGGTAGGGTGCAAGCCCTAACAGCCGGAGCAGCAGCAAGAGCCATGACGGATGGGAGTCACAGTTCCGAGCTCAGAAACTCGACCCTCAGGAACCAAGGGAATCACGAATCACAACTGAAGCTGGATTGGAGATCGGAATGTCCAGCTCCAGAAATGGCTACTCAGACATCCACCAGTTTGATCTGATGATATCAGAGCCAACTCCAACCCATAAGACTGCAGAGAATGGCTGATCTGGACACACGGGATGAATGCTAGTGATAGACTCACTGCTACTGGAGCTGAATTGACAAATGAAAGAATGGGGTCCGTAAACTGGATTCGCGACGAACCTGTGTCTTGAACGGTCGGGATGAAGTCTCGGGTCAACATCGACGTTCTCGAAGCGTAAACTGCCGTCGATTTACGGCTTAGAGGTTTCTCTTGTGACGTGAGTGGCGGTTGGGATCTCGATGTGAACGAAACCTTTTATCATGCTGCTTTTGCGGTGAGTAATGAAGAGCTGGATGTTCTTCGTTACAAGATTGGGTGCGCTGCTTGCCACTGGCAAAGCCTAACGCGTCAGACATTGCCACCTGTACGGTCGAGCGTGCGGAAGGTGATATATTGACATCCCCGTCTCGTAACGCTGAGGTGGACAGATTGGCTTTCAGATGCAATGACCAATTCGGAAGCGATTGACACGTGGTTCCACGAACGTCTCTTGCGCGCAGAAAAGGTGGAAGAAAGGTCATCTCACACATGCGGCACGAACGAACCTCTGTCTCTGTCGTCTCGTCATGTTGACCCGCGCGAGGATGATGCTGGGTTATGACCGAGCAAAAATTTTCCCTGGCACCCTAACCAACCATTCTAAATCTCATATCAATAGTAGCCTGATTCTCTGTAGCCCAGCTATATTCTGGATGAAGGGGTTGCTATTAATATGACACTCCACAATGGGGTTCCTCACCAGGCCTAATTTTATCAGTGTAAATCACCCTGATACCCTGATAATCAGGGTGGTTTTTTATGGTCACACTGATGGGCTAGGGTTTTTTTTTGGGGAGGTTGATTTACCCTGATGTGTCAGGTTTTTTTTGTAAGGCACACTGATGGCCAAGAGTTTACGGATCCCGTATCAAGTTTTACCCTGTAACGCGTAACCTACCCCCCCCCCCCCCTCCCCCCGGTTCACCCACCCCCACTTTCCCGTAACCTGGGATTCCACCAAGGCCACTGAGGCCGGAATTTCGGCTTTGACAACTCCTGTGCTGGCACACAGAGGGCCACTATTGGCCAGGGTTACAGTTTCCTTGCTGGCACCGCCACCTCCGCTAGTTGGTATGTTTGTCAGACTTGACAACAAGGCCAGGTTGGCTGGAAACTTGGCTGACTGCAGCAACAATGACCACGATGAACAGCCTTGGGGCATGTCTGATGATGAGTAGGATCTGTATTGCGTGCAGCATTAAAAAAAACTGACCAGGCTTTACAATAATCTTACACTGATGCGACAGGGTAAATTTTTTGAAAGTTAAGAATACCCTGATGGGAAAGTTTTTCTATAGGGGGTCACACTGATAATCAGTTTTTTGAGCTAGGGGTACACTGATCTTAAGGGTATGTCAAATCCAAAAATTTGCCCTGTTCCTCACATCATAAACTTTCGTTGTGCCAAAATTAGTTCCGAAGTAGATTGATTCAGTCGGGGCCCTACTAAAGAATTCCCTATTGTTTCCGTGCATCTGCTCTACTCATCGTAGGTGCACGTGAAATCAATAACTGAAATGTTGCATTCACCCATCTTCATGCCAGTTACATCAAGTATTGGTCATCAATCAAGATACATCGCAATACATATCCAGAAGGTCAGAGTCAGGTCCATAAACAAGCCCAGCAGCCGCAGGATCAGCAGCGTTCGGCTTGCATACCCCGGTTCCCGAACATAGCGTCCCTGAACCATCTACCGAACCGCATATTGCACATGAAAATGTGTCTCTTTGAAACCCCCCTGCTGATGTGCAGTTGTTGACTTGCGTGAAACAATTGTGCAGTGCACTGCAATATGTGAGTCTATTGGAGGGGAAGGTTCCGTAGATATAGCTTTGCTCGAAGGACAGGAAAGCCAAGGAAGTGGAGATGGCTGGAAGAGTGCCGGTAAGACAGTTGAAGTTCAGGTTCCTACAACACAATGGGTGTGACAAACATGCAGCAAAGATACACAAATTGTGAATTGCTTACGGAACTGGAGCAATGTTAAGGAGATTGGAACAATCCCCCCAAAATGGAAAAGGGATATGTGCAAAGCATCAAATTCATGTGGTACACCAAGCACATGGTGATGAGGCACATGGCGACGAGGCACATGGCGATGAGGCACATGGCGATGAGGCACATGGCGATGAGGCACATGGCGATGAGGCACATGGCGATGAGGCACATGGCGATGAGGCACATGGTGATGAGGCACATGGTGATGAGGCACATGGTGATGAGGCACACGGCGATGAGGCACATGGCGATGAGGCACATGGCGATGAGGCACATGGCGATGAGGCACATGGCGATGAGGCACATGGCGATGAGGCACATGGCGATGAGGCACATAGCGATGAGGCACATGGCGATGAGGCACATGGCGATGAGGCACATGGCGATGAGGCACATGGCGATGAGGCACATGGCGATGAGGCACATGGCGATGAGGCACATGGCGATGAGGCACATGGTGATGAGGCACATGGTGATGAGGCACATGGTGATGAGGCACACGGCGATGAGGCACATGGCGATGAGGCACATGGTGATGAGGCACATGGTGATGAGGCACATGGCGATGAGGCACATGGCGATGAGGCACATGGTGGTAGCAGTATCTGACAGGAAAAAGGCCCACAGCTTTGTGAGGTGGGGCAGTGCCAGACGGGCAGCTGGCATGAAGCAGTAGAGCCAGCTGTACTGCAGCTCACTAGACGTTTGAGACATCTCAGAAAAATGCAAGATACTCGGTTGTTGAAATGAGAGGAGGAGACCCACAGCTTTGTGAGGCGGGGCAGTGCCAGACGGGCAGCTGGCACGAAGGTGTAGAGCCAATTGTACTGCAGCTGACTGGACTTTTGAGACGTCCCAGAAGGAGGTAGGAGACTCACAGCCTTGTGAGGCGAGGCAGTGACAGAAGGACGGATGGAATGGAGCCGTACAGCCAGTTGTACTGCAGCTGGCTGGAGTGGGACGGACAATACAGTCAGTGGGTGAAATAATGCGAGTCAATGGTGGTCAGCGAGAATATGTGAGTCAATGCTGGTCAACAACGATACACGAGTCAATGTTTGTCAATGGCACGTCACACACACGTACAGCATGTCGTGGTCGGTGAGTCAATGGCACGTGCCATTGACGTCACACGTCTATGTCACGACAGCAGTGGAAAGTAGGATATTCTACTGCTGGCGGCTACATGCAGTTTTCGAGAATTCTCAAAAAGAAATAACAGTACCGTATCAAGGCATGCCATGGCATTAAAATGTCATTGCATACCCCTGCTTGCTTATCATGCTGATTATGCTGTACCACCGCATGGCATGGCATGGCACACTCACATCATCTTGAGATTAGTGAGAGTTGAGAGGGGGGAGATTATGCTTCTGAGTGACATCCAAAAGAGGTTGGCATGGAGACTCCTGCGGGAAAAAATAGAAATAGACGATTTCTTTTATTGAGGCGCCTCAAAAGGTGTCCCAAGGAGAGTCCCGTGCAGGATGACATGCAAGTAGACGATTACTGAGGCGCCTCAAAAGAGGTCCGGAGAAATCGAGACTTCTTGCAGGGAGACATGTTGGGTGAAAAGAAAAAGGGAAATTTTGCAATGAACGTGGACATACATGGGGAATGTGCACGTAAGGGGCATAAATGAGTGAATGCACAGAAGAATACATGACGTGCATGTGTCCAAGCACATGCATGGATGCACATGCATGGTGTATGCATGCACATTACAGGTGAGTGAGAGTAGTGAACTTGCTGATGTCTGCATGGAGGGGCCCTTGCAGCTGCTGGTAGCTGAAGCTTGTGCCACTCTTGAGATTTCTCACAAAGCTTGTGTCACTCTTGAGATTTCTCACAAGATTTCGCAATTGTTTTTTCACAAGTGACTCAGTGACACAGGCAAAGCCTTACAGGTGAGTGAGAGTGGTGAGCTTGCTGATGTCCGCATGGAGGGACCCTTTCAGCTGCTGGTAGCTCAAGTCCCTGCCAGGGTGGAAGGGGAGGGGGAGGGGGAGGGGGAGGGGGAGGGGGGAGGGGGAGGGGGAGGGGGAGGGGGAGGGGGAGGGGGAGGGGGAGGGGGAGGGGGAGGGGGAGGGGGAGGGGGAGGGGGAGGGGGAGGGGGGAGGGGGAGGGGGGAGGGGGAGGGGGAGGGGGAGGGGGAGGGGGAGGGGGAGGGGGAGGGGGAGGGGGAGGGGGGAGGGGGAGGGGGGAGGGGGAGGAGAGAGAGGGAGATGTGTTAGCAGATCACTAAGCCATGTCCAGATCTCACGCAGATCTGTTGCCTTCGGACACACAGCCCCCCGCACTCAAGTCCCTGCCAGGGTGGAAGGGGAGGGGGAGGGGGAGGGGGAGGGGAAGGGGGAGGGGGAGGGGGAGGGGGAGGGGGAGGGGGAGGGGGAGGGGGGAGGGGGAGGGGGAGGGGGAGGAGAGGGAGATGTGTTAGCAGATCTGTTGCCGTCAGACACACAGACATCACTTTTGAGAATTCTCAAAAGTGATTTCGATCTGTTGCCTTGAGACACACAGCCCACCGCATACAAGTTGAGCTTTGAGACGCGTCTATTTTTGAGCCGACTAAAAAATCGACTCATCACACCCGTATAGAAGTTGACCTTTGAGACGTCTCAAAACTCAACTTCTATACGGGGGGTTGAGGAGTGGAAGGGAGAGGTATTAGCAGATCGCTTGTCTCCAGACGCACCGCCAGCAGGGAGAGACACACACAGGTGATGGGCACAATCATCAGGTGCCCAATAACCACAATTGTGCCCTGTAATGAGGTGACTTTTGAGTCGACTCAAAAGTCACTTTGTAATAACCCATACGGGTAATGGACACACTTACAGGTAGGTCAGTCAAACCGCATGCCTGCCCACATCTTTCTTGGACACGTGGTGGCAGTGGTGTGTGAAAGAGTCACTTTTGAGAATTCTGGAAAATGACTCCCATGAATAGTGGTACATTTAGGAGGAGAGGCGAGAGGAAACTCACAGGTAGGTCACATCCCCCGAGGTGTCACAGCGCACGCATGACATGTGGTGGTGGTGGTGGCGATGGTGCTGGTGGTGACGGTGGTGGTGGTGGTGTGTGAATTGACATATACAGGTAGATTTAGGAGGGGGGGTGAGAGAAGAGACTGACAGGTAGGTCAAACTCCCCGTGGCATCACAGCGCACGTCTGCCTGTGGTAATGAGCATGCTTACAAGAAGGTATTGAATGAGCATGCTTACAAGAAGGTAATGAATGAGCATGCTTCCCCGTGGCATCACAGCGCACGCCCGACCACGCCTGCCCTGGCCATGGGTTGGTGGCGCTGAGAGGAGGTAGGTCGCACAATACCCACAGAGAGCTCACTCACAGGAAAGTGACACTCCCCGTGGCGTCACAGCGCACGCCCGACCATCTCTGGCCGGGCCTCAGGTTGGTGCCGTCTATGGCACACGGCATGCTTGAAACCCATGTTGTGTGCGTCACTCCCAGGGTTGACTTGAGGGCTAGGAGAGTAGATGCTGCGTGGATGGAGGGGAAGGAGGAAGGGAGAGAGATGAACGACACAGGACACGCTTGAGACCGATGTTGTGTGCGTGGGTCAGTCCGAGGGTTGACTTGAGGGCTAGGAGGGCAGATGCTGCATGGCGAGGGGATGGGGTTGGCATGCGGATGGACGGGGAACAGGGTATGGGGAAGGGAGAGGGATGAATGGCACAGGGCACGCTTGATTGATTCCCATGTTGTGTGTCACTACGAGGGTTGACTTGAGGGCTCGGAGAGCAGATGCTGCGTGGGAGGTTGGTGGGATGTCGATACAAGGGAGAAAGATGGAAGGGAGAGGGGAGAACGGTTGGGAAGAGTGATAATGGCACAGGGCACGCCTGCGAGCCATTCTGAGACGTCTCAAAAAATCACTCTTAGCATGGGAGGTAGGGAGGTAGTGACAGTCGGGAGTGACAGTCGGGAGTGGCAGTCGGGAGTGGCAGTCGGGAGTGGCAGTCGGGAGTGGCAGTCGGGAGTGGCAGTCGGGAGTGGCAGTCGGGAGTGGCAGTCGGGAGTGACAGTCGGGAGTGGCAGTCGGGAGTGACAGTCGGGAGTGACAGTCGGGAGTGACAGTCGGGAGTGGCAGTCGGGAGTGGCAGTCGGGAGTGGCAGTCGGGAGTGGCAGTCGGGAGTGGCAGTCGGGAGTGGCAGTCGGGAGTGACAGTCGGGAGTGACAGTCGGGAGTGGCAGTCGGGAGTGACAGTCGGGAGTGACAGTCGGGAGTGGCAGTCGGGAGTGGCAGTCGGGAGTGACAGTCGGGAGTGACAGTCGGGAGTGGCAGTCGGGAGTGACAGTCGGGAGTGACAGTTGGGAGTGACAGTCGGGAGTGACAGTCGGGAGTGGCAGTCGGGAGTGGCAGTCGGGAGTGGCAGTCGGGAGTGGCAGTCGGGAGTGGCAGTCGGGAGTGGCAGTCGGGAGTGACAGTCGGGAGTGGCAGTCGGGAGTGACAGTCGGGAGTGACAGTCGGGAGTGGCAGTCGGGAGTGGCAGTCGGGAGTGGCAGTCGGGAGTGGCAGTCGGGAGTGGCAGTCGGGAGTGGCAGTCGGGAGTGACAGTCGGGAGTGACAGTCGGGAGTGGCAGTCGGGAGTGACAGTCGGGAGTGACAGTCGGGAGTGGCAGTCGGGAGTGGCAGTCGGGAGTGACAGTCGGGAGTGACAGTCGGGAGTGGCAGTCGGGAGTGACAGTCGGGAGTGACAGTTGGGAGTGACAGTCGGGAGTGACAGTCGGGAGTGACAGTCGGGAGTGACAGTCGGGAGTGACAGTCGGGAGTGACAGTCGGGAGTGACAGTCGGGAGTGACAGTCGGGAGTGACAGTCGGGAGTGACAGTCGGGAGTGACAGTCGGGAGTGACAGTCGGGAGTGACAGTCGGGAGTGACAGTCGGGAGTGACAGTCGGGAGTGACAGTCGGGAGTGACAGTCGGGAGTGACAGTCAGGAAGGCGAATACTCACAGAAGGAGGAGCGGATGGTGACGACAGTTGAGCCTGATGGGAACAAGCAGAGGCATGCATGGCACGCACGCATGGCACGCACGCATGGCACGCATGGCACGCATGGCACGCATGGCACGCATGCAAGGGAAGAGAAGGGAAGCATGATGAGGAGCCGTGTGCACAGGGGGACAGCAGGAGCGGGGGACAGCAGGAGCGGGGGACAGCAGGAGCGGGGGACAGCAGGAGCGGGAGACACATGGGAAGGAGAGCGAGGAGAACTCATAGCTTTGTGAATGGTTGTTCTGAACGTGCACCAGCAAGGTCATGGGAAGAGCCGGGCGCGTGGTCTGATACGCTGCACACACGCTGCACACACGCTGCACACACGCTGCACACACGCTGCACACACGCTGCACACGCCACCCATTCTCGCATTGCAGAGCCTCGTATAGAGAGGGTGTTTTTGAGACGTCTCAGAATCGCAGAGCCTCGTATATGCGCACCAACACAGGTCATGGCAAGAATGGGCCGCGTCTGCTGCACACTGTCAAAAGGCCTATTATATACGCACCAACACAGGTCACGGCAAGAATCAGGCGTGTGGGCCCGTTGGGAATGCCTTGAGAAGCCGCTGCTGCAGCGTCTGCTGTACACACACCATCCCAGCACACATTCCCTGCTGCCGCATCACCCATCCCACACACTGTACACTCCGCCGCAGCCCTCTGCCTCGTTCCGTAGAAATTGCCGAAGCACCAGGGGTCCTTGAGGTCTCAAATCCGGTCCTCTGCTTCGTTCCGTAGTATTTGCAGTCGTGTTTTGAGTCGACTCAAAACACTGCTGTGTGCACACACCATCCCAACACACACCTCCCATTCCTGAAAAGCCTTGAATTTACCCACCTACGCAAGACATGGCAAGAGTGGGCCGTGTGGGTCCGTTGGGAATGCCTTGAGACGCCACTGCTGCAGCGTCTGCTGTGCACACACCGTCCCAGCACACATTCCCTGCTGCCGCATCACCCATCCCACACACTGTACACTCCGCTGCAGCCCTCTGCTTCGTTCCGTAGAAATTGCACGAGGAGGAGGGGGAGGAGGAGGAGAAGCAGTTGTTCTCGGCGGCGCAGAATTTGAGGGAGTGAGGAGGGAGGGAGCCGGAGAGGAAGTTGTAAGCAACGTCTAGGCCCACGAGGGATGAGGGGATGGGAGGGATGGTGCCCGTGAGGTAGTTGGAGAAGATGCCTCTACGGTGGGGAAGGGGAGAGTGAAAAGGGAGAAGGGAAAACAAAAAGGAAAAAAGAGGGAACATGATTTCAGATATGGTTGAGCGCCATCTTAGCTGCTTCTGCTCTCCGCTAAGACATGTCATCAGCTTATGATGGAGAGATTAGCTAAGACGGTAGCCTCTTGCGGAGTAATGAAGGATTCGAAACGCAGCAAGCCGTGTGGTCACCGTTGAAACTTTCAGCTAAGTATGGGTGGGTTGCTTCGTAAGGACTAGGAAAAAAGGTATGAATGAGGACTTGATAATTCTCAAAGTAAAAGTACTAAGTAGGCGTACGCGTTTCGGCCTGTGAGGCCTTCATCAGCTTATGATGGAGAGATTAGCTAAGACACGTCATATGGTGATGATGGAGACGAGGCCTCTAGGAGAGGGACGCGAGAAAAGAAAGGGAAAACGTTTGATGTTTTAGTCGATTGAAGAACCAATCCGGAAAAGAAGTTACAAAAGGTTTCAGGAAGATTTGTGATTCAACTCATAACAAGGTTTTAAGAGGTCTTTGGTCCTGATACACACCGTCACTTACATGCCTTTCCAGTCGACTCAAAAGAGGTCTTAGGTTTTCATGCACGGCGCCACTTACAGGCCTGTGAGAGACGGTAGGGCGAAGAGTGACGATGGGATAGAGCCGATGAACCAGTTATAGTGAAGGAACCTGTAACGAGTACGAGGGACAGGAGAAATGCGTGGAAAGCGATCATAACGTGCTCACTAAGTCACAGCCACAGGTCATACTTTTGAGAATTCTCTAAAGTTCCTGACTTTTGAGTCGACTCAAAGGTCCCTGAGTTGTGGGACTGCTAGGCAATGAGGAGAGGAGCTAATGTGACTTCTGAGTCGCGTAAAAAAGGCGAATGTGAGGGCGAATGTGAGGGCGAATGTGAGGGCGAATGTGTCCCTGTGTTGGTGGGACAACAAGGCAGTGAGAAGAGAGGCTGATGTGACTTCTGAGTCGCAGTGAGGAGAAAGCCCTTAGGTCACCCTACCCTTCAACGGATCAGTCACAGCAGTCATCCCCACACATACATAGAGCACACAACTTCTGCTTTGGTATGGGCAAAACACTCACAGGTCTTTGAGGGACGACAAGGCTGTGAGGGTCGAGACGAAAGTGAGGAGACGCGCCTGAAAGAGGTTGTAACCAAGGTCCCTGGGGGTTGGACGAGGGGAGAGGATGGAAACCATGAGATGCGAGTAAGGCAGTGAGGGGTTGTGCAGGGGGGTGGAAGGAGGGATGTCCTGTGAAAGAGGTTGTAACCGAGGTCCCTGGGAGAGAGTGATGTGGGTGCGTGAATATGGAAGGGTGGTGGAAAGCGGGGTGAAGGTACGAGAAAGAAAGACGGCTGCATGTTGCACAAAGGTAGAGACGCCTGCCTGGAAGAGGGTTCAGCCGAGGTCCCTGGGGGTGGTGTGGGTGGGCGAACGAGCATGGAAAGGGCTCATACGCTGCACCGCCCGCTCATGTGCTGCACCGCCCGCTCATACGCTGCACCGCCCGCTCATACGCTGCACCACCCGCTCATACGCTGCACCGCCCGCTCATGCGCTGCACCGCCCGCTCATGCGCTGCACCACCCGCTCATACGCTGCACCACCCGCTCATACGCTGCACCGCCCGCTCATACGCTGCACCTCCCGCTCATACGCTGCACCGCCCGCTCATACGCTGCACCGCCCGCTCATGCGCTGCACCGCCCGCTCATACGCTGCACCGCCCGCTCATGTGCTGCACCGCCCGCTCATGCGCTGCACCGCCCGCTCATACGCTGCACCGCCCGCTCATACGCTGCACCGCCCGCTCACGCTCATACGCTGCACCGCCCGCTCACGCTCATACGCTGCACCGCACGCTCATACGCTGCACCGCACGCTCATACGCTGCACCGCCCGCTCATACGCTGCACCTCCCGCTCATACAGTGCACCGTACGCTCATACGCTGAACCGCCAGCTCATACGCTGCACCGCCCGCTCATACGCTGCACCGCCAGCTCATACGCTGCACCGCCAGCTCATACGCTGCACCGCCTGCTCATACGCTGCCCCGCCCGCTCATACGCTGCACCGCCAGCTCATACGCTGCACCGCCCGCTCATACGCTGCACCGCCCGCTCATACGCTGCACCGCCCGCTCATGCGCTGCACCGCCCGCGAATATGCTGCACCCGCTCATACGCTGCACTGCCCGCTCATACGCTGCACCGCCCGCTCATACGCTGCACCACCCGCTCATACGCTGCACCACCCGCTCATACGCTGCACCTCCCGCTCATACAGTGCACCGCACGCTCATATGCTGCACCGCCCGCTCATACGCTGCACCGCCCGCTCATAAGCTGCACCGCCCGCTCATACGCTGCACCGCACACTCATACGCTGCACCGCACACTCATACGCTGCACCGCCGGCTCATACGCTGCACCGCCCGCTCATACGCTGCTCCGCCAGCTCATACGCTGCACCGCACACTCATACGCTGCACCGCACACTCATACGCTGCACCACCCGCTCATACGCTGAACTGTCCGCTCATACGCTGCACTGCATGCAAGCGCGGGCATGCATGCATACATACATAGTACATGTGTGCGCAAGTATGCATACACCTATGCAAATGGTGGTATAGACACATGCGCATGCATGTAAAGACACATGCACATGCATGTATAGGCACATGCACACAACATACATGTATAGGCGCATGCACACAACATACATGTATGTAAGCCCCGTCAATTTGGAGATGCTCGAATGGACGGTCCCGATAAGGCCCTGGCGATTGAGATTGCTGTGGTGTAGTGGATGGGAGTGGTAGGGTTGCAACAACGAGCGGAGAGAAGGTGCGGGGAAGGTGAGAGGAGATGGACTGTTGGTTGAGATTGCTGTGGTGTGGTGGATGGGAGTGGTAAGCATGCAACATGTCGGAGTTGCGGCTGCACTCTTCTTTGCCTTGATTCTCCTGCTCTGTCTCTTCTTCGTTCCCTCTATTGCCTCAGCCACTCTCACCTCAACGGTCCTCCCTGAGTGGGTGTCACCAAACGCAAGGCTAGAGGTAACCAGAATCCACTATACGAAAGGATAACAAACGGAAAGCATTGTGTGTGTGTGTGAGAGTGAACTTACCTGTCCCTGGCTCGAGCCGTGCATTTCTCAATGTGCGGCTCGGGCCTGGGTGGGTTTGTTCCCATTGGTCGCGAGGATTTCACCCCTTGGTGATCTCCTACTGACTCCGCGTCAGTTTCCCAGCCCCCCACCTACTTATCCTTGAGGCTGCATACACCAAATACAACACATCACTACACCCGTCCTACACCTTAATCATACTGGCACCTTATATGCACAACCGTGCATATTCGGTGACAAACACGAAGGGGAGAGAAGGGGCTGTGGAGTGAAGGGGTGGTGGGAGAGAGAGATAACAGAAACAGCAGCAGACAGCAACAGAGGATGCAACAGCAGCACAGCAACCTTCCAGCATTCTCAGAAGGGCAACAAGGAGGAAAAGGAAGGTTGCCCTCCTCCTGTACAACAGTCATCTGCTCGTTACACTCACATCAACTTCTCGTTACACTCACATCAACTTCTAGTCACACTCACATCAACTTCTCGTTACACTCACATCAACTTCTCGTTACACTCACATCATCAACTTCTCGTTACACTCACATCAACTTCTCGTTACACTCACATCAACTTCTCGTTACACTCACATCAACTTCTCGTTACACTCACATCAACTTCTCGTACACTCACATCAACTTCTCGTTACACTCACATCAACTTCTCGTTACACTCACATCAACTTCTCGTTACACTCACATCAACTTCTCGTTACACTCACATCAACTTCTCGTTACACTCACATCAACTTCTCGTTACACTCACATCAACTTCTCGTTACACTCACATCAACTTCTCGTCACACTCACATCAACTTCTCGTCACACTCACATCAACTTCTCGTCACACTCACATCAACTTCTCGTTACACTCACATCAACTTCTCGTCACACTCACATCAACTTCTCGTTACACTCACATCAACTTCTCGTCACACTCACATCAACTTCTCGTTACACTCACATCAACTTCTCGTCACACTCACATCAACTTCTCGTTACACTCACATCAACTTCTCGTTACACTCACATCTTGACAACTGCCCCGGCTGCATTACACTCAACGCCCTTCCACGCACTCGCAGCAGCTGACGTGGGGGGCAGAGGAGGTGGGGAAGGGCACTCGAATCTACTCTCACTACACTCACACCCACTCACAACAACTTCTCGTCACACTCACATCTTCACGACAGCACCAGCTGCATTACACTCGACGCCCTTCCATGCACTCGCAGCAGCAGACGCAGGTATAGGAGCCGCCAAGGCCCCAGCCACCGAGCAGAGATACGCCAGTGAAGGCGAGGAGGCAGTGGGAAAGGAGGCAGACGTTGAAACCACCCCCATAACGGTCGCAGTAGGAACGGAGGCCCATGAGGAGAGAGTCACTCCCAGGGACGACTTCAGAGCCAGCATGGCCTGAGATGATCCCGAGGCCATGCCGATGAGAGCACAGAACATCGGGAGCAGCGGAGACGAGGAGGTGTACGGCGTGCCCTTGCTGAAAGGGACCGAGGCATTCGGAGTACATGAGCCTCCCCCGCATAGCACCTGGGAGGACCCCGGTGCAGGTACCACCCAGCCTGTACCTGCTGGATCCGCTGCCATGGTGACGTTGCAGATGGAGCACGCAGCAGGGGTGCGCTGGGTGGTGGCGGTGGACACACAGTTGGAAGCCTGGGAGAAACAGTTGCTGGTGGCGGTGCAGTAAGTGGCGGAGTGGGGGGGGAAGGAGCCTGAGAGGAAGTTGTGCTGCAGGTCGATGTATTTGAGGGCCGGGCCCGGGGCTGGGAAGGTTCCGGTGAGGTAGTTGCGGAAGAACTTGCTGCAGAAAAGGGGAGGGGGGAGGGTAGGGGAAAGGGGGTCGGGAGGGGGGTGGGACGGGGGTTTTTGAGGCGCCTCAAATGCCAGGTGCCGGGAAAGGTACATTCATGTGTGAGGTAGATGCAAAAGAGTTTTGAGACGTCTCAAAACTCGTCTCGGAACTTGTCTCAAAAATTGAGGCGCCTCAAACGCCGTAGATTCATGTGAGGTAGATGCAAAAGAATTTTGAGGCGCCTCAAGCGCCAGGTGCTGGGAAAGGTTCCTTTTGAGACTTCTCAGAAGTGAGATGGATGCAAAAGAACTGGGGCTTTACGTTGAGGGAGGAAGAGGGAGGTGTGGGGATAGGATAGGGGCAGGGGAGGTTGAGTGGGGGGAGGGTTCCTAAAGCAAATCTACGTAACAGATTAGAGCAGGAGCAAACAAGGGAATGAATGAATCTTTTACCCCTGCTACAAAATCGACTTACATCCAGTAGAGGTTGGGAAGGGCAATGAGGGCAGTGGGTATGGTGCCATACAGCCAGTTCTGGTGAATATGCCTAAAACGGGGACAGGGGGGGAGGGTGATGATCCAAGCAGGAAAAAGGGCGGCGAAAAGAAAGTAGTAGGAAGCACCATAAAGATTGATAACAGTAGATGAAGGTTATATATATAGACATATACATTAATAAAAAGCCTTGTTGAGCACATCATAAACACATGAGCGCAGCACATCATGTTTGCACCAAGGGAGGAGCATGCACGCACAGGTTGGCGATCCAAGTTCATATTGGGGAGTAGCAGAGCACATCATGTTGGCGATCCAAGTTCATATTGGGAGTAGCAGAGCACATCATGTTGGCGATCCAAGTTCATATTGGGAGTAGCAGAGCACATCATGTTGGCGATCCAAGTTCATATTGGGAGTAGCAGAGCACATCATGTTGGCGATCCAAGTTCATATTGGGAGTAGCAGAGCACATCATGTTGGCGATCCAAGTTCATATTGGGAGTAGCAGAGCACATCATGTTGGCGATCCAAGTTCATATTGGGAGTAGCAGAGCACATCATGTTGGCGATCCAAGTTCATATTGGGAGTAGCAGAGCACATCATGTTGGCGATCCAAGTTCATATTGGGAGTAGCAGAGCACATCATGTTGGCGATCCAAGTTCATATTGGGAGTAGCAGAGCACATCATGTTGGCGATCCAAGTTCATATTGGGGAGTAGCAGAGCACATCATGTTGGCGATCCAAGTTCATATTGGGAGTAGCAGAGCACATCATGTTGGCGATCCAAGTTCATATTGGGAGTAGCAGAGCACATCATGTTGGCGATCCAAGTTCATATTGGGAGTAGCAGAGCACATCATGTTGGCGATCCAAGTTCATATTGGGGAGTAGCAGAGCACATCATGTTGGCGATCCAAGTTCATATTGGGAGTAGCAGAGCACATCATGTTGGCGATCCAAGTTCATATTGGGGAGTAGCAGAGCACATCATGTTTGCACCTGGGCCATTGCATGCACGCACAGGTTCGCAAGGGTGGTGAGCGGCAGCAGGTTGGACGTGAACGCGGCGAGCCGCTGCACCAAGAGGTTGGTGCCCAGCCCTCTGTCAGGGGGAGGGAAGACAGAGGGAGAGGGGACAGCAAAGGTGGAGGAAGGGAAGACATCACAGCTCATCACAGCTCATCACAGCTCATGACAGCTCATGGCAGCTCATGGCAGCTCATCACAGCTCATCACAGCTCATGACAGCTCATGACAGCTCATGACAGCAGGTTGGATGTGAACGCGGCTAACGGTTGAGCACAGAGGTTGGTGCCCAGACCTCTGCCAGCGGGAGGGAACACGAGGGGGAGGAGGTACAGGAAGGAAGGCGGGAGGACGAGGTGAGGTGGGAGAAGAGGTGAGGAGGGAAAAGAGGTGAGGTGGGAAAAGTGGTGAGGTGGGAAAAGAGGTGAGGTGGGAAAAGAGGTGAGATGGGAAAAGAGGTGAGGTGGGAAAAGAGGTGAGGTGGGAAAAGAGGTGAGGTGGGAAAAGAGGTTGGACGTGACCGCGGCTATCCGTTGAACAATGAGGTTTGAGCCCAGGCCACTGTGGTGGGGGAAGGAACACGAAAAGGGGGAAGCAACTTTTGAGACGTCTCGAGCGGCAGTCGGTTGGATGCAGCTGTGAAACAAAGAGGTTGCTTTTAGTCGACTCAAAAACTGGAACAAAGAGGTGGTTTTTTAGTCGACTCAAAAACTGGAACAAAGAGGTTGTTTTTTAGTCGACTCAAAAACTGGAACAAAGAGTTTTTTTTTTAAGTCGACTCAAAAAGTGGAACACAGAGGTTGCTTAGTAGTCAACTGAAAATCTGGAACAAAGAGGTTGTTTTTTGGTCGACTCAAAAGGTGGAAGACAGAGGTTGCTTTTTAGTCGACTGAAAAACTGGAACAAAGAGGTTGTTTTTTAGTCGACTAAAAAACTGGAACAAAGAGGTTGCTTTTTAGTCAACTCAAAAACTGGAACAAAGAGGTTTGTGCCCAGGCCTCTGTGGTGGGGGTGAAGGGAAGATGAACAACAGGTGTGGAGGAAAGGAGCAGACGACGGAAGGAGCAAGGGGTTCTGAGGTGCCTAGACTAGAACAGCAGAAGCACATGGAGCCATGGAACTAAGAGGTACGTGCCCAGGCCTCTGTGGTGGGGACGAGACGAGGAGAGATGGGAGGGGAAAAGGCGGTCAGAGAGAGCGAGAAACGGGGTGCCTAAGGGGAAAAGGGCTAGCCCAGCTAAGCTGATGGGATAATCACTTTCTCATACACAAAAATATGTAACACAGAAATACGAAAACGTACTTGTAATATTGATTAGCTAATTTAATTCACTTTGAACTCTTCACCCAAAGCTGAGCCTCACACATGTGAGTTGACATGACCAAAATTGTTGTCAGCAGGGCGTACATGTGAGTCAGCATGACCTGGCATGTGAGTCAGCAGCATGACATGGCATGACGTACATGTGAGTCAACACGACCTGGCACGACGTACATGTGAGTCAGCATGACCTGGCATGACGTAATGTGAGTCAGCATGACCTGGCATGACGTACATGTGATTGAGCGCAGTGAGCTTGGAGATTTCTTTTGGGATGCTTCCTGTCAGCTTCTGATTCTCCAGGTCGCTGCAAGGGAGAGAGGAGGCGCAGAGGAGGCGCAGGGAAGGCACAGGGGAGGCGCAGGGGAGGCGCAGGGGAGGCGCAGGGGAGGCAAAGGGCGTTCTCTTCAAGATTTGCTGCTATTCCGAGATTTCCTTGGGATGCTTCCTGTCAGCTTCTGACTCTCCAGGTCGCTGCAAGGCAGGCAGGGCATAGAAATCACGTTGGGAAGGCATTGAAAGACAATGCAGTTGCAACGTATTGCGAAGCATGTGTGCATGAGGCAAACAGGGTGGATCTTTGCTCACACATATCCATCCACTGCATCGCCCCACTCTCATACATCCATGCCTCCATGCACCCTGCAAATGCACATGCACAACAACACGCACAGCCCACCCCCACGCAAGCACATCTGGCGCACATCCCTTGAGGGTGAGCAAATCACAACCGTCCACTCCCCCCCCTTGCTGCGCCTGGCATACATGCAGCGTCACACGCACGCACGCACGCACGCACGCACGCACGCACGCACGCACACACACGCACATGCATCACTCCCCGCACACCCACATGCATCACTCCCCGCACACCCACATGCATCACTCCCCGCACACCCACAGCACGCACATCTGGCGCACTTCCCCCGTGGTTGAGCAGATCATGCCCGTCCAGTCCCCTGCTTGTTGTGTCTGGCTTGTGACGGTGCAGCCCGTGTTGCCCGCTGCCCACGTGGTGAGAGTGACGCCCAGCGATGACTTGATGATCAGTAGAGTGTCGACTGGGGGGGAAGGGGGAAGGGGGAAGGGGGAAGGGGGAAGGGGGAAGGGGGAAGGGGGAAGGGGGAAGGGGGAAGGGGGAAGGGGGAAGGGGGAAGGGGGAAGGGGGAAGGGGGAAGGGGGAAGGGGGAAGGGGGGAAGGGGGAAGGGGGAAGGGGGAAGGGGGAAGGGGGAAGGGGGGGGGTTGGTGTTGTACAGGGGATGGGGAGTGGGGGGGGGAGGCGAGCGCGGGCAGGGAGGGCAGTGGGGAGAAAAATGGCTGGTGAGCGTGCAGGCCGTGTTGCCTTGCCTGCCGCCCACGTGGTGAGAGTGACGCGGAGCGATGACTTAATGAAAAAGAGTGTCGACTGGAAGTGGGGGGAGGTGGGGGGGAGGCACGGGGAGGCAAAAGCGGCGGCAGCAGGGAGGGAGAGTGGATGGGTGGTGAGGGTGTCGCCGAGCGCTTTTGAGAATTCTCAAATGTGAGGGTGACGCGGAGCGATGACTTGATGATCAGGAGGGTGTCGACTGGGGGGGGGGGGACAAGAGGCGGTGAGGAGTGGGGGGATAGGGGATGTGGAGTGGTGGTGGGGAGGAGGGCCCAATGGGCGGGGGAGGGAGGCGGAAAGGTAGGCAGGGGGAAGGGGACGGCAGGGGGAACGGGAAGGCAGGGGGAAGGGGGAAGAACCGGGGAGACACCGCCCAGCCTGCGGCACCCCAAGCCCCCTTTCCCTCCTTGTATTTTTTGAGAATGCTAAAAAAACACCCCCTTTCCCTCCTTGTAGCAAGTGGTTTTTTAGAACAAGCGATGCGAGGCGAAATCCTAGCTCCCCTTTCCGTCCTCCCCTTTCCCTAGCTCCCCGCTCCGCGCCCCAGCCCTCCGCCTGCCCGCGCTCACTTGTGCTTGCGCTCATAGGCACTGCGCCCACGCGCGGAATAAGCGGAAGAAGCGAAAGAGTCACGGCGCAGAGGAACACGCGGGGCCCCATTATCCCCGCTCCACGCGGAAAAGACCGGCTCGATTCGTCCATCATCCGCGCTCGTTCCGCTCGCCATTCGCATCGCCGCGCCCTTCGCCGCGCGTGCGATATTGACCCTTCTCCTCCCACGCGCACCTCCCGCATCTTACGCCGCTTTTCTGGTTGCATGGCGCACGCAACGCTGAGTATCTAGCGAATTATATCATACCATCAGCTTCAGCCCAAACATGGGGGTCTCGAAATGCGGTCCAAACCTTTCGTCAGGCTTTAGCGAGCCGAACTAGCGTCGCCTAAACCGCTACCGTCGAAATGCGGCTTTGATGTTGTTTCTGCGTCGAATGTCAGCTGTGGGAACGAACGCGATTACACAGGATGCCCGTTTGAGCCACTCCCGGCTGCCTTGTGAAGGGGGCTTATAAGCTGTTAAATTCAATTCGCATAAGTTTCGTCAATTCGCATAAGTTTCGTAAAATGGATTCGTCAGGTGCTTATAAATATTTTGGAACTTATCCGTTGACATTTTGACTTAGTCTCTTCAGCATGACTTCGGTCTGTTCGTTACTATTGGTTCATACCCACTGCAAGGTGCGCGACGTGCCTGTAACGTGCGTGCAACTGGCTGGGGAAAAAACCTCGGGTGCAGGTTTTCCATCCGTTCAGTAGCAACTTTGCGTGTAGGGGCTGGGCATCACGTGTATTCTTCGACAACACTGTAACGATTGACTTTGCAACGGAGCAACCATGGCTAGCGCGCTAGCGCAGTGTTTCGCCTACGACCAACACAAGGTGCGCCCGACTCACGTGCGAAATCCGCGTGTCTTTGGCGAAGAACTCGGCTGGTTCGTTTTCCAGCACATGTGCTTCAGGGAGAGGTGGAATGGTTGGCTAGCTCGTGATGTGCGAAATCCTGCGACGGTGTGGAGAGCGTGGCGACGGGTTACATGCTATTCATCCACTGCAGAACTTGTAAAGTACAGTTGACGCCCAGCTTTGTCGTGAAACCAAGAGCAAGTTACGATACTCTACAGTGTATTTCAGAACTATGTGTGTGGTCGAAATGCACAGGAAAGAAACCCCCTTCCGGTGTTTTTATTTCAAAAGATGTTAGCCGTTGTCACGGATCGCAGATGTCTTTGTTTCACAATTTGGTAACGAATGGCACTCGATAAAAAACAACCGAGGCCACTCAGTGGTACACAATATAAAATCAGACCACTTACAGTCCAATTCTTCTGAAATTCCCCGAAACAAGGACATGCGGGGGTGGGCATCCGGTGTACTGAGACAATTGTCTTACACTTTGCCATGGAGCTGGCCGCCAGCTGGATTCACCAGTCACAACAAACCTGATTTGGTGGTCCCAAAATTCCACGCAAGCACCACCTCTGGCACAACACCCTCAATTCGTCGCTAGCAAACACAGCACCTAGCCAGACCAGAAGAGACGAAACAGGGGTAAGGGCGGATCCAGCGCGTACGTTTACAAGTTACTTCCAGTTCATCCGTCGATGTTCGAGACGATAGAAACTGGTGCACAGCGGTTTTAAATCTTCACCGTTTTGCACCTCGAGGCAATAAGATAAACCGCACAGAATGAACTGTAGTGCAACCGAAAATGTACGCGCTGGACCCGCCCTAACACGCACAATACACCTGTAACATCCGCGATTCTGCTTTTGCGAGTGTGATTCGTGATTCATGGAGGTCGGTGGAACAAGGGTGTGGAGTGGAGCCCATCTGTTCAACCTAGGACTGACACCACTTTGCACCATAGTAACATTCAACGGACCTGATAAATTACCGTGCCCAACCCTTTTCGAAGTCGGAGTCAAATGGCCTCACAAATAATGAACCCCACCATGAAATTTGTGTTCGCCCATCCATGCGGTGGAGCTTCGAGTGTGGTGTGGTGTCAAGTGATCTTGCGCCAGCCCTCTTCCAGATACAGTGTAGTTTGTCGAAGTGTACAGTACCGAGCCGCACCCCTTGCTGAATCAGTGTGTAACTAGTCGCACCACACCATACCGACCAAAAACATACAAAACCGTCCTTTATGCGTGTAACGGCATTCCTCCTCCCCTCGCCTTCTCGTCCGTACAAGTTTTCTTCCGCGCTCCGAACCAGCTGCGCGTGCAGTCCGCCACCAATCCTGCCCGTCATCTCAAGAGTCAGCCACAGCTGCTGTGTGAAGCGCGGCTTAGACGAGTCCGAAGCGCTTGAAGCGTAAGCTTCAAAAGCCTGTCATAGATTTCGGGAGTTGGGGCTGCGATCGCCGTGCTTTGGTAGGAAGCTGCAAATGCGCAGTTTGAGTACACGACCACAACAGTGCATCAGAGACAAACAAGCTGCGGTTGTAGTGAAATTTGAATCTCCCCTGCATTAGGGTTTCTAGTACATCTTCCAGCTATACATTCCCGTGCTTGGCGCTGGCTCCGCGAGCTTCCAGAGGCTTGTATAGCCGAGTAGCGGGATTACTCGGGGATCTTTCTCTGGGAACTCCTCTGACTAGGTGTCGCGCGTTTCTTGACGCGCGGCGATGTCTCGTCGCATACGTTTCGCGAACTGTCGCAAGATGTCGCAGCCCGCGAGTGTGCACTTTTGATTGCGACATCGGCGGAACTGTAGTCGCGAATTACTATTGCAAGGCGTGCAGTCGTAAAACTCCTCCGACTAGAAGGATCTGCACCGCTTACACTCCGCCGCGTGCCGCGCGCTGATGCGCGTCCCGCGCTCACGATCATGGCGCGTTGTCGCGGCGACAGGTTCGGCAGCCCAGCCGCGCGGCGCTTCCAGCGCCTCCCCCCGTCCATCTGGAGAGATCTTTCCGCGTGTTCTTCCCCGTGGGCGCTTTCCGCCATCCCCCAGAAAAGGTCGTTGCGCCCCGCGCGGGGACAAACCCCCCCCGCGCCGGCGCTCCGCAGCCCCGAAGCGGTGATCTGCGCAACGCGTCTGTCGGCGCGTTTGGCGGCGACGATCGCTCTCCTGCTCGTCGCCAGCATGTGCGGCGGCTTCTGCGGTCGCGCTAGCGCCGTCGCTGTCAATTATAACGACTGTAAGCCGGCGAAACTAACAATTACCACTCTTGTTACCCTGTCGCCGGCCAATGTGGCTGCACGCGAGGAATATGCTTGCATGTCATGCTTATAAATGCGCGCTTTTTCTGAGCCGCCTCAAAAATAGACTATGTCGTGCCAAAATGCGCACTTTTTTTTCCCCTTGTCTCTGAAACGCCCGCTTCTCCTCCGCATTCCCCTATTTCTGCCCCTCCCCATTCCCTTCCCTCCCCGATTCTCCTTTTCCCCAATACTCCTCCCGTCCCCCTTCCCCCCATCCTCCCCCTCCCGCCGTTCCTCTCCGTTGTCCCCCATTCCGCGCCCGGCGCAACGAGCGCATCCGCGCCTGCGCCCGCCGAACCCCCACTCCCCCCAGAGACCCTTGCTGCGCGCTGATCTCAGTCCGCTACGCGCCTCACGAATAGGCCCCCATCCCCCCTTCCCCTCTTTCCCCTCTCCCCTCCCCTTCCCTCCAAAACACCCTCGTTGCGCTGCGTGCTGAGCGCCTTTCTTTAGGCGCCCCAACCTAGAGCTCCCCCTTCCCCCAAGCCGAGCTTCACTGCACCCGCCCAACGCGCTCTATTCCCACCTCCCCCCCTTTTTCCGCTTCCCCCCAATCACATGCAAGTGCTCCCCCTCCCCCGGTGCGCCCAAGGGTCGCACTCTTCTCTCTGCGCGCCGAGCTGAGCCTCACCACGCCCGCCTCGCGCACGCCCAAGGCGCTCTGTTCCATTCTCCCTCCCCACCCCTCCCCCTTCTTCCCCGCTCCCCCCCCAACCCTCCCCCTCCCCCAGTGCCTCCCAGGGGGCGCGCTGCTGTTGCTGCGCGCCGAGCTGAGCTGCACAGCGCCTCGCGCACACCCAATGCACTCTGTCCCTTCCCCCCCTTTCCCCCTCTTCCCTCTCCCCCTGTGCTCCCCAGGGGCGGCGCTGCGCTGCTGTCTCTGCGCGGCGAGCTGAGCTTCACCGTCCCTGCCTCGCGCACGCCCAAGGCGCTCTGTTCTTTCCCCCTCCCCTCCCCCTTCTTCCCCGCTCCCCCCCAACCCTCCCCCTCCCCCGGTGCCTCCCAGGGGGCGCGCTGCTGTTGCTGCGCGCCGAGCTGAGCTTCACAGCGCCTTGCGCACGCCCAATGCACACTGTCCCTTCCCCCTTCTTCCCCCCCCCCCTTTCCTCCCTCTTCCCTCCCCCCCCTGTGCTCCCCAGGGGGCGCGTTGCTGTCACTGCGCGCCGAGCTAAGCTTCACCGTCCCCGCTGCACTCACTCACGCCCAAGGCGCTGTGTCTCTTCCCTTTCCTCCCTTCCTCTATCCTTTTATCCCCCCCCCCCCCCCCCGCCCGTGCTCCCCAGGGGCCGCACTCCTCTTGCTGCGCGCCGAGCTCAACATCACTGTCTCTGCCTCGCGCACGCCCAAGGCTCCTAGTCCCACCTTCCCCCAACCTTTTCCCCCATCCTTTTCCCCCAACCTTTTCCCCCATCCTTTTCCCCCATCCTTTTCCCCCATCCTTTTCCCGCAACCTTCCTCCTCCCCCCCCTTCTCCCCAGGGGCCGCACTCCTCTCGCTGCGCGCCGAGCTCAACTTCACTGTGCCCGCATCGCGCACGCCCAAGGCGCTGTGGGTGTCGCGGGGGAGTTGTGGCGATCTGTATGGCGTGCGGTGCGACGAGCAGGGCAGCGTGACCTCGCTGTGAGTGCTCCTCTCATCTCACTCTCTTGCTCTGTTTTCCTGCGAGTCACGCTGTGAGTTCCCAAGGCGCTATTGTGTGGGCATGGAAGGGGTTGTGATGACCTGTATGGGGTGCGCTGCGACGACCAGGGCAGCGTCAGCTCCCTGTGAGTGCTTTTGAGTCGACTCAAAAGTCACAGGGCAGCGTCAGCTCCCTGTGAGTGCTTTTGAGTCGACTCAAAAGTCACAGGGCAGCGTCAGCTCCCTGTGAGTGCTGCGCAGCGCTCTCTTCTTACTCTCCTTTTCTCTTTTCGGGGCATAAAATTAAACGCTATGTGCACACGTTTACACATACGCACACCCACGTGTGCTTCTCTGCGGGCAGCCCCTCTCCCCGCCCGCCTTCTCTCTTCCCGTTCCCCTCTCCACCCTCTCTCTCCGTCCCCACCCTCCCTTCCCTTCCCGTTCCCCCACCCCCTCCGCCCTCTCTCTCTCCCCCCCACCCTCCCCTCCCATTCCCCCACCCCCTCCGCCCTCTCTCTCTCTCTCTCTCTCTCTCTCCCCCCAGTCTCCTGTACAGCGTCACAGGCACGCTTCCCTCTGCAATCGGCAACCTCACAGCTCTCACCACACTGTGAGTCTGCCCTTTCACCGCTCTGCACCGCACTGCCTCTCCCTTCAGTCCTCTGCTGCGTGATCTCCAGTTGCCCATAGCAGTTGCCTGCTCGCTCGCTACCTCTGCTTGTGGCGCCTCAAAAATATACTCTTTTTGCCCCTTGTTGTCCCACTTCACCCCCAACCCACACCGCCACCCATCCCCACCCATCCCCACCTAATCCCCACGCAGCTCCGTCTCCTCAAACCTCTCATGCCCGCTCCCATCCCGTCCACCAGCACCACCCTCACCGCGCTGGTCAATCTCCATCTCAGCCGCAACAACCCTTTTCCCATTGCCACCCACCCACCCTCTACCCCACCCATGCTACCCCCATACCCACGCCCCATGCACCCCACACAGCTCCGTCTCTTCCAGCCTCTCATGCCCGCTCCCATCCTCTCTCACCACTCTCACCGCGCTGGTCAATCTCCATCTCGGCCGCAACAGCCTCTCCTGCTCGCTGCCGCCCTGGCTCACCACGCTCTCGAAGCTCAAGATTCTGTAAGATCTGATTTGATTCGTTTCGTATGGCCTGGTTCTGTTCGGTTGGATGCGGTATCGTCCGATAGGACTCTGTTCCATGCGGTTCTGATCTCAACGGTGTGGTACTGTCCGGTAGGATTCTGTCAGATACGATTCTGTCTGTGGCATCAAAGGACCAGGAGTGGGTGTCCCTGCCTGCCTGTGTTCATTCTCGCTCCCCCGGTGCTGTGTCAACTCGAGGACTCATACCCGCTTTCCGCCCCCCCCCCTCCCCTGCTCCACCCCTCCTCCCCCGCTTCCCACGTCCCCGTCCCTTGTTCAGGAGCATAGAATGGAACAAGATCACAGGCAGCATCCCGGCAGGCATCTCCGCACTCTCCTCGCTCTCCGCTCTGTAATGCCGCCATGCACCCATGCATGCATGCACCCATGCACCCATCCCCCCCATTCAATCCATCCATGCGCCATGCACACACGGACTCTATGTCCCCCAATGTGTTCAATGCTCCGAATTCATGCCGCCCCCCTTTTCGTCCTAACCTCAACACGTGCCGCCCTTTTCTGCTACGTCCCACTGGATGCCGCCCCTCCACTACATTCCAATGCATGCCGCCCCTCCCCCTTGGCAACATCCCCATTGCAGGCGAGCGGACTACAATCTTCTGACCGGCTCCATCCCGGCTGCTATCGGCAAGCTCACTAACCTAACCCAACTGTGAGCAACTATTGACTGGTTAAGGCGCTTCAGAAATGGTCACTCCGGCGACACTCAATCAACAACAATACTGTTGCTTCCAATCAATCAACCCCCTCTCCTTTCCTCCCCAGCGACACTCAACCCCAGTTTTCTCGCATTCGACAGCCTCAGCAGTTTCTGAGGCGTCTCATAGTTTTCCTCCACATCCTATCCTCCCCTCTCTCCTCCCCTCCTTTTCCCCCCTGCCATGCTCCCCTGCAGTTCGCTTGCCTTGAACAGCCTCAGCGGATCCATCCCAGCAGCTCAGGGCCATATTTCTGGGACATCTCCTTTTGAGTCGACTCAAAAGGGCCATATTTCTGGGACGTCTCATATCACTCCCCTCCACATTGCCCCCCCTCTACCCACCCTTCAACCACGCTCCCCTGCAGTTCGCTTACCTTCAACAGCCTCAGCGGATCCATCCCAGCGTCTATAGGCCTGCTAAAGCAGCTCAGAACCCTGTACGTAGTATGAAGAGGGGTTTGGTAAGCATCTAGTGTCCATCTAGTGACCCTGGGCAACATACTCACAGGGCCCGTCGCATCGCATCCCATCGAGTCGACTCAAGAAACATACTCACAGGGCCCGTCCCATCCCATCGCAAATCAGGAGCCTGGTGTATCTCGAGTCGACTCAGGATTCGCCCTGTTCTCTCCTCTCTCTCCCCCCTTACTATCCCCCATCACACAGCGACCTGCGGGGCAACATGATTGCAGGATCCATCCCCTCGCAACTCAGCACCCTCTCTCTCCTCTACCGCCTGTGAGTGAGCGTCTCGTTTCTGCTGTTTGTGGGAGATGATTCTTGGGACATTTTTTCCAGTGAGCAGCACTTGCGTAGTTTTGAGTCGACTAAAAAAAACTCGGGTCTTGTTTCTGCTGTTTGTGGGAGGTGATTCTTGACTCGATAAAAAAAAAAAAAAAAAACGCCTCTTTTTTAACATGCCTCAAAAGTCGACTCCGAAAGCACTTCTCGTTTCTCAACTGCCTGCAAGGCGTTGTGACATCTCTGAGAAGCATTGTTTGTGACATCTCTGAGAAGCTTTGTTTGTGACATCTCTGAGAAGCCTTGTTTGTGACATCTCTGAGAAGCATTGTTTTTCCTCCTGTCTCGCTCGCCCCTCTCGCCCCCCTCACCCCTCTTAACAGCTGGCTTCAAAGCAACGCGCTCACAAGACCAAATCCCTCCTCCCTCTCCCTTCCCTTTTTTGTTTCACGCTTGTCCTTGTCGCCCCTGTCGCCCGTCTCACCCCGCTCGTTGCTACAGCTCTCTACAGAGCAACGCGCTGACAGGACCCATTCCCTCCACCCTCTCCCTACCGGGCCTCAGACACCTGTAAGGCTTAGATACAGCAACACCTGAGGCGTGTCCACACACCTTGAGTAACGCTCCCTGCAGACAGTTGCGGGGTTTTGAAAAGCCGTGTTGTGAAGCAGTCAGGGGTTCTTCTTGCGCACAATTGTGCTCCCCATACCCCCCCCCCCCCTCCCACCAGGCAATTCAGTCTCAGCTGCAAACGCGCACAAATGCGCGACTAGGGTGAATGCATGCATGTGAAGCCGAAGTGACTTTTGAGTCGACTCAAAAGTCAAATGCGCGACTAGGGTGAGTGCATGCATGTGAAAGAAAGAGGGCAGTTTACGTGGCCTCCCTCCCAAAGAGATTCTCATGCCCTTCCTCCCCTATGTCATGTGAAATACCTCCTCACACACACTCTCCCATGCTTCCCCATGCTGCCCCAGTGCCCTGGGCAGGACAACAACGCACTCTCTGGACCCCTGCCATCAACCCTGGGGAATCTCACTTCCCTCGCCCCATCTCTCCCCCAATGCCCCTTCCTCATGCCCTCCCCGTGCCCCTGCTCCATTCCTCATGCCCTCCCCGTGCCCCTGCTCCATTCCTGCCCCCACAGTGCTCTGGACAACAACGCACTCTCGGGGTCCCTGCCATCAACCCTTGGAAATCTCACTTCCCTCGCCTACTTGTAATGCCCCTCCTCTCCTCCTCTTGAACCCCCAATGCTCCTCCCTCGCTCCCTCCGTCCCTCCTCTCCATCCAGCCAGAATCCATTCACTCACTCACTCACTCACTCGCTCGCTCGCTCGCTCACTCGCTCAGTCAAGATTTTGCTCAAAGCCTTAAGGCATCCTGCTTGAAATTCAACCCTATTGTGCACATGCCATGTTTTGAGTCGACTTAAAGCCCGCACCATGCTTGAATTTCTCCTCAATTGCGCACTTGCCATCCATCCACTCACCCATTGCGTTCTTACTCGTTTGAAAACATAATCCTCCATTCGCCCCTCCAACCCCAGTCCCCTCATTCTCACTCACTTCCCCACTCACCCCAACCCCTCGCTCGTCTAACTCCCCCTGTAATTCCCAGATCAGCATGCAACAACCGCCTCTCCTCATCCCTCCCCGCGTCCCTCTCTGCTCTTATTCTCCTTCAACACTTGTACGAACACCATTCCTCTCCTCTCCCTCTTACCTGCCTTTCTACCTTCCTTCCCTCTCTCCCTATCTCCTTATTTCCTCCCCTGTCACCTTTTCCCCCCCTGCGTCCCTCTCTGCTCTTATTCTCCTTCAACACTTTTACAAACATCATTCCTCTCCCTCCCTCCTTCCTTCCTTCCTTCCTTCCTTCCTTCCTTCCTTCCTTCCTTCCTTCCTTCCTTCCTTCCTTCCTTCCTTCCTTCCTTCCTTCCTTCCTTCCTTCCTTCCTTCCTTCCTTCCTTCCTTCCTTCCCTCCTTCCTTCCTTCCTTCCTTCCTTCCTTCCTTCCTTCCTTCCTTCCTTCCTTCCTTCCTTCCTTCCTTCCTTCCTTCCTTCCTTCCTTCCTTCCTTCCTTCCTTCCTTCCTTCCTTCCTTCCTTCCTTCCTTCCTCCCCTCTCTTTTTCCCTATGTCCTTTTTTCCCCCCCTCTCCTCTCCTTCCCCACGTTTTTCTCTGCTCCTACCAGAACCCTTCGCAATCAGCTTGCCTCCCTCCACTCCTACTACCCTCCCTGCTCTTTAATATGACATTTGAGTCTACTAAAGAAATCGAAATTCGCTAAAAACACCCTCCTTCAGACTCCCAACGACCCCATCCCGCAACCTCCTTTCCGGCTCCATCCCTGCTGGCCTCTCTGCTCTTCGAGTCGAGATTACTTTTGAGCCCACTCAAAGTCTCTTTCATACGCCCACCCATTTCTGCCCCCCCCCAGAGATCTCTCGCGCAACCTCCTCTCAGGCTCCATCCCTGAAGGCCTCTCTTCTCTGCAAGAACTCTCCTCGCTGTAAGCACACCTGCTGTAAGCACACCTGCTGTAAGCACACCTGCTGTAAGCACACCCGCTGTAAGCACACCTGCTGTAAGCACACCCGCTGTAAGCTCACCTCCCTCGCATCATCGCACATTGGTCATGGCATACAGCACAGCACAGCACTCGTTCCATAACTACCGCATCATACCTGACTGAAACCTCTCTGCTGCCGTCGTATCGGCGTGACCCTCTGTGCTGCCGTCACATCTGATCGAACCCGTGCTGCTGTGCAGGCTACTCAACGGCAACTCCTTCCAAGGGCCCATCCCATCCGCCCTCTCCTCCCTCGTTTCTCTCTACGAAATGTGAGCTCCTCGCTTCTTTTGCCCCACCCTTTTCACCGTGCCCTCCTCCCATCGCCATGCGCCCCTCACCTTGCCTCATGATTAATCAAGGCTCAAAGGTTTGTGAGTGGCAATAACCCTGACTTCTCTGCTCACATCACCTCACCCAATCCCTCCTTCCCCCTCCCCACCCCCCACCCCTTCTCCCTTCGTCCTTTTTCTTCTACTGAGGCGTTTCAGAGTAGACCACCCACGCCCTCTTTCCCCCCTCAACCCCTGCCTCTCCCCGTGCGCCCTCCCCTCGACCTTCCCCTCCCCCTTCCCCTCTCCCGTCCGTCCCTCCCCACCGTCCACCGTCCACCTTGGCCTGTCCCTCTCCCCGCCCCGCCCTCCTCCTCTCCTCTCCCCCAATCCTCCAAGCAGAGACCTGTCGGCCAATCAGCTGTCGGGAACCCTCCCTCCCATCTTCACCAGCTCCATGCCTGACGTCAGCATCATGTGAGTGTGACGTCAGCAGCATGTGACTGACGTCTGCATCATGTAAGTGTGACGCCAGCAACATGTGAGCGTGACGTCATCATCGTGTGAGCGTGACGTCATCATCATGTGTACGTGACGTCAGCATCATGTGAATGTGACGTCAGCAACATGCGATTGTGACGTCAGTAGCGTGTGAGTGAGCATGACACTGGCTGGCGTCATGTTTTGTTTTACAGAGAGTCTCTTGAGGTCCAGTATTCACTTGGCTTGGCTGTTTTACAGTGTGTTGATGCTGTTGTTCAAGCGTGGTCATTTCATTTCACACACTGCTGCCCTTCTAATCTAATATCAGCCAAGACGGTCCATTTGTGTTCAATGCTCTTCCCCCCTCACACCTCCTTCTGTTTTCAGCTCAGCTCCCCTCCCTCTCTGTCCTTGGTCCCCCATTCTCGTCCCTCCCCTCCAGCCGTTTGAGTCAGAACCATTTGCACGGCCTCCTGCCACCGTCACCGGCGACTTGCTCTGCTCTCTACTCACATGGGCGTTTCTTTACAGCGAGCATGCATGTCATGCCCTCTCTCTGTCCTTCCGTATCCCCCCTCCCTCCCCTCCAGCCGTTTGAGTCAGAACCAGTTGCACGGCTTCTTGCCAACGTCACTTGCAACCTGCTCTCTGCTGCACACGCTGTGAGTGCTTCTCTGAACTATCCAGGCTTGAATGCACCGCACGGCCTCTCTCTGCGTGTTCTTCTCAGCTCCAAGTGTGACTGTCTTACCCTCTTTCTTACCCTCCCCACTTTCCCTCGTCTTCCTCCCTCCCACCCATTCACATCACACCATCTGTTACACTCCCCCCCATGCTTTCCTGCCCCCTCTCCCTTTCCCCCATGATCGCCAGTGACATTGCTGCGAATGCCTTCACGGGTGCGCCCGCTACCCTCATCAGCCGCCTCTCGTCACTTGTGGAACTGTGAGCTCTCCTTGCCCCTCCCAGTTGACTTTGAGTCGACTCAAAAGTCAGTCGACTCAAAAGTCGGTCGACTCAAAAGTCGGTCGACTCAAAAGTCGGTCGACTCAAAAGTCGGTCGACTCAAAAGTCGGTCGACTCAAAAGTCAGTCGACTCAAAAGTCTCCTCACTTGTGGAACTGTGAGCTCTCCTTGCCCCTCCCACTACTCTTCATTCCACCCCCCACACGCTCTCATCACCCTCATCTGCCATGCCGCCCCACACTCTTCATTCCTCCCTTGTAGAGCTGTGAGCGAGCTCTCTCATCAACTTGCACATCACTTCTTCTCAGTACCGCTCCCAACACTCTTGAACCACCTCAAACACAGCCTCATCACCCTCATCAGCCGCCTCTCCTTGAACGACTGTGTTCTGATGCGCCCATCTGCCCCTCACCATGAACCCCCCTCACCCCATCCTGCAGCAGCCTCTCATGCGACTGCTCCAGCTTCTCCTCCCCTCCCTCACTCACTCCCCGCCGCTTATCTCTTCCCATCCCATCCCCCCCTCCCCCTTCCGCCCCCCCACCAGCAACCTATCGCGCAACTACTTCACGGGTCTCCTCCCATCGCTCCCCTCTGCCACATCTCTCCTCTCTCTGGACCTCTCCTCCAACTTCTTCTTCGGCCCCGCCGTCCCCCTCGATGCCTCTGGCGCCCCCATCTGCCCCTCGCTCTCCCTCACCGTCCGCACCGCCAACAACTGCCTCACCTTTGACGCTTCCGTCTGCGATGCTGGTGGTGATGGTGATGGGGCTGTTGCGACGAGAAGCGCGGATATGATGAGCAGCAGCGGTAGTGGTGGTGGTGGTGGTGGTGGTGGTGATGGTGGTTCTTCTGGCAACGTTTGGATCAGCTCTGTAAGGGACACTGGTAGCAGCAGCGCGAGGGTTACTGCTCAGAGCATTTCCACCAGCAGTAGCACCATTAGCAGCAGAAGCAGAGCTAGGGCTGCTGATGAAGAGAGAGCGGGCTTTCTTGGACACAAGGAGAGGGCGGAGATGGTGGGGCGTGAAGAGAAGAGGAGAGAATCGCTCCCAACTCACACCACCACCACTGCTAACCTTATTCCCTCCTCTCCTCATGTCCTCGCCTCTGGGTCATCTCTTAAACACAGCGTGGGAGGGGTCTTGTTTGGACACAAAGAGAGGGCCATTCGAGGGCGTGAAGAGGAGAAGAAGGAACGGCAGCCCGGGTCTAGCGTTGATGCCCCCACTGCTCATCTGATTTTTGAGTCGACTCAAAAATCAACTAGCGTTGATGCCCCCACTGCTCATCTGGTAGCGACTCTTGAGTCGCCTCAACAGCAGCAGCATGCTCAGGCCACCACTGCCGACCTTGAAGCTTCCTCTCCTCATGTCCGCCCCTCCCTGCCTTCGTTTGAAGAGCAATTGCGCGCCGCTTTTCTCGGGCACAGGGAGAGAGCGGAGATGGTAGGGCGTGAGGAGAAGGAGCAGCAGAAGCAACAGGTAGCACCTTGGGAGGCGCATGAGGGGGAGATGACCTCTGGTGCTGCCACTACTGACCATCTCGCCTCACAAGACAACGAAGGAAGGCTGGAATTTCCAGGGCACAGGGAGAGGGCGGAGATGCTGGTCCGTGGAGAGAAGGAGCAGCGGGAGCAGCAGGCAGTACGAGCTGAGGAGTATCAGGGGGAGATGGCCTCTGGTGGCGACCTTTTCCATGCAGCCACCCACGATGATGAGAACAGGGCTGCTTTTTCCGGGCACAGGGAGAGAGCAGAGATGGTAGGGCGTGAGGAGAAGGAGCAGCAGAAGCAACAGGCAGCTTTTGAGGCGCCTCAAAAGGAGAAGGAGCAGCAGGTAGAGCTGTGGGTGGTACCAGATGAGCAGAGCTCTGGTGCTGTGCTCGGCCGTGCGGCATTGCATGAAGAGGGGAGGGGAGAAGGAACAGGGTTTCGTGGAGGGAACAGAGACAGCTCTCATGCCCACGCCCATGGCCATGGCCATGCCCCTGCCGACGGCCATGCCCCTGCCGATGGCCATGCCCCTGCCGACGGCCATGCCCCTGCCGACGGCCATGCCCCTGCCGACGGCCACGCCCACGCCCACGCCCATGGCCATGGCCATGCCCCTGCTTCGCATGTGTCGCATGCGCATGTGCAAGCGGCATTCCATGATGGTGAAAAGCGGGCTGCCGTTTTGAAACATGGACACGGCCACGACCATGCTTTGCATGCATCTCATGTGCTGCCCTCTGATGAAGAGGTGACTTTTGTTGAGTCCACTCAACAGCCACCTCGTTTTTTCCGAGTCCGGGCATCTCCACGCGCACGTCGGGCATCTCCACGCGCACGCGCCATCCGATGAAGAAGAAGCGCCGCTGGCGGCAGCAGTGGGGAAGCACAAAGAGAAGGACGAGGAGGAGAGTGTGGACCATAGACGCCGCTCCGTTCACCTGCCCACGCACGCCCATGTGTCACATGTGCATGTGGTGTCTCACCCATCGCACGTGCATGTGCCGTCCCATCATGTCGATACACTGCTGCCGTCGTGGCACAGAGAGAGGGCGGAGGAGGTGGTTGGGCACAGAGAGAGGGCGGAGGAGGTGGTGGGGCACAGAGAGAGGGCGGAGGAGGTGGTGGGGCACAGAGAGAGGGCGGAGGAGGTGGTGGGGCACAGAGAGAGGGCGGAGGAGGTGGTGGGGCACAGAGAGAGGGCGGAGGAGGTGGTGGGGCACAGAGAGAGGGCGGAGGAGGTGGTGGGGCACAGAGAGAGGGCGGAGGAGGTGGTGGGGCACAGAGAGAGGGCGGAGGAGGTGGTGGGGCACAGAGAGAGGGTGGAGGAGGTGGTGGGGCACAGAGAGAGGGCGGAGGAGGTGGTGGGGCACAGAGAGAGGGCGGAGGAGGTGGTGGGGCACAGAGAGAGGGCGGAGGAGGTGGTGGGGCACAGGAGACCGCGGAAACGACAGCAAGTGGATCCCCCTTCCGATGCGGCTCTCCGGCCTGCTCCCGCCCTCGCCCATCCGGCTTCCCTTGCAGATGACGAGGAGGAGGGTTTGTTGAGACACAGAGAGAGGATGGAGTTGGTGGGGCATGAGAGGAATCAAAGGGCTTCTGCTCCTGCCCTCGCCTATCTGGCTTCTGTTGGCAATGAGGGGGAAGAGGGCTTGTCGAGACACCAAGAGAGGATGGGCCTGCTAGGGTATGGGGGGAAGCGGAGGAAGCAACAGAGGGGGGTGCAATTAGAGGGGGTGGGACTAGAGGGGATGCGGGAGGGGAGGATGGTGGGAAGGGGAGTGGGAGGGGGGATGAGGCGGACAGGGGGGAAGTGGGGGAAGTGGATCAACCACAGCATGGGGAATGAGCTGCTGGGTCCCGTGGGGCGAGGGGGAGGCAGCAGCAGGCAACGCAGCAGGCAACGCAGCAGACGAGGCAGGGGAGGAGAGAGGGTGCTGCGTAGAGATGGTCTGACTGAGGGGAGACACGAAGAGATTTCTGACACAGCTGGGAGGCAAGAAGAGGTGGAGATTGCTGCGAGTGAAGAGCAGGTGGAGACTGGCCGGCGGCGCTTGGAAGATGTAGCACCTTTGGAGTTGGCTCAAGGCTTGTCAGAGGCTGGCCCGCGGCACTTGGAAGATTTAGCGACATCCGAGCCGGCTCACGACTCATCAAGGTCTGAACGAAGCTTGGCTGCTGCACGGGCAGCTCTAGCAGCAGGCAGGACGCGCAAACCGCAACCACGAAGACAATCCCCACCGAAATCACCACCACCACGCCCTCCCCCTCCGCCTCCCCCTTCTCCTGTGACAATACAGAGCGTGATTCAACAGCAGCGGCCCGCCTCCCAGTGCCTCAGCTTCTGTGGCACGAGCTTCAGCCCTCTTGGGAATGGTGTGAGCTCGCAATCCCTCACTGGGGCTACCAGTGGTGCTAACAGTGGGGCTAACAGTGGGGTTATCAACGCCCAGTGTGGGAACAGTGCTGGGACGTGCCTGGCCACTGTCACACACCCTCCCCCTCATGTAGCCACTGTGGGAGGGGCAGGAGCTGGGAAAAGGGCGGGAGTGGGGGGGAAGCAGCAGGGGCAGCAGCAGCAGGTGCAGGTTGTGTTTGGGTGCACGTGCCCTTCCTCGAGATACGTGCTATCGGCTAATCGCATGACGTGCACCCTGAAAGGTAAGGGGATGAATGCGGTGTTGTGTGTGCTGCATGTGTTGTGTGTGCTGCAAGTGTTGTGTGTGCTGCATGTGTTGTGTAGCTGTTGCTCCTCGAGATATGTGCGGTCTGCCAATCGCATGGCATGCACCCTGAAAGGTGAGGAGATGATGGGGGATTGGGTGTGCTGCTTGCGCAGGCTGCTTCTGCTCCTGCTCGTCGCGATACATGCTGTCTGCGAATCGCAGGACATGCGCTCTGAAAGGTAATGGGGGGGAAATGAAGTGCAGTGTGTGTGTGTGTGTGTGTGCTGCATCTTATAATAGCACGTCATTGCAAGCTATGCAATATGCCCGTTGTGTGTGCTGTTTGCGAATCGCATGACATGCGCTCTGAAAGGTAGCGGGATGGATGAGGTGTTGTGTGTGCGTGCTGCATCGTAGCATTGCAAGTGATGCAATATGCTCTCTGTATCTGCTCCTCCTCACGATACATGCTGAGTGAGGACCCGTGGGACCTCACATTCGTGTCTCCTCACGATACATGCTGTCTGCTAATCGCATGACATGCACTCAGAAAGGTAAGGGGGTGAATGCGGTGTTGTATGTGCTCTCGTACTGCTGCTTCTGGTGTTCTTCTGTGCTGATCTTCTTTGAGAATTCTCAAAAAACATTTCTTCTGTGCTGATCTTCCTATTCTGCATAAGCTCCCCCCCAGAGTTTGCATCGCAAGCCATGCAACACGCTCTATGTCCCTGCGACAAGCAAAGTTAATGGCCATTTATTCCCACATCGCCTTGCATTAACACTCTCCCTCTTTGTCCCATCTTCCCCTCTTCCCATCATCCCACATGCTTCCCCATCATCCCTGTCCCCGCCTGTTTCTCTGCATGACCCACAGCAAGCCCACCGCCACCACCCCAGCCACCTCCCCCCCCCTCCCCTCCTTCTCCTCCACCCTCCCCACCCTTCCCCCCTCCTTCCCCACCCTCCCCACCTTCCCCATCCCCCCCTCCTCCTCCACCCCCCACCCCTCCAACGCCTCCCACTCCGTCCCCTCCTTTCCCTCCACCCTCCCTCACCCTCTCTCCTCCTCCGCCTCTCTCACCTCCCCCGTCATCCCCCTCCTCCCTCCCCTCCACCACACCCAGTCCCCCTTCGCCTGTTCAATCCCAGGCTCCCCCGTCACCTCCTCCTCCCCCCTCCCCTCCGGGAGCAACAGCTGCAGCAACTCCTCCCGTTCCCGCTCCACCCTTCCCCCCATCACCTCCCCTCGTTGCCTCCCCTCCCCTCTCTGCCTCCCCTCCCCTCTCTGCCTCCCCTCCCTTCTCCCCTCCCCTGCCACCATCTCTATCACTCCCACCCTCCCCTCCCAATACGCCTAATGCACCACCCGCCCTCGCTCCTATCTCACCCCCCTCCCTCGCTCCTATCTCACCCCCCTCCCTCGCTCCTATCTCACCCCCCTCCCTCACTCCTGACTCACCACCCTCCCCACCTTCTCCTCCTCTCTCTCCCCCCTCCCCTCCCAAAGCAACAGCTCCTCCGCTTCCCTCGCCTCCCTTCCCCCCATCACCCCCTCTTTCTGCCTCACTCTCTCAGCCTCCTCCCATCCCCTCATCACTATCACCCCTACCTTCCCCCACCAATGCTCCAGATACACCACCCTCCCTCCCTCCTCTCTCTCCCCCCTCGCCTCCTGAAGCAACAACGCCTCCCTTCCCCCCACCTCCCTTTCCCCCATCACCTCCGCTTTCTGACACTCCTCCCCTGTCCACTCCCCCACTACCATCACCCCCACCCTCCCCTCCCACCTCTCTTCCTCCTCCCCCTCCCCCCTCCCCTCCTGAAGCAACTCCTGCGCCTCCCTCCCCCCCTTCCCCCCCTTTTTCTGTCACCCAATCACCTCCTCCCTCACCTCCCCACCCACCACCCTTCCCCCCTCCTTATCCTCCTCCCTCACCTCCCAATTCCCCACCCTTTTCCCCTCCCTTTCCCCCTCCCTCCCCACCCGATTCCCCACCCTCCCCCCCTCCCTATCCGCCTCCCTCCCCAGCCGATTCCCCACCCTGCCCCCCTCCCTATCCTCCTCCCTCCCCACCACCCTATCCCCCTCCCCTTCCTCCTCCCTCCCCTCCTCTCCCTCCCCCCTCCCCTCCACAACCACCACCCTCCCCTCCACCTCTCCCTCCCCCATCTCCTCCCCAACCACCACCCTCTCCCCCTCCTCAACCTCCACCCTCCCCGCCACCTCTTGCTCCGCCTGTTATGCTTACCCGATGGGAATGCTACTATCAAAACCGCGATACAGGGTGTTCCTGTAGCTGTACCAATGGAAATCAATGTTACTGTGCAGTTTGAAATGAAGCATGATGCTTTTACAGGTTGCCAAAGGCAAGCTGGTATCAGAAATTATAATCCAGCTGTTCTGTAGTATCACCAAGTAAGATCCAATGCATACAAAACAAAACAAAAAAAACATATAAATTACACACAAGTCAAGCTGAGCAGAGGCGAGCTTGCAGTGTTTGGGGTTTCCAGTGCAAGGGGCCCATTCGCGTCCGGCTGACACACCTTCGTGCCGCCACATAGCGTACCTGTCCCGCTTGTCAACCCACAAAAGGTACACCCCGTACTCCTTTGTGTCGTGCCCGATGAGCTGCATGCGGCGGCACTTTTAAGGCAGTTATTAGTCGCGTCGCATAAGCTACAGGGTAACGATGGAACCGAGCCTGTGAGGAAGTTGCTGGTGAGTGTGAGCTTGCCAAGGGTGGTTGCAGTGGGCTTGGGTACGGTGCCCGTGAGGTAGTTGCCTCCCAGGGCGCTGTGGGGAGAGAGAGAGGGAGCGGGGATGAGAAAGAGAGAAGGGGATAGGGAAGGGAACAGAGAGGGACAGAGGGAGTGGTTGAGGTGGGCTTGGGTACGGTGCCCGTGAGGTAGTCGCCTCCCAGGGCTCTGTGGGGGGGAAACGGAGAGGGGAAGAGAGAAGCGAAAGGGAACCGGTGAGGTAGAGAGTGGGTATGGGGAAGGAGCGGAGAAGGTAGGGAGTGGGGAAGGGGAGTGGGCGAAAATGAGAAAACCATGCAAAGCTGCAGAGAGAGGGTTACAGACTGGCGAGGAGGGGAAGAAGAAGCAAGCAGGGAGGTGTGAGGGAGCAGGAGTGAACCATGAAACGTGCAGCACATGTTGGTGTCACTCATGAGAATTCTCGAAATTAACATTAACCGGCCACACAGGTATCGAGAGGGACTCACAGGCTGGTGAGGTTGGGGAGGTCGAGCAGGTAGGCGGGCAGTGTACCGTAAAACCAGTTGTATTGCAGGTCGCTGCAGGGTGGGGTGGGGCAGGGTGGGGTGGCAGGGTGGGGTGGCAGGGTGGGGTGGCAGGGTGGGGTGGCAGGGTGGGGTGGCAGGGTGGGGTGGCACGGTGGGGTGGGGCACAGTGGCGTGGCAGGGTGGGGTGGGGCAGGGTAGGGGTGACGAGGCAAATATCTTCGGAGGCGGTTACAGATCAGCAGGGGAGGTTGAGCAGGTAGGAGGGTGGTGTGGCACAGAGCCAGTTGCAATGTAAGTGATTTTCACAAACCAGCGGTGTGATTCTCTTGAGCCGCCCAGAAAGACCCGCACAGATGCTAAGAGCACTCACAGCATGACGAGCGTGCAGCAGAGACACAGAGGGGCACTCACAGCACGACGAGGCTGGAGAGGGAGGAGAAGTAGGAGACAAAGGAGGCAAGAGGCGTCCAGAATAGATTGCTGTCGAAGGTGCTGCCGAGGGGGATGGTTAGGGGCACGGGGGAAGGGGAGGGTGGGAGAGTGGGGGAATGCAAGTGGGAGAGGCATGAGGCGGTTGCTGTGGAACGGTTTGAAAAGTTGGGGGGAAGGGGGTGGAAAGGGGGCCGGGGAAGTGGGCGGTGGGGGAGGGGGATGGGAGAAAAGTAGATGAGAGTCTCTAGGGTGGGCAGAGGGAGGCGAGGTGAGGTGAGGCGAATCAAGAGCAGTGGTGGGATGGCATGAGATGGCATGGGATGGAATGGCATGACATGACATGGTATGGGATAGCATGGGATGGCATGGGATGGAATGGCATGACATGACATGGTATGGGATAGCATGGGATGGCATGGGATGGCATGGCATGACATGACATGGTATGGGATAGCATGGGATGGAATGGGATGGAATGGCATGACATGACATGGTATGGGATAGCATGGGATGGCATGGGATGGAATGGCATGACATGACATGGTATGGGATAGCATGGGATGGAATGGGATGGAATGGCATGGCATGACATGGTATGGGATAGCATGGGATGGCATGGGATGGAATGGCATGACATGACATGGTATGGGATAGCATGGGATGGCATGGGATGGAATGGCATGACATGACATGGTATGGGATAGCATGGGATGGCATGGGATGGAATGGCATGACATGACATGGTATGGGATAGCATGGGATGACATGGGATGGCATGGCATGACATGACATGGTATGGGATAGCATGGGATGGCATGGGATGGAATGGCATGACATGACATGGTATGGGATAGGATGGGATGGCATGGGATGGAATGGCATGACATGACATGGTATGGGATAGCATGGGATGGCATGGGATGGAATGGCATGACATGACATGGTATGGGATAGCATGGGATGGCATGGGATGGAATGGCATGACATGACATGGTATGGGATAGCATGGGATGGCATGGGATGGAATGGCATGACATGACATGGTATGGGATAGCATGGGATGGAATGGGATGGAATGGCATGACATGACATGGCATGGGATGGAATGGCATGACATGACATGGTATGGGATAGCATGGGATGGCATGGGATGGAATGGGATGACATGACATGGTATGGGATAGCATGGGATGGCATGGGATGGAATGGCATGACATGACATGGTATGGGATAGCATGGGATGGCATGGGATGGAATGGCATGACATGACATGGTATGGGATAGCATGGGATGGAATGGGATGGAATGGCATGACATGACATGGTATGGGATAGCATGGGATGGCATGGGATGGAATGGCATGACATGACATGGTATGGGATAGCATGGGATGGCATGGGATGGAATGGCATGACATGACATGGTATGGGATAGCATGGGATGGAATGGGATGGAATGGCATGACATGACATGGTATGGGATAGCATGGGATGGCATGGGATGGAATGGCATGTCATGACATGGTATGGGATAGCATGGGATGGCATGGGATGGAATGGCATGACATGACATGGTATGGGATAGCATGGGATGGAATGGGATGGAATGGCATGACATGACATGGTATGGGATAGCATGGGATGGCATGGGATGGAATGGCATGACATGACATGGTATGGGATAGCATGGGATGGAATGGGACGGAATGGCATGACATGACATGGTATGGGATAGCATGGGATGGCATGGGATGGAATGGCATGACATGACATGGTATGGGATAGCATGGGATGGCATGGGATGGAATGGCATGACATGACATGGTATGGGATAGCATGGGATGGAATGGGATGGAATGGCATGACATGACATGGTATGGGATAGCATGGGATGGCATGGGATGGAATGGCATGACATGACATGGTATGGGATAGCATGGGATGGCATGGGATGGAATGGCATGACATGACATGGTATGGGATAGCATGGGATGGAATGGGATGGAATGGCATGACATGACATGGTATGGGATAGCATGGGATGGCATGGGATGGAATGGCATGACATGACATGGTATGGGATAGCATGGGATGGAATGGGATGGAATGGCATGACATGACATGGTATGGGATAGCATGGGATGGCATGGGATGGAATGGCATGACATGACATGGTATGGGATAGCATGGGATGGCATGGGATGGAATGGCATGACATGACATGGTATGGGATAGCATGGGATGGCATGGGATGGAATGGCATGACATGACATGGTATGGGATAGCATGGGATGGCATGGGATGGAATGGCATGACATGACATGGTATGGGATAGCATGGGATGGCATGGGATGGAATGGCATGACATGACATGGTATGGGATAGCATGGGATGGCATGGGATGGAATGGCATGACATGACATGGTATGGGATAGCATGGGATGGCATGGGATGGAATGGCATGACATGACATGGTATGGGATATCATGGGATGGCATGGGATGGAATGGCATGACATGACATGGTATGGGATAGCATGGGATGGCATGGGATGGAATGGCATGACATGACATGGTATGGGATAGCATGGGATGGCATGGGATGGAATGGCATGACATGACATGGTATGGGATAGCATGGGATGGCATGGGATGGAATGGCATGACATGACATGGTATGGGATAGCATGGGATGGAATGGGATGGAATGGCATGACATGACATGGTATGGGATAGCATGGGATGGCATGGGATGGAATGGCATGACATGACATGGTATGGGATAGCATGGGATGGCATGGGATGGAATGGCATGACATGACATGGTATGGGATAGCATGGGATGGCATGGGATGGCATGCCATGGCATGGTCTGCGATGGCGCGGCATGTGGCATGGCATGGTTTGCTGCGGGGGGACGTACAGGCGAGTGAGCGATGTGAGAGCGATGACATCCGAGGCCATGGACCCTTTGAGCTTCTGACTCGTCAAGTCACTGCCAGGCAGAAGAGGCACGAGGGTTGAGAGCATGAGAGCATGGAAGTGAGCATGCATGGATTGCCCGGGTGAAAGGCAAGGCAACACGGAGGATGGGTGATGTGAGAGTGCTGCCATCCGCTGCCATGGAGTCATGGACCCCTTGAGCTTATGACTTGTCAAGTCACTGAGGAGAATGAGCGGCATGGGGCATGGTTATGGGACATGGGGCACGGGGCATGGGCATGACCCATGGGTATGGGGCATGTGAAATGGGGCATGGGACATGGGGCATGAGACATGGGCATGGGACATAGGGCATGGGGCATTGGGCATGGGACATGGGGCATGGGGCATTGGGGAATGGGTATTGAGCATGCAGAGAAAGGCAGCAAGGGGAATGGGGCGTGGGGCACGGGGAATTGGGTTATAGGACATGGGCCCCAAGTAAAGCAAGTGAACTGACAGTTCCCTTGGGAGTCGCTGACTACCAATACCATTACCATTACCATTACCATTACCATTACCACTACCATACCAATACCAATACCGATACACTACCATTATCATTACCATTACCATTACCACTACCACTACCACTACCACTACCATTACCACTACAATTACCATTACCATTACCACTCCCAATCAAGTCAAGCGAGTCAACATAGTCAATTTACATGGAGACAACGTTCCCGAGGGAGTCGCACGCCACACCGGGCCAGTCAGAGCCCGAGGTGTATCCCTCCACACTGCACCCCCCACTGCCCCATGCCGTGGCCGTCACTCCCAAGGCGCTCTTGAGAGATAAAAGAGCAGTCACTGCAGGAATGAGAGCGGGAGGAAGGAGCATAGAAACGGGTGGGGATGGGCCGGAATGAAGAGTTTTTATTCACGGGAATGGGAAGGGAATGGGAACAGGCAGGGAATTGATGTTCCCATGACTGCCAATTGTTGTGCTGACTGCCCCATGACGTGGCTGGGAATGGGAGGAGGGGGGGGGGGAACAGGGAGTGGGAGGGAGAGATTGCAGGGGTTGGGGAAAGCAAGAATGGACGGAGGAAGAGGAGAGCAGAGCAGAACAGAGAGCGTTTTGTCTCGCATACGCTTCATCCCTAACGCGTTTCATCTCACACACAGTTCATCTCTAACTCATTTCATCTCACGCATTTCATCTCTAACTCGTTTCATCTCATGGCATTTCATCTCTCAGGTGTCCATTCACTCTCACCTGTAGCAACCGACATCGAAGCTTGTGAGCTGCCTGCATGGAGCAGAATGGATGTGGGTGGGTGGGTGGGAGCGGGGTAGAAGGATGGGGATGAGGCAAGGGTGGAGAAAAGGATGAAGGGGATGAGGTGGATGCATGGGGAAGGGGATGAGGTGGATGCATGGGGAAGGGGACGAGGTGGATGCATGGGGAAGGGGATGAGGTGGATGCATGGGGAAGGGGATGAGGTGGATGCATGGGGAAGGGGATGAGGTGGATGCATGGGGAAGGGGATGAGGTGGATGCATGGGGAAGGAGATGAGGTGGATGCATGGGGAAGGGGATGAGGTGGATGCATGGGGAAGGAGATGAGGTGGATGCATGGGGAAGGGGATGAGGTGGATGCATGGGGAAGGGGATGAGGTGGATGCATGGGGAAGGAGATGAGGTGGATGCATGGGGAAGGGGATGAGGTGGATGCATGGGGAAGGGGACGAGGTGGATGCATGGGGAAGGGGATGAGGTGGATGCATGGGGAAGGGGATGAGGTGGATGCATGGGGAAGGAGATGAGGTGGATGCATGGGGAAGGGGATGAGGTGGATGCATGGGGAAGGGGATGAGGTGGATGCATGGGGAAGGAGATGAGGTGGATGCATGGGGAAGGGGATGAGGTGGATGCATGGGGAAGGGGATGAGGTGGATGCATGGGGAAGGGGACGAGGTGGATGCATGGGGAAGGGGATGAGGTGGATGCATGGGGAAGGGGATGAGGTGGATGCATGGGGAAGGAGATAAGGTGCACACACAGCACACACACCCGAACACCCGAACATTGTGATCCAGCACAGCTTGACACGGCCCCGCGTGAACCACCAGTGATACCGACTGAACCTCATTTGGAGGCACAGGCACCAAGCAGTGCCCGTCCCAGCACCTCTCTCCTTCTCCCACACAGACATACCCACCTGTGCACTGCATATCCTGCACGGCTTGAGCCGGCCCGTTTGGCCCCACCTGAGCGCCGGGGCCACAGACACAACACACTCCCCATCAAAGCTCCTCTCTCCTTCTCCCACACAAACATACCCACCTGTGCACTGGAGGTCCTGCACGGCTTGAACTGGTCCGTTGGGCCCCGCCAGAACCACAGCTGGGGCCACAGACACAACACACTCCCCATCAAAGCAAACGCTTTCTTCCGTCGCCGTCCCCATCCCGCACACCGCACACCGCTCTGTCGCCGTCGCTGCTGCTGCCCCCGCCACTGCGGCAGGGCGTTGCGTGGAGCCGAAGCGAGCGCAGGGAGCAGCAGCGGCAGGTACGAGGCAGTTGTGTTCGGCGGCGCAGTGGGAGAGGGTGGAGGGGAGGGTGGGGAGGGAACCGGAGAGGAAGTTGTAGGCTATGTCGAGGGCAAGGAGGGAGGAGGGGAGTGAGGGGAGCGAGCCGGTGAGGTAGTTGGAGAAGAGGGACCTGGTGGAGGGTGGTGGAGAGTGGTGGGGAACAATTGAGGAGGAAAGGTGAGGGGTGAGAAGGAGCCGAGGTCACTGCGGTGCTTCTTGAGGTAAGTTGGAGGGAAGGAGGCATTGAGAAGCGGGATAGCGTGCGTGACGTGACGTGACTCACAGGCCGGTTAATTTGGAGAGCTGGGAGATGGTGGTGGGGATTGAGCCATAGAACCAGTTGTACCCCAGAAGCCTATGGGCAGGGGACAGGGAGAAGGGCGAGCGAACATGAGGGGACCGGTTCGGGGTGAGTAAGATGGTGCACATGACAAATGCGTGCTTTACGAGATGAGGCGCACAGATGCTTGAGCAGAGTGACTTTTGAGGCGCCTCAAAAGTCATGAGGCGTACAGATGCTTGAGCAGAGTGACTTTTGAGGCGCCTCAAAAGTCATGAGGCGTACAGATGCTTGAGCAGAGTGACTTTTGAGGCGCCTCAAAAGTCATGAGGCGTACAGATGCTTGAGCAGAGTGACTTTTGAGGCGCCTCAAAAGTCATGAGGCGTACAGATGCTTGAGCAGAGTGACTTTTGAGGCGCCTCAAAAGTCATGAGGCGTACAGATGCTTGAGCAGAGTGACTTTTGAGGCGCCTCAAAAGTCATGAGGCGTACAGATGCTTGAGCAGAGTGACTTTTGAGGCGCCTCAAAAGTCATGAGGCGTACAGATGCTTGAGCAGAGTGACTTTTGAGGCGCCTCAAAAGTCATGAGGCGTACAGATGCTTGAGCAGAGTGAGCAAGACCAAGTTGGGTGGAACCCTTTAAGAATCCCCAAGGGTACACATGTCAACTTTTAAGAGATGAGACGTACAGCTGATTGAGTTGAGCAAGAGAGAACCCGTCGGTGAGAGAGACAGACAGTCTAAAAAACTTTCTACTAGCAACTTGTAAGAAATGGGACGCACAGCTGCTTGAGTTGAGTGAGCGAGTACACGTCGGACAGAAAGCCGTCCAGCTGCTGGTTGAAAAGATTGGAGCTCAGGTCACTGCTTGTTGGGGGGGAGCGGTGAGAGGGGGAGCAATATCAGAGAGGCGTCTAAAAGAGAGAAAGCCGTCCAGCTGCTGGTTGAAGAGGTTGGAGCTCAGGTCGATGCTTGTGTGGTGGGGAAAGGAAGTGTGGTGGGGAAAGGAAGAGTGGAGGGAAGGAAGGTGGGATGGGGATGTGAGAGGCGTCCCAAAGAGATGGCGTTGCTGGTTGAAGAGATTCGAGCGTCTCAATGAGAGAAAACAGTCCAGCTGCTCAGAGGATGGATGGATGGATGGATGGATGGATGGATGGATGGATGGATGGATGGATGGATGGATGGATGGATGGATGGATGGATGGATGGATGGATGGATGGGAGGTACAGACAATGCGATGCAGGAGTAGCGGCAAGGGGGGAACAGGGACATGGCAAAAAGAGAGTGGGTGTGATGTGATGGGTAAGTGGGGTGCCATAGGCGTGGGAATGTGTGAGGTGAGCATTGAAGGGGTGGCGAGAGGGAGCGGCAGGGCCGTACGTACAGGGAGGTGAGCGCTGAGAGCGATGAGACGGATAGAGGAGGGCCTTTTGAGACGTGTCAAGAAGAGACCGGGAGGCAGGGCCGTACGTACAGGGAGGTGAGCGCTGAGAGCGATGAGACGGATAGAGGAGGGCCTTTTGAGACGTGTCAAGAAGAGACCGGGAGGCAGGGCCGTACGTACAGGGAGGTGAGCGCTGAGAGCGATGAGACGGATAGAGGAGGGCCTTTTGAGACGTGTCAAGAAGAGACCGGGAGGCAGGACCGTACGTACAGGGAGGTGAGCGCTGAGAGCGATGAGACGGATAGAGGAGGGCCTTTTGAGACGTGTCAAGAAGAGACCGGGAGGCAGGACCGTACGTACAGGGAGGTGAGGACCGTACGTACAGGGAGGTGAGCGCCGAGAGCGATGAGACGGATAGAGGAGGGCCTTTTGAGACGTGTCAAGAAGAGACCGGGAGGCAGGACCGTACGTACAGGGAGGTGAGCGCTGAGAGCGATGAGACGGATAGAGGAGGGCCTTTTGAGACGTGTCAAGAAGAGACCGGGAGGCAGGACCGTACGTACAGGGAGGTGAGCGCTGAGAGCGATGAGACGGATAGAGGAGGGCCTTTTGAGACGTGTCAAGAAGAGACCGGGAGGCAGGACCGTACGTACAGGGAGGTGAGCGCTGAGAGCGATGAGACGGATAGAGGAGGGCCTTTTGAGACGTGTCAAGAAGAGACCGGGAGGCAGGACCGTACGTACAGGGAGGTGAGCGCTGAGAGCGATGAGACGGATAGAGGAGGGCCTTTTGAGACGTGTCAAGAAGAGACCGGGAGGCAGGACCGTACGTACAGGGAGGTGAGCGCTGAGAGCGATGAGACGGATAGAGGAGGGCCTTTTGAGACGTGTCAAGAAGAGACCGGGAGGCAGGACCGTACGTACAGGGAGGTGAGCGCTGAGAGCGATGAGACGGATAGAGGAGGGCCTTTTGAGACGTGTCAAGAAGAGACCGGGAGGCAGGACCGTACGTACAGGGAGGTGAGCGCCGAGAGCGATGAGACGGATAGAGGAGGGCCTTTTGAGACGTGTCAAGAAGAGACCGGGAGGCAGGACCGTACGTACAGGGAGGTGAGCGCTGAGAGCGATGAGACGGATAGAGGAGGGCCTTTTGAGACGTGTCAAGAAGAGACCGGGAGGCAGGACCGTACGTACAGGGAGGTGAGCGCTGAGAGCGATGAGACGGATAGAGGAGGGCCTTTTGAGACGTGTCAAGAAGAGACCGGGAGGCAGGACCGTACGTACAGGGAGGTGAGCGCTGAGAGCGATGAGACGGATAGAGGAGGGCCTTTTGAGACGTGTCAAGAAGAGACCGGGAGGCAGGACCGTACGTACAGGGAGGTGAGCGCCGAGAGCGATGAGACGGATAGAGGAGGGCCTTTTGAGACGTGTCAAGAAGAGACCGGGAGGCAGGACCGTACGTACAGGGAGGTGAGCGCTGAGAGCGATGAGACGGATAGAGGAGGGCCTTTTGAGACGTGTCAAGAAGAGACCGGGAGGCAGGACCGTACGTACAGGGAGGTGAGCGCTGAGAGCGATGAGACGGATAGAGGAGGGCCTTTTGAGACGTGTCAAGAAGAGACCGGGAGGCAGGACCGTACGTACAGGGAGGTGAGCGCTGAGAGCGATGAGACGGAGGAGTGAAGTGACCCAGAGGCGCCTTGCATGCGCAGAGCGCTGTTGAGGGGTGGAAAGAGGGAGGGGGGGGGGGGAAGGGGGGTGTGGGGTTGGGTGGGGGGACACAGCAAAGCAGGGTGAAGGTGGAGGAGGGCAGCAAAACAGAGGTGCCTTGCATGCGCAGCAGAGTGCTGTTGGTAAGACGGGGGAAGGGGTAGGGGAGTTGAGGAGGGGGGCTCGGGAAGCGAACAACACAGAAAACGATTTCTAAGAAGGGATGGGAGATATGGAGGAGAGGAATGGAGAAGACCGGAGTGGTCTTTTAAAACATTCTAAAAGTCTTCTTCGGAGACTAAGGGGTTTTACAGTTCTACGAATTTCACAAGTTTTTTTGCCTTTGCTGTTGATCCTTTTGCCAAAGCGTCCCCATCACGTCCGTCACTGCAGCCCGTCGACTATGAGTCACGAAGTGAGCTATTCTCAGCAATCTCTCCTCCAACGACTTGTACACATGCGCCCATCACATGCGTCCCCATCACGTACTGCAGCCCGTCGACTATGAGTCAGGAGGACCAAAGTGGCCTTTTAAGTCATTCTAAAAGTCTCTGCGTGTGCAGAGCTTCTGAGCGTGTTTGCTACTCACGTGCTTTTGAGAATTCTGCGTGTGCAGAGCTTCTGCGAGAATTCTCAAAAGTCACTCCAATATGTCTCTGCGTGTGCAGAGCAGAGCTTCTGAGCATGTTTGCTACTCACGTGCTTGCTTGCTACAGCCCACTCACATGCTTGTGACTGCACCATTGTCGGAGCATCTGACCCCAGCCCAGTAGGGCGTCGCCTGGGAGGCTTTCGCCCCCGTACTCTCCCCTGTGCCCACCCACGTGCTGTCCGTCACTCCCAGCGACGACTTGAGCGCCATCAGGACGGACACTGTATGGGAGGTGGGGCAGGAGGAGGTGGGATGTGACGAAAAGGTGTGAGATGAAATGAAAGGCTTGCTCTGAATTCTAAGCAAGTTCTGAGGCGCCTCTTTTGAGGGAGTGGTGCTCGCCCCCAGTCATGTCCGGCGAGCACCGCACCCTTTCATCCACAATCATCCCCCCCCCCCCCTCCTCTTCCTCCCCACACATGCCCATGGCTCCAGTGCAACCGGCTTTTGAGTCGACTCAAAAGTGGCTCCAGCGCAAACCCTGTCCCCCCCGCACCATCTCCCCGCCGCCCCTAAATCACACGGTCAGTCAGGCTCGCTCGCTCACTCACTCACCCTGCGCCGGGAGAATATAGGCAGCCTCGCAGAACTGCGGCAGCAGCGCGGCAGTGGCCTCATTCGGCGCCATTGTAACGAGGTGACTCTTGAGTCGACTCAAAAGTCACCCCATAAATCACAGTCACTAACTCACTCACCCTGCGCGGGGAGAATGTAGACAGCCTCGCAGAACTGCGGCAGCAGCGCAGCAGAGCCCCCATTTGGCGCAGTCAGCCCGGTCGGGTCCACCGTGCACCCCTCCAGAAGCCCCCCGCACATGCCCGTCGCCCCCGCCGCCCCGCCGCAAAACACACACTGGGCAGCGGGCCGTTGGGTGGAGAGGGGGCAGGCAGCAGGGGGGCTGCTGGTGAAGCAGTTGGTGTGGCAGACGGCGGGTGAGACGCCGGAGGGGGAACGGGCGATGAAGAAGTTTTCATCCACGTAAACGTTTACGAGCGAAGGGGGGAGTGGGGGGATCGTGCCCACGAGGTAGTTGGAGAATATGGTTCTGGAGGGGGGAAGAGGGAAAGGGGGGAGAAAGGGGGGGAGGAGAGGAGGGAGAGGGGAGTGGTGGGAGGATGGGCAGAGAAAGGGGGAGAGTAGTGGGGAGATTGGTTTTTTTTAGACGTCTCTCAAAAGTGGATTGAGTCTGGCGCAGATGAATTGCAGTGAAGAGGTGGGGGAGGGGAAATGGGGGGAACGTAGGGAAACGGGGAGGAAGAGGAGAAAAAAAGGGGAGAGGGAAGCGGGGTGAAGGAAGGAGGAGGGGGAGGAACGGTGGGAGAAATGGGAGAGTGGAAGCAAGGACGAGGGAGAGGAAGGAGAAGAGAAGAAGAGAAGAAGGGGTGCAGAGGGGTGGAAGGGATTAAGGGAGCAAGGGCGGGGGTGAGAGGGAGGGGGAGAAGGGGACCCATGCGATGGCAGGTGAACGCACACACAGGGGGGATGGTACAGGTACATTGCGCGTGTGAGAGCGTGCTTTCGAGTTACCAAATCTTGCTGCAGTTCGAGTCCTTCTCATTCTCTGCAAGAGGCAGCGGCGACCTTTGTACATCAGGCGTGTGGGGGTGTGGCTTCGACACGTGTCGAGGCACGTACAGTACAGGTGGGTATGCATGAAGGCGCGCACAGAGAGCCGCATGAAGGCACGTTCAGCATGCCCCCTTACAACGTCTCAAGCACGTACTGGTGTGTTGGGCATGTGAGACGATCTTTGAGTGGACTAAAGAAGCACCTACAGGAATGTTAGGCGTGTGAGGTTGATGACGGATGTTGGGACAGTGCCGTAGAACCAGTTGGCACAAATCCGCCTGCGAGGCGCAGAGAGGGGCGCAGAGAGGAGTTTATTTTCTAGGCGCCTCACAACTGGATGTTGGGACAGTGCCGTAGAACCAATTGGCACAAATCCGCCTGCAAATCCAATCGGGAACGACCCTCCAGGGTGGTTACGATGGTGCTGTGGAACCGGATGGTGGTATGCACTCGGGTGCACAGAGAGGTTGGACGACACGCCACTCGCACAGCGAGGTTGGACACGCCACTCGCACAGAGAGGCATCCCCACAAAGGGGAGGGAAAGGGGGAGTGAGAGCACGGGAGGGGGATCCCCACACGCCACACGCCACACACCACACGCCACATGCACGGAGAGGGAAGGGGGGAGTGAGAGCACAGGAGCTGGAGAGCGAGAGCACGGGGAAAGCTTGTGCTGCTGGCGAGAGAAAGGTTGTGCTGGCCTGGCCATTATGCTGGCGAAAAAAGGACTCACAAATCTATGAGTTGAGGCATTTGCATCAGTGTGGCGGTCCAAGGCGTGAAGCTGCCGTGCAGCAGGTTGTAGCAGAGATTGCTGTGGGGAGGGGGGGAGAGGGAAGGGTGGGAGAGGCGGAGGGAGTTTGAGATGCGTCAGAAGCTGCCGTGCCGTGCAGCAGGTTGTAGCAGAGATGCTGAACGCGGGGGGGGGGAGGGCGGAGGGGCGCGCAGCAGGTTGTAGCAGAGATTTCTGTGTTTCTGGGAAATGCCAAGCAAGTGCGTGAAAGGCAGGGGTTGTGCCAGCCACCGATGGCTTTGCGTGAAGATGGTTGGGGGAAGAGCATTGGGAGGTACAAGGAAATGAAAAGTGCGCGCGGATTGGGGTGTGTGTGTGTGTGTGTTTTTCTGTGTGTGTGTGTGTGTGTGTGTGTGTGTGTGGGTGGGTGGGTGGGTGGGTGGGGGGAAGAAGGGAAAGGAGGAGAGTGAGGTAGGAAGAGAATGGAAATCTGAAGCTAATGGAGGGGCGAGGGTAAGGGAGAGTAGAATGGTCGGCTCACATGAAGGCAAGGGGTGAGCGGTGAGCGGTCAGCGGTGAGCAGTGAGCGGTGAGCGGTGAGCAGTGAGCAGTGAGCAGTGAGCAATAATGAGCAGTGTTGAGCGATGAGCAGTAAGCAGTGAGAGAAGCTTCACATGAAGGCTCTTGTCATCCGGTTTTCGAGTCCAGGAGTTAAGAGGAGAGAAAGGGGGGGAGGCGGGAAATGGGGGAAGGCGGGAAAAGGGGGAAGGTGGGATGGAGGGGAGGAAAGGAAGGGGCGGCTCACAGGAAGGTGAGAGCGGAGAGCTTGCTGATGTCAGTTGGCATGCTTCCCTTGAGCGACTGCATGTGAAAGTTCCTGGAAGGAGGGGGGGGGGGGAGACGGGGGGAGGTGTGTACTTGAGTCGAATCTATTTCAAATGTAATCAGAAAATAGTGTATTTGTCAATGAAAATGATATTTTTGCGAGGGTGTTCAGATTGAGGGAAGCCCTAGTGGAGCTTATTGATTATTATGGTTAACCCTTGAAATTGCCGAGGTGGGAAGGAGGCAGCAACAGCAGCATCAACATCTGAGACGCGCGATCGTGATTGATTGATTGAGTTAGCATCAACTGCTGCGATTTCAACCCCCCGTTAGACTCACATCCAAACGACGTTTCCGGACCCATCGCACGACACGGCACCAAACTCATTGGCCTGCTGCACGAACCCGAGCGGCCCGCAGCTAGACGACGCCTGCCAGGACGTTAGCGTCACGCCCAGAGCCGGCTTTATTGCGAGCAGCGCGTCTTCTGTAGAGAGAAACGGGAACAGTGCGTAACGCGTACAGTGGTGGGGGCGTGAGCGTCGGCTAAGGAGAGGGAACTGATGAGAGCGTGAGGGTACGGGAATGCTGGGTGATGGGAATGCATGACATGTTAGGAGGCCAGGAACTTCCTTGGGGACTCAAAGCATCATGTAAGTGGGAAAACCAAGGGAGTCCGGCGATACGAAAATATCATCTCGAGAGTCGATTCGAGACGAAGGACGATGGCACGAGACGACCGTCGTGATATTTGAGAATTCTCAAAATTCGCTCACGAGGGAGAAGTTCGGCACACGAAACTTCCGTAACCGGTTTGGCTCTTCGGTTGGTTAAGAAACGCATCCGACGGCGGGAGAGAGGGCGGCACGCAAGACGACATGCAGCAGCGTACAAGCTAATAGGGACGGTTTGGAATTAATATAACTATTCGACTGTTGAAACGTTTCACAAGAAGTTACTAACGCGAATGCTCCAAACTGATGTAACTATGAAGCAGTGATTTTCCTCATGGGTGGACGTCTCGAATTCCAACGATGCCCGGCGCATGAAAGCGGCATCATATAGAATGAGGATATTACTATTCTCGACACACACAAAAAATCAGACGATATTGCAAACGAAAATATACAAATCCAGCGGGGGGAAGACCGGCGAAAACCGTTCGGCAACAGTCAATCCAGTTCGACTCACACATGGAACGCGTACTCAAGTTTAAAAGGCGCCGAAGATGACTCAACGGTCACTCTGAGCCTACGTTCGGCTTACACATGGAATGCGAGCTCACTATCGTTGGTCGTCATAGTAACTGAAGCCACGGGGCGCGGTATACACGCCGTGATGAGAAGGAACGCGGAAGAGATCGCGACTGCGGATGACGATGACGTGGACACGCCGGCCATGGCAAATGCGGTGCGTTCTCGCATGTCGGCGTGTCGGAGGCGACTCCGCTGCGTTAGAGGTTGCAGCTGCGTGTCTGCCTGCGTCTACGTTTACGTCTACGTTAACGTCTACGTCTGCGTCTGCGTCGCGCGGCTACGGCGCGTCTGGATCGGTATGAACTGTCGTCCTACGCCGATTTCTGGAAGAGCGTCATCACCAGCCGTTGGATACACCGATCGGAGTAACCCTCCGACATGCTGTCTATCGCCGTTGCGCCCGGTATTTACCACCGCAACGTCCCGTATCTATCGCCGTCGCGCCCGGTATTTACCACCGTCAGGTCCCGTATATCGCCGTCGCGTCCAGTATCTATCGTCGTCGCGTCCGGTATCTATCGCCAGCACGTTGCCTGGGCTTCCATTTACGAATCACTAGAAGAGAAGACCTCCACTGCCACGGCAGCGTGTCTGCTTGTTGTTGAACACATTCACAACGCATCCTCCGGGACAGTCGACACGGAAGAGAGACACCAGACCAGACTGCGGTCCTGTGAGATGCGTCTCATCACTCGAGCTTTGTTCGAGTTCGGTACTCTACACGTAGGCCAACACTCCCAATACGCATGATGCCCTTGCCAAAAGCGTACTGTAACAAGTCTCCCGAGACGCACTCTTACAGTGTGCATTCGTCTGGACCATTTCCCGCTAAAAGACAATATCAACACATAGTCTACTGGGCAACTAGTACATGTTAAAATAACGTTTCGGTCATTTTCCAGTTTAGTGAGTGTAGGTTTCCAGACTTCTTGTACAATCACGAGAAAAATAGTCGCAACGAAACGGCCGATTCCCCGTGATCACAACCCACGAAATCTTACGACATCGACACATTGATTTTAGGAGTGCTTTCAGGAAGAAAAAATGAAGGGAAACAGGTGTAAAACAAAGGAAACCCTCCCTTCTCTTCCTGTACCCGTTATGCTCAATCGCTGGAATTATTATAACGGAATGTTTTTGTAGTTGATGCATAAACAACCGCAGAAAGCAGTAATTAAAATGTGATGGAAGATCATACTAAACCTCACCACTTGCACGCTATCAAATCTAGGACACGGACAAGGATCACAAAAGGTAAGGGTGTGAAAACGAATCCTGCCATTTGACTGGGCGATTGGTCGTCGTGACACGCCCATAGTAGTGCTTTGTTGTTGAAAGATTCACGAGGGTTTCAACTTCCAGCAGGATCAATAGGATCAATTGCAAGCAAGCAGGTTCTGTTGGGATTGCCCCTAGCAAGTTTATGGTGAATGAATCGGCAAATAACCAGGACAGCTCAAAGAAACCATATGAAGTTCGCACAATCTTGAACACGAGAAAGCCGCATAATTTACACACAAGTCAAGGCAAGCACAGGTGAGCTAGCAGTGTTAGGCGTTTCCTGTGCTAGAGGGGCACTTGCATTGGGTGCACACACTTTCGTACCCCCACATAATGTCCCCGACCCGCTAACCAGCCCACAAAACGTACACCCCGTACTCCTTTGTGTCGTGCCTGATGAACTGCAGGAGGATGTATCTGAGAGGCAATTCTTCGTGGCATCGCAAAAGTTGCAGGGTAGCGATGGCACGGAGCCAGAGAGGAAGTTTTGGGTGAGTGCGAGCTTGGCGAGAGTGGTTGAGGTGGGTGCAGGAATGGAGCCCGTGAGGTAGTTACAGCCAAGGGCTCTGTGTGGGGGAGCGACAGAGACGAGGAGGGGGGAGCGTGGGGGGGGAGGTGGAAGGGAAAGAACAGGAGAAGAGAGAGGGAAACGAGGAGTGTTGGGTGAGTGCGAGATAGGAGGGAGTGGTTGGGCAGTTTGATTATGGTTTCTGTGACGTGGTTTGTCCCAGAGCTCTGCGGGGAGAGAAGAGAGGAAGGAGAGCGGAAAGAGAGAAGTGGAAGAGAAGGTAAAGGGAGAGGGACAGGGGAAGTTTTGGGTGGGTGCGAGCTTGGCGGGAGTGGTTGAGGCAGGTTTGGGGTTTGGGTTTGGGCAGAGGGCTTTGTGCGAAGAGAGAGGGTGTGTGGAGGGGAGGGAGAAGGGAAACGAAGGGAAGAGAGAAGGGAAACGAAAACAGTGAGGTAATGGGTGGGAAAGGGAGTGGGGATGAAAGAGAGAAAGAACCATGAAAAGGCACAGGGGGGTTTACAGGCTGGCGAGGAGGGGAAAAGGAAGCAAGCAGGGAGGTGTGGCGGAGTTAAAGTGAACCACGCAAAGAGCCACACACAGAGAGAGGGACTGCTTGTGAGGTTGGGGAGATCGAGTAGGAGGGCAGGCAGGCAATTGCGTGGGTGGGAGCTGTAGAGAAGCACAGGAAAGATGCACAGAGGGAGAGGGGCCTACAGGCTGGTGAGGCTGGGGAGGTTGAGCAGGTAGGCAGGCAGTGAACCGTAGAACCAGTTGTATTGCAGGTCGCTGCAGGGTGGGGTGGCAGGGTGGGGTGGCAGGGTGAAAGGCAAACAATCAATATGCGCCTGAAGAAAAGAGCGACCCGCACAGAAAGTGAGTGACTGAACAGCAGCACTGCAGCATGAGTGTGCAGCTCAGACGCATAAGAGAACTCACAGCACGACAAGGGTGCAGCACAGGACAGGCACCGAGAAACACTCACAGCACGACAAGGTTGGAGAGAGAAGAGAAGTAGGAGACAAAGGAGTGAAGCGGCGTCCAGAAAAGGTTGCTGTCGAAGGTTCTGATAAGATGGGCGGAGTGGGTGGGGAGGGCGAGGGGAGGAGGAAGAAGGGAGAGGTGGGGATTGGAGTGGGATAATTACGGCAGAGGAAGAATTTCTTGGATGCTTATGAGAATTCTCTGAAGCAAGGTAGAATGGGCCCATTGGGGGGACGCTGTCAAAAGAATCAGAGAGGGAGACGAGAGTGCATGGCATGGGAAGGCATGGGATGGTATGGCATGGGATGGGATGGGATGGCATGGGATGGGATGGGATGGCATGGCATGGGATGGGATGGCATGGCATGGGATGGGATGGGATGGCATGGGATGGGATGGCATGGGAGGGTATGGCAGCAGCATGTGAAATGCATGCATGCCATGATGTGAGGGAAACGTACAGGCGAGTGAGCGATGTGAGAGTGGTGACATCCGAGGCCATGGACCCCTTGAGCTTCTGACTCGTTAGATCACTGTTCGGGGGGGGGGGGAGAGGGCCACGCAAGGAAAGGCAAGGCAAGGCAGCAGAGGGTGAGTGATGTGAGAGTGGTGACATCCGAGGCCATGGACCCCTTGAGGTTCTGACTCGTTAGATCACTGTTCGGGGGGGGGGGGAGGGGAGAGGGCTACGCAAGGAAAGGCAAGGCAAGGCAGCAGAGGGTGAGCGATGTGAGAGTGGTGACATCCGAGGCCATGGACCCCTTGAGCTTCTGACTCTTTAAATCACTGGGAAGGGCGAGTGACATGAGGCATGGGCATGGGGCATGGGGCATGGGTATTGGGCATGGTGATGCAGGCAGCACAGACGATGGGCCATGTGCCCCTGGAGCTTCTGGTTTGCCAAGGCACTGTTTGGGGGGAAGGGGCGAGAGGCATGGGGTATGGGGCATGGGGCACGGGAGTATGGGAATTGGGGCATGGAGTATCAGCAACACATCTGCAGGGGTACTCCTGAGTCAACCAAGTCAAATGAGACAACCGAGTCAAGTGCGACAACTGAGTCAACAAAGTCAACTGAGTCAACCAAGGCAACTGAGTCAACCATGTCAACTGAGTCAATCGAGACAACTGAGAAAACCAAGTCAAGCAAGTCGGCCGACATAGTCAAGCGAGTGAACTCACATGGAGAGGACGTTCCCGAGGGAGTCGCAGGCCACTCCGGGCCAGTCAGAGCCCGAGGTGTATCCCTCCACTGTGCACGCCCCACTGCCCCCCCATGCCGTGGCCGTCACTCCCAACGCGCTCTTGAGCGCAAGAAGAGCGTTTACTGGGGGGAGAAGTGGAAGGGGTAGCATAGAGATCAGGAGGGTGGGAACGCATGGGAGCGGGGGGATTACAGGAGGAAATGCAAGGGAGGGATTTCAGGGAATGGTGTAAGCAAATAAATGGGAGGGGGGGAGTGGAGAGCAGAGCAAGGCAGGCGTTTCATCTCACGGGTTTGATCCATCACGTGCTATAAATAGCGTTTCATCTTGCAAGCTATTGATGTCTAATGCGTTTCATCTCACACTCACACATCTCAACTCTCGGCTATCCAATCACTCTCACCTGTGGCATCTGTCATGGAGGTTTGTGTGTTGCCTGCTTGCGGCAGAATGAAGGACGGGGATGGGAGGGACGTGGACAAACGGGGGGGTGAGGGAATGAAAGGATGGAGATGGGGAGACCAGGAAGTATGACATGGCAAACAACCGATATTGAAAAAAATGCTAGTAAAGCTCAGCTGCTAACCACTAAGTAAAAAGGGCTTGTTCCACAGCAGATGAACGCGCCCCTAATTCCAAATGCCATCTCAGCGTGTCACCCATTTCAGGACCTTAGGCCGATCTTAGTGCTCCTCCAACAACCCCCCACACTAAACTAACCTTAAGGACCACAAACACCTTCGACGGTAGGAATCAAAACCAAGGGCTTTGCTATGATACCATGTTGTCAAAGCTCAATTACTAACCATTGATTCTAAAGGGCTTGTTCCATACCAGGGGAGCTCGGCCATATTCCTCCCCGACCATCTTTACCCGTAACCCTTTTGCAGGACCATAGGCCGACCCCAGTGTTCCTCCAACACAGACAGAGCACGCACGACATGCGCACCTGTGCACTGCATATCCAGCACGGCTTGAGCCGGCCCATTGGTCCCTGCCTGAGCCACCACTGGGGCCACAGACACAACGCAGTCCCCATCATAGCATAAGCTTGCTTCTGCCGCCGTGCCCATCCCGCACACGGCGCACCGCTCTGTTGCTGATGCTGCCGCTGCTCCCGCCACTGCGTCAGGGCGTTGGGTGGAGCCGAAGCGAGCGCAGGGGGCAGCGGCGGCGGGGATAAGGCAGTTGTGTTCGGCCGCGCAGTGGGAGAGGGTGGAGGGGAGGGTGGGGAGCGAGCCGGAGAGGAAGTTGTAGGCTATGTCGAGCGCAAGAAGTGAGGCGGGAAGTGAGGGGAGCGAGCCGGTGAGGTAGTTTGAGAAGAAGGACCTGGTGGGGGGTGGCAGGGAGTAGTGGAGAGTGGTACAGAACGGTAAAGGAAAGGGAAGGGTTGAGAAGGAGCAAAGAACACTGCGTCGGTCCTTTTGGTAGAAAATGTGATGGAAAGGGGAGGCTATGAGAAGAGGGATAGCACGCGTGACATGACATGACATGACTTGACTTGAGCTGGCACTGAAGTGGGATGGTGTGCATGAGGTGACCCATATTCTTGAGTTGAGTTGACTCAAGAAGCGAGATAGGATAGCGTGCGTGGCGTGACGTGACGTGACTCACAGGCCGGTCAGTTTGGTGAGCTCAGAGATGGTGGTGGGGATTGAGCCATAGAACCAGTTGTACCCCAGAAGCCTATGGGCAGGGTCAGGGTGAAGGGCGAAGGAACAGGGAAGGAGCGTTAAAGACTCTTATAAGGAGCAGGGAGGATTAGGGCGAATTGAGTGGGTGCAACACCAATGATCACTGTATGGATACGCGAAACAAGGAGAAGCAAGCCGTTGCACAAAACAAGGAGAATCGAGGAGTTGCACAAAACAAGGAGAATCGAGGAGTTGCGTAAAACAAGGAGAATCGAGGAGTTGCGTAAAACAAGGAGCTGCATAAAAGATTGAAATCAGACCTCAAACTTTTAAACAGATTTCAAACATGAGGCGTACAGCTGCTGGAGCGAAGTGAGCGAGACCAAGACAGAGAGAAAGCCGTCCAGCTGCTGGTTGAAGAGGTTGGAGCTCAGGTCCCTGTGTGGATGGCAAAAACAAGGGAGAGAGCAGTAAGCTCATGGGATGGACGCTCCTCAAGGCGTCTTCACGAGAGAAAGCCGTCCAGCTGCTGGTTGAAGAGGTTGGAGCTCAGGTCCCTGTGTGGATGGCAAAAACAAGGGAGAGAGCAGTAAGCTCATGGGATAGACGCTCCTCAAGGCGTCTTCACGAGAGAAAGCCGTCCAGCTGCTGGTTGAAGAGGTTGGAGCTCAGGTCCCTGGGTGGATGGCAAAAACAAGGGAGAGAGCAGTAAGCTCATGGGATAGACGCTCCTCAAGGCGTCTTCACGAGAGAAAGCCGTCCAGCTGCTGGTTGAAGAGGTTGGAGCTCAGGTCCCTGTGTGGATGGCAAAAACAAGGGAGAGAGCAGTAAGCTCATGGGATGGACGCTCCTCAAGGCGTCTTCACGAGAGAAAGCCGTCCAGCTGCTGGTTGAAGAGGTTGGAGCTCAGGTCCCTGTGTGGATGGCAAAAACAAGGGAGAGAGCAGTAAGCTCATGGGATAGACGCTCCTCAAGGCGTCTTCACGAGAGAAAGCCGTCCAGCTGCTGGTTGAAGAGGTTGGAGCTCAGGTCCCTGGGTGGATGGCAAAAACAAGGGAGAGAGCAGTAAGCTCATGGGATAGACGCTCCTCAAGGCGTCTTCACGAGAGAAAGCCGTCCAGCTGCTGGTTGAAGAGGTTGGAGCTCAGGTCCCTGTGTGGGTGGCAAAAACAAGGGAGAGAGCAGTAAGCTCATGGGATAGACGCTCCTCAAGGCGTCTTCACGAGAGAAAGCCGTCCAGCTGCTGGTTGAAGAGGTTGGAGCTCAGGTCCCTGTGTGGATGGCAAAAACAAGGGAGAGAGCAGTAAGCTCATGGGATAGACGCTCCTCAAGGCGTCTTCACGAGAGAAAGCCGTCCAGCTGCTGGTTGAAGAGGTTGGAGCTCAGGTCCCTGTGTGGATGGCAAAAACAAGGGAGAGAGCAGTAAGCTCATGGGATAGACGCTCCTCAAGGCGTCTTCACGAGAGAAAGCCGTCCAGCTGCTGGTTGAAGAGGTTGGAGCTCAGGTCCCTGGGTGGATGGCAAAAACAAGGGAGAGAGCAGTAAGCTCATGGGATAGACGCTCCTCAAGGCGTCTTCACGAGAGAAAGCCGTCCAGCTGCTGGTTGAAGAGGTTGGAGCTCAGGTCCCTGTGTGGATGGCAAAAACAAGGGAGAGAGCAGTAAGCTCATGGGATAGACGCTCCTCAAGGCGTCTTCACGAGAGAAAGCCGTCTAGCTGCTGGTTGAAGAGGTTGGAGCTCAGGTCCCTGTGTGGATGGCAAAAACAAGGGAGAGAGCAGTAAGCTCATGGGATAGACGCTCCTCAAGGCGTCTTCACGAGAGAAAGCCGTCCAGCTGCTGGTTGAAGAGGTTGGAGCTCAGGTCCCTGTGTGGATGGCAAAAACAAGGGAGAGAGCAGTAAGCTCATGGGATAGACGCTCCTCAAGGCGTCTTCACGAGAGAAAGCCGTCCAGCTGCTGGTTGAAGAGGTTGGAGCTCAGGTCCCTGGGTGGATGGCAAAAACAAGGGAGAGAGCAGTAAGCTCATGGGATAGACGCTCCTCAAGGCGTCTTCACGAGAGAAAGCCGTCCAGCTGCTGGTTGAAGAGGTTGGAGCTCAGGTCCCTGGGTGGATGGCAAAAACAAGGGAGAGAGCAGTAAGCTCATGGGATAAACGCTCCTCAAGGCGTCTTCACGAGAGAAAGCCGTCCAGCTGCTGGTTGAAGAGGTTGGAGCTCAGGTCCCTGTGTGGGTGGCAAAAACAAGGGAGAGAGCAGTAAGCTCATGGGATAGACGCTCCTCAAGGCGTCTTCACGAGAGAAAGCCGTCCAGCTGCTGGTTGAAGAGGTTGGAGCTCAGGTCCCTGTGTGGATGGCAAAAACAAGGGAGAGAGCAGTAAGCTCATGGGATAGACGCTCCTCAAGGCGTCTTCACGAGAGAAAGCCGTCCAGCTGCTGGTTGAAGAGGTTGGAGCTCAGGTCCCTGTGTGGATGGCAAAAACAAGGGAGAGAGCAGTAAGCTCATGGGATAGACGCTCCTCAAGGCGTCTTCACGAGAGAAAGCCGTCCAGCTGCTGGTTGAAGAGGTTGGAGCTCAGGTCCCTGTGTGGATGGCAAAAACAAGGGAGAGAGCAGTAAGCCCATGGGATAGACGCTCCTCAAGGCGTCTTCACGAGAGAAAGCCGTCCAGCTGCTGGTTGAAGAGGTTGGAGCTCAGGTCCCTGGGTGGATGGCAAAAACAAGGGAGAGAGCAGTAAGCTCATGGGATAGACGCTCCTCAAGGCGTCTTCACGAGAGAAAGCCGTCCAGCTGCTGGTTGAAGAGGTTGGAGCTCAGGTCCCTGGGTGGATGGCAAAAACAAGGGAGAGAGCAGTAAGCTCATGGGATAGACGCTCCTCAAGGCGTCTTCACGAGAGAAAGCCGTCCAGCTGCTGGTTGAAGAGGTTGGAGCTCAGGTCCCTGTGTGGGTGGCAAAAACAAGGGAGAGAGCAGTAAGCTCATGGGATAGACGCTCCTCAAGGCGTCTTCACGAGAGAAAGCCGTCCAGCTGCTGGTTGAAGAGGTTGGAGCTCAGGTCCCTGCTCAGGTCGCCGCGTGAGGGGGGTGATGTGATGGGGGTGATGCGATGGGGGTGATGCGATGGGGGTGATGCGATGGGGGTGATGCGATGGGGGTGATGCGATGGGGGTGATGCGATGGGGGTGATGCGATGGGGTTGATGCGATGGGGGTGATGGGGGTGACGGGGGTGATGGGGGTGATGGGGGTGATGGGTGATGGGGGTGATGGGTGATGGGGGTGATGGGTGATGGGGGTGATGGGTGATGGGGGTGATGGCTGATGGGGGTGATGGGTGATGGGGGTGATGTGATGGGGGTGATGGGGGCGAAGGGGGTGATGTGATGTGATAGGGGTGATGAGGGTGATGGGGGTGATGGGGGTCATGGGGGTGATGTGGGTGATGGGGGTGATGTGATGGGGGTGATGGGGGTGATGCGATGGGGGTGATGGGGGTGATGTGGGTGATGGGGGTGATGGGGGTGAGTGATGTGATGGGGGTGATGTAAGTGATGGGGGTGATGAGGGTGATGGGGGTGATGGGGGTGATGAGGGTGATGGGGGTGATGGGGGTGATGGGTGATGGGGGGTGATGTGATGGGGGTGATGCGATGGGGGTGATGGGGGTGATGTGATGTAATGGGGGTGATGGCGATGATGGGGGTGATGGGGAAAATGGGGGTGATATGATGTGATGAGGGTGATGGGGGTGATGGGGGTGAAGGGGGTGATGTGATGTGATGGGGGTGACGGGGGTGATGTGATGTGATGGGGGTGATGGGGGTGATGGGTGATGGGGTTGATGTGACGGGGGTGATAGGGGTGATGCGATGGGGGTGATGGGGGTGAAGGGGGTGATGTGATGTGATAGGGGTGATGAGGGTGATGGGGGTCATGGGGGTGATGTGATGTGATGGGGGTGATGGGGGTGATGGGGGTGATGGGGATGACGGGGGTGACGGGGGTGATGGGGGTGATGGGGGTGATGGGTGATGGGGTTGATGTGACGGGGGTGATAGGGGTGATGCGATGGGGGTGATGGGGGTGAAGGGGGTGATGTGATGTGATAGGGGTGATGAGGGTGATGGGGGTCATGGGGGTGATGTGATGTGATGGGGGTGATGGGGGTGATGGGGATGACGGGGGTGACGGGGGTGATGGGGGTGGGGGGGATTGATATCAGAGGCGTCTCATCGAGAGAAAGGCCTTTAGCTGCTGGTTGAAGTGATTGGAGCTCAGGTCGCTGTGTGTTGGGGGGGCGATGGAAGGGAAGGGAAGTAAGTACTTGTGTCCTGTGGTGCCTCGGGAGAGACAGCTGAGACTTGTTGAAGAGGTGTGGTGGAGGGGAGGATGGATGGATGGATGGATGGATGGATGGATGGATGGATGGATGGATGGATGGATGGATGGATGGATGGATGGATGGATGGATGGATGGATGGATGGATGGATGGATGGATGGATGGATGGATGGATGGATGGATGGATGGATGGATGGATGGATGGATGGATGGATGGATGGATGGATGGATGGATGGATGGATGGATGGATGGATGGATGGATGGATGGATGGATGGATGGATGGATGGATGGATGGATGGATGGATGGATGGATGGATGGATGGATGGATGGATGGATGGATGGATGGATGGATGGATGGATGGAAGGACGGACGGACGGACGGACGGACGGATGGACGGACGGACGGACGGACGGACAGATGGATGGATGGATGGATGGATGGATGGATGGATGGATGGATGGATGGACGGACGGACGGACGGACGGACGGATGGATGGATGGATGGATGGATGGATGGATGGATGGAAGTTAGAAAGCGATGCAAGGAACCGTGGCACTGGAGGAGTGGGAAGGGATAATAATTAATCTGAAAAAGGGCTGGGAAGTGGGAAGCGGAAGGTGGGCACTGGTGAGGTGACGTGGGGAAGTGGGGGGGAGGGAACATGGTGAGAGGGAGTGACAAGGCCATACAGGGAAGTGAGGGTTGGGAGTACAGTGATGAAGGAGGGTAGGTTTGAGGTAGAGTAGCAAGGATTTTAAGACGTCTCAACAGTCCTCAAAACTAGAGAGGCAAGGCCGTACAGGGAAGCGAGGGTTGCGATTGCGAGTGAGGGTTGGGAGTGCAGCGATTGGATGAGGGTTACTATTGAGGCACCTCAAAACTGGAGGGTACTTTCAAGGCGCCTCATAACCAGAGTGACAAGGCCATACAGGGAGGTGAGGGTTGGGAGTGCAGCGATGGATGAGGGGAGCGATCCAGAGAGGCCTTGTGTTCGCAGAGTGCTGTTGAGGGGGAAATGGGGGGGGAAGAGTGGGCGGGAAAGGGGAGGGACGCAGGGGAGGGGACAGAACAAAGCAAAGGGAGAATAAGAGAAGGGAGGGGAGAGATGGAGGAGTGGAGTGCAGTGATGAGTGAAGATGAAGCAGAGGACATGTGGAGGACAACGGGAAAAGGAAAGCAGAGGAACAGATGCTACAGCCCACTCACATGCCTGCTACAGCCCACTACAGCCCACCACAGCCCACCACAGCCCACCGCAGCCCACCGCAGCCCACCACAGCCCACCGCAGCCCACCCCAGCCAACCACAGCCCACCACAGCCCATGACAGCCCACTCACATGCTTGTGACAGCCCCAGTGTCGGAGCATTTGACGCCAGCCCAGTAAGGGGAAGCCTGGGAGGATTCCTCCCCCGTACACTCCCCTGTGCCCGCCCATGTGGTGTCTGTCACTCCCAGAGATGACTTGAGCGCCAGCAGGACGGACACTGCATGGGAGGTGGGGTTAGGAGGAAGGTGAGGAACCAAATGAACTTCGGACTATGCACTCCCCCCCTGCACTCTCCCAGTCACATCAAGTCTGCACCCTTCCAGACCCCCCCCCCCCCCCCCCCCCCCCCCTCCCCCCGCACATGCCCATACCATGAATGGCGGCCACCGTCATTCCCCCCGTTCCCCAAATCACACATCCAGTCGGACTCACCGTGAGCTGGGAGAATCGTGACAGCCTCGCAGAACCGTGGCAGCAGCACAGCGCTCCCCCCGTTGGGACTGCTCAGCCCAGTCGTATCCGGGGTGCAACCCTCCAAATACCCCCGGCACATGCCCGTCGCCCAGGAGATTCCCCCGCAGAACACACACTTGGTAGAGGCCCGCTGGGTGGAAAGAGGGCAGGCAGTAGGGGGGCTGGTGAAGCAGTTGGCCTTGCACACGGTGGTTGGGACACCGGAAGGGAAGGAGCCGGTGAGGAGATTTCGCTCCACGCTGAAGTATTGGAGAGAGGGCGGGGGTGTTGGGACCGTGCCCACGAGGTAGTTGGAGAATAGACCTCTGCGGTGGGCGGGGGGAAGAGGAGGGGAGGAGGTAGGAGCATTGGAGAGAGGAGGGCGGTGTTGGGACCGTGCCTACAAGGTAGTTGGAATACCCCTGCGGTGGGAGGGGGGAGGGGGGAGGAGGAAAGGACGAGGAGGGGATTTGTTAGTCGACTAAAACCAGATCAGGGGGGGTGTTTGGACCGTGCTCACAAGGTAGTTAGTTGGAGCAGAGACCTCTGATATGGCAGGGACACATGCAGGCAGAGGGGATGGCTTGACGGTGAATGCACTCACACACACCCGTACACTCACACACACCCGTACACTCACACACACCCGTACACACACACACACACCCGTACACTCACACACACCCGTACACTCACACACACCCGTACACACACACACACCCGTACACTCACACACACCCGTACACACACACACACACCCGTACACACACACGCACCCGTACACTCACACACACCCGTACACTCACACACACCCGTACACTCACACACACCCGTACACTCACACACACCCGTACACTCACACACACCCGTACACTCACACACACCCGTACACACACACGCACCCGTACACGCCCCCGCAGGACGCAGAGAGTACCATGGAGATGGTACAGTGTTATGCACGCAAAGAACGTACGTACAGGTAGGTCAGGCGCGTGAGAGCGTGCTATGACGCCTCTGAAGCACGTACAGGTAGGTTAGGCGTGTGAGAGTGATGATAGACGTTGGGATGGTGCCATAGAACCAGTTGGCACAGAATCGCCTGCGGGGCGCACAGAGAAGCACAGAGAGGGGTTTACAATCGAGGCGCCTAACAAACGGATGTTGGGATGGTGCCATAGAACCAGTTGACACAGAATCGCCTGCAGAGAGGGGTGTAGAGAGGGTCGCACAGAGTGGCACACAGACAGAGGAGCCAAGGTAGTCAAAAGTTACGTGGCCATGGTGGTTGTAACCAGCCCAAGGCTTACACTAATCTAGAGAGCGAGAATACACGAGAAAAGAAAGCAAGGCTCACATTTCTTTGAGTTGCGGCATTTGCATGAGAGTGGCTGTCCAAGGCGTGAAGCTGGCGTGCAGCAGGTTGTAGCAGAGATTGCTGTGTGGAAGAGACGGGCAGGAAAGGGGAGGTTGAGGAAAAGGCAAGTGTCAATCTGACATGCAGCAGGTTGTGGCCGGGTTTTGAATCGACTTAAAACAAGAGGTGGGAGCTAAGATGGGGGAAGGGAGGGAGGTGGGAACGGACAGGGGGTGGCGGGAGGGGGAGAGGCGGGAAAAGGGGGGAGGCGGGGCGGAGAAAATGGGGAAGGAAGAGGCGGCTCACAGGTAAGTGAGCGCGGAGAGCTTGCTGATGTCTGTCGGCATGCTTCCCTTCAGCGACTGCATGTAGAAGTTCCTGGAAGGAGAGGGGGGGAGGGCAAGGGTTGAGGGCAGAACGAGCAGGAAGGGGGAACGGGGCGATGGTTAGTGGTGTTCACTTTAAGCAGATTTTATTCATAATGTAATGAGAACATAGCGTACATGTGACTTAAAAGTTCTGTGAGGGGGGTCGGATCAGATAGAGGGAAGCCTTAGTGGAGCGTTTGGTTTTGGTTAATTCTTGAGATTGCCGAAGTGGGGGGGAGCAACAAAAGAAGCATCAGAATCTGACACATGGGATCACAACAAGATTATAATTTGAATAAGAATCTTCAGTGATACACCAACGACGAGTATGAGCAGCGATATTGTGTTGGCTTGACTTATGTGGCTGGGACGCGGAAAAGGTGCTAGGGAATTTTACTGTAATCATTATTAATTCGGCAAGCATGGTCTACTGCGAATCCACCCCCCCCCCCCATACTCACAGGTAAGCGACGTTTCCGGATGCATCGCACTGCACTGCATCCCACTCATTGCCGTTCTTGGTCTGTTCAATCGGCGTGCACTGAGACGACGATGACTGCCAAGACGTTAGCGTCACACCCAGAACCGGCTTTATTGCGAGCAGCGCGTTCACTGCAGCGGGACAGGGGGACAGCGCATCGCGCGTACGGGAGTGGTGGGACCGTGAGCGTCGCAGCGAACGACAGAGGAAACCTCGGCTTCTCGTACTGTCATCTTCTGAGTCTGCACTGCACTGCTTCTGAGACGACTCAAAACTCGACGATATGCGGCAAATGAAAACGCCGGTCAGCTACAGCGGAGCTTCGTTTGATACAATATGCAGACTAAAAGATAATTACACAGATAAAAGCGGTGGACTTCCATTGTCAGTGGGCGACGGAGCGCGAACCCTAAATTCAACTCTGACAATCACTGCTGACCCACGTTCGACTCACATATGTGCGAGCTCAAAATCAGTGATCGTAATGGCAGGCAGAACCACCGCCATTTTCTTTAGGTCTCAGAAACAGGACGTTTTAAAACTAGTCACGCCGAGCTTGCTCTCGACTGACACGTGGAACGTGAGCTCGCAATTTGTAGTCGGCATGGTCGACGGAGCCACGAGGCAAATTTAGGAGCCATAGGGAGATCTTAGGAGCCATAGGGAGATTTTAGGAGCCATAGGGAGATTATAGGTTCCACTACGAAAGGTGACTTAAGGGTCACGCCCAACATACACTCGACTCACGCATGGAATGCGGGCTCACTGTGGTTCGCGGACATGGGGGCCGGAGCCATGGCCAATTTTTGAAACGTCTAAAAATGCTCACTTTCTGAGTTTTGAGGCGCCTCAAAACTCACTCTGTGTCGTTTCAGAAGCAGTCACGCCCAACCTACACTCGACTCAAGCATGGAATGCGAGCTCACTATCGTTCGAGGACATGGGGACCGGAGCCACGGCGCGCGCTACAGACGCCTCGAGGAGAAAGAACGCAAAAGCGATCACGACCGAGGATGCTGATGACGTGGAGACGCCAGCCATGGCGGATGCTGTTCGTTGTCGCATGTCGAGGTGCTGGAGGGGTTGCTGGCGGCTTCACTGCGTCACTGGAGCAGCAACTTCGTGTCTGTCTGCGTCCACGTCTACGTCTGCGTCCACGTTTACGTCTACGTCTACGACTACGTCTGCTTTTACGTCTGCTTCTGGGCCAATCTAGACTGTCGTGATGGAGCCGCGAGTACACTAATCGTCACCAGTCGTTCAAGACGCGAAACTCTCGCCGGCACGTTGCCATGGATTTGCTTGTACCATTTACTACAATAGACCTTTACGGACCAGGTGATAAATGCAAACTTCCTCTAAACCGATGCTTGAGTCAACACATCCTACGGTGATAAAAGCTAGTGGAACGCTAAGATCGGTCATGACGTCGCAATTCGCAAAATTACTTTCCCAGCACTAGCTAACCTAGCCGCATTCGCAAATCCTAAGCGGACACCGTAGCCACCCGTGCCACTTCAGCCCAGTCATTGATTGTGCTAGCGTAGCGATGTGACCAAAAGGACGGGATGGGAAGGACAGGATGGGCGGACAAGCAAGAAGCCATTCTTGCCAACAGCATCTACATTCCTGGCAGCTTCGTCTCATCTCCTTCATGGAACCACTTTCTTTTCTCCACTCCGCATACACCCAATTTTCCCTGTGTCGTGCCGTGCGTGTACACATCTGCTTGTAGCCCAGGGCGATCTGATCATACTGGCGGTGTTCGCCAGCACCTTTGAGATTGGAAGAAAATGGAAGGCATTGGACTGGCAATGGCATCAGGAAGCGGGGTCGGAGCCCTCCGAAAAGGTTTGGGCGAAATGCCACCCGCGAGCTTCCAGCCCCGACATGAGAAACTTCACAACCGCATATTGAACCCCACACCCCACCTTCCTCCGACAGCCAATTACATCGCCTATCCACGGCGGTCCACGTGAAATGGTGGATTGCCACGGGATGGCATGAGACGGGACGTTTGCCTGGGGAGGAAGTCGCGTCCCCATTTCCGAATGCCATGTTTCCTTCCGAAAATTGAGAAAAATGAGAGCGTTCGCCAGGCGCCGCAGATTGCTTTAGGCTCGGACGACATCCTAGCTTCGGCACGAATTTTACGGGCTGACCAGGCTGACGGCGCTTAACGAACCCTAACTGACGGGATCAGGAAGGCGTGACTGACCTTCCTGATCCCGTCGTTTTTGTTTTCAAAAGTGCTGGCGAACACCGCCCTGTAAAGGGAAGGTTGGGTTGGGATGTCGAAGCACACCACGGTGCACTTTTTTTCCCCAGTCGACCCCATTCACCCCACCAGTCCCCTCCCTCCCTCACCCGCCACCCCATCATTTGACCTTCGCTCGCCTCGCCTCGTTTCAAGTGTTCGCCCCTTTCCCCTCCCTCGCCGCACCCTTCCTACCTCACGCTGCTTCGCCTCTTCTCGCACAGAGACACACTCTCGCCTGACCTGCCCTGCCACTTTTTCCATTCTCCCTCCAAATCCGGTGCTTCCGGCTACACAAAGTAGTGGGAGAGGCGCCGTCAACCTGCCATTGGTGGCGTTTTGACAGACGCATCATCTGTCACCATAACCAGGGCCTGCTCTGTGGCCCCTACTCAGAGTTGACTGGGCTCGTGGCGGCTTCATTAACTCAACCCTCACACGTGTGTACGTTACAATCACACCATGCCATCCAACTCAGAGTTAGCAAATAAGGGTTCCAAATACGCAAAGTAACAATTCAGAGTGCACTCCGTAAGAAGCATGAAATGAATCTTCTTTCACAGGCAAACCAACTCAGAGTTAGTGCTTTCCCTCACTCGGACTTTTGGGTAGTTGGCTACACTACTCTGGGTACGGCTCGAGAAGGATTACCCCGACATTGCCCACATTTGGTTCTTTCCAACTAGTCCCCACGCTGTGTTGCGTGAAGTTGCAATTTTTTGCCCTATGGCTACCCTTTCGCACTTAATTTTCGGAAGGGTCAGCACTTCGGGTTGAGACAGAAATTTTTAGCCAGAGCAAGTTAGAGAGCCCCCACGAAACTTCTTTAACTCAGAGTTACGAGGGGCCACAGATCACCAAGGTAGGTTACAATCAAACATTCACCCGAGGACAATGATTCATTGTCGGTGTACTCACCCAAGCCTACACGGTCGGTAACTCAGAGTTAGCTGAAGGCGTGTGCAAAGTGCGCAAAAACTCGACGTCGAGCAACGTCGATGAATTTCCACCCTCGGATCATAGGTTCCAACCGTCAAGATTCACCGACGACCCTCGCCGTTCGTGACTGTCGCTCCTGACGGGATGGGGAGTTTTTACCAGCAAAAGGTAGGAGGTAACTCGATTTCAACATGACTGATTCGCATCGATCGTGTTTTGTTTTCGCAAATTCTGTACAGCCCTTGAAGCGATGTATCATGTAGACCAGCTCGTGTCTGGTCCGGGAAGTAGGTCCGTCGGACCAGAATTGTGGACCCGACATGCACAAATTAGCAACGCATCGGGGCGGACCAATGACATGAGACACTCTCTAAGCAACACCATAGTCCCCACCAGCCTGACCGCGTGTGTTTTTTTTTTCTCCCTGCCCCGCGCTTACTACAACGACATTCCAACGACACACCTGACCAATCAAGGACGTGACCGACTGATTCACTGTACACTGTAGCGATGCCCAACATCTGTGCAGCGTGGCCACTGGCAGCAGAACATCAACCCTGGTTCCTGACGGAGAACGTCAACATGACCGCTTCCTGCTTCGCAGTTGTGGTAACCAGAACAGATGTTTGGCTTCTCGGCTGTCCCTCCAGCTTCGGTACAGACGTTCTGGCTTAGAGGTCTTTCCTAAAAGAGTCCCATTTCCTCAACGAGTAGATTTTTCATAAGCCCTAGGTGTATCCCCTCCTCTACAGTCCTATTTTTGGCGGGAAATCTTGCATCTTGACTGAATCATTGCACGAATTCAGTTCTTCAGCCAATCAGAGGACGCAAATCGAACCTGTCAGAACATTAATAGAAAAATAAAAACGGAAGTTTTTATTAACTATTTAACTTTTGCAGTTGTGTTTGCCTGTTTATCTTGACCTCTCTTGCGTCTAAATCTTGTTGCGCGGTTCCCCACGAGTTTCGACGACACATCTCATTAATCTCGTTTACAGTGAAAAACAAAAATTGTTGTCTTTTATTTCGGCCTTAAACATAATTTATTTTGTATTTTCCTGCCCGTTTGTCCTGCGACACTGATCAACGCGGCGAACCGTGCGACGAGAAGTTGAAGACAGCGTAGTCCGAATGTACATATGTGACAGAAAAACACGAATATTTACGAAGGAAAATTGCTCTTCATGCAGCTTTCCTCATATGGGACTATAAGTTCACTTTTGCCCGGGGTTTGTGAGTTTTCCGCAAAGGCTCGCAGCGCGCGTGTTTTTCACGGTGACTCTAATCGAGAACATATCAGCCTCCGCTTGATACTGTACTCACCCAAATCTTGTGCAATCACACTCATTCTTGTAAGGTGTGCATTACGAAGTGCAAGCATTCGACATTCTGGAAGATCGTTTTTGGTCCTTCCGCCATTATTATAACACCTCGCTACCCACTGGGTCAAAACGAGGGTGTTGTTTGGCGCAGAGGAATGCCCATTAGCACTTAGCCCACGGGCGTCACAGCCATGTTTCCGAGCTGGACACAGCACACTGGTGCACCGCATACTGACCTGACTCATTCTACTCTCTGATAGTAACCTTCATATCGTACGATTCATTAATCAACACCGCTTCAGTCAGGAGCTCTGAGAGTCCCACATATTGTTATGCATATCACCAATCGCGTCCGACCAAGCGAAGGACCAGGTTCATTCTCACATAACCGCTAGATTGCTCCCTAGCCGTTAGTTCGTCGTTGCATCGGGCATAGCCTTCACATCTAGTCGTCGCACGCGCAATGCGACCACTGCGACGCTCATCGCGAAATCGCAGCGGCGCGTCGGCTGGCGTCCCGTCGTCGGCGAGCCCGCTGTTGACGGCGGCATGGCTCCTCGCAGCGGCATTTCTGTGGACCTCCGGCGCTCGCGCGCAGGGAGTCGCGGTGGACTCGGCCGACTGTGAGTCCGCCCCTCCCCATCTATGCGGCATAGCCACGTCTAGCTAAACAAAAATGAGGGTTGGCCCGCGCAGGGAATCGCGGAGGACCCATTCGCCTATAAGACCGTTCCGGGATGACGTTCCTGGTGCCGGCGAGGCGCCCTAAGATATGATACTGGTCGGCCCCTGAATGTATCCCGCTCGCCCCTCGCAGGGACGACGCTGGTGGCGCTGCGGGACGGCATGTCGTTTCTGGTGCCGGCGAGGCGCCCACCCAAACACTACTGGACGGCTCCTGACAGCTCCCCCTTCAGCCGTCACCCCTCTCTGTGCCCCGGCCCCCCTCCCCTTCTCTCCCTTCCCCACTTCTTAACAGGGACGACGCTGGTCGCGCTGCGGGACGACATGTCGTTTCTGGTGCCCACGAGGAGTCCCAAGGTCTACTGGACGGCGCCTGACAGCTGCGACAGCCTGTTTGGCGTCATGTGTGACGGGGACGGCAACGTAGTCTCCCTGTGAGTTCTTCTCTCTCTAAGGCAACCGTGTGCGATCGGGAGTACGAGTGTGTGACGCGTGATGGTTGCCTGAGTGCTGGGAGCTGCGACAGCCTGTTTGGCGTCATGTGCGACGGGGACGGCAACGTCGTTTCGACTGTGAGTTCTCCTCTCTTCGGGGCACCCATGTGAGTTCTCCTCTCTTCGGGGCACCCATGTGAGTTCTCCTCTCTTCGGGGCACCCATGTGTGAGCGTGGGTGTCTGAAGTGTGATGGACGAGTGAGTGAGTGCATATGACGTGATTAACCCATGATAACAGTGCAAGAAACCCCTGTCTGTGCCGCATTTTGCTCTGCTCCCAGACTCGACTATTCATTCGCCTTGAAACTCCTGTCCGCCTCCGCCCCTTCTCGCTCTGCGTTCTTGCGTCATGCTGTGCTGTGCTGGCCGCTGTGCTGTGCGGTGCTGTGCTGCTCTGTGCGGTGTTGCTGCTGCCAGGGTGATGACGGGAGCCAATGGACCGCTGCCAGCTGTTATCGGAAATTTCCCCTACCTCTATTCGCTGTAACAACCCTTCTCCTCGTCCCTACCTCCTTCCCCCGCCTTGCTTACCCAAATCCCATCTTTCCCCACCTTCCTTGCCCAAACCCCATCTCCACCTTCCTCTGCTCTCTCCCCCTTTACCTGACCTATCTCTCTCTTTCTCTCTCTCTCTCCTACCCTCAGTCAACCTTCCTCAAACCCGAACCCCCCTCTTCTTCTCTCTTGCTCGCCTTCACTCCAACACTCATTCTCTCCCCCCCCCCCCCTGTTCCCACCCACTCCGCACATATCTCTACCGCATTGCACCTTTGTGATAACTCTCCTCACCGCTCCAAGGCAATTCTCATGTGTCTCATGTGCCCCATGTCTCATAACGTACCATGGCGGGTAGAGATGAGTCTCATCTACTCTACACCTCCCCCACACCCCCTCCCTCTCACCTCACGAGTCACCACTACCACCACCCCTCTGTCCTTTTTTCCCCTTCCCCTCGCCCCTCTTCCCCTTCTCCTATCCCATCCCCCCCACCTCGCCTCTCCCTCTCACCCCCCCAGTTCTATCTCAGGGAATCTCACCTCCCTGCCTGTTGAGCTCAGCAGCCTCTCCCTTCTCACTGTTCTGTAAGCCTCTCAACCGGCTCACAGTGCTGTAAGCTGACTTCCCTCGTATCTCGATGCCTTATTGTTGCACCCCTCGTTGCCTTGCTGTGCCTTGAAGCTTTCTTTTCATCCAGCGTCCTTCTCTCATCCAGTTTCGTCCATCCCTCCATCCATCCATCCATCCATCCAACCATCCATCCATCATCCATCCATCCATCCATCCATCCATCCATCCATCCATCCATCCATCCATCCATCCATCCAACCATCCATCCATCCATCCATCCATCCATCCATCCATCCATCCATCCATCCATCCATCCATCCATCCATCCATCCATCCATCCATCCATCCATCCATCCATCCATCCATCCATCCATCCATCCATCCATCCATCCATCCACCTTCCCAATGCCCCCATCACACTCCCTCTCTCTCATCACCCTCCCATCGTCCACTCGAAGGCACCTGTCTCGGAACAACATAACAGGCCCTTTCCCAGCGTCCATCCTCGCTCTCAGGAAGCTCAGATCACTGTACGTCTGTGTGAGACACGCATCTTGTCACTATCGAGAATTCTCAAAAGTGATTTCCATATTCTGTCATGGGAGACTTTCCACCCCAGCCCATTGCGACCATAACTGGCATCTTGACATGTCATCGGCGCAGTCTCGTCTCCCATGCGCCCATCACCCTCCCACGTCTCTAGCCACTGACCTGGTGCAATCTCTCTCTCATGCCACTGTCCTCTTTCCACCCCATCCTGTTGCCCACACCCATCGCCCGCCCACTCCCTTCGTCCACTCTCTCATTGTGCCTTCCCATGGCCCATGACCCCCATGCCCCCGTTACCCGCTCGCAGCAACCTAGAGTTGAACCAGCTGTCTGGCAGCCTTCCCTCCGGCATATCTGCCCTCTCCTCCCTCAGCGACCTGTGAGTCACGCACTGTGTGATGCAGTTGGCACTGCACTGCAGTGTACTGCTCTGGATGCATGCTCGCATGCATTGGTTGTGATGCGTGCTTTGCAATGCACTGGCCAGGATTTAGGGTTTAGGGTTGTGAGTGGCCATGCAACCACGATGCGTGCTTTGCAATGCGCTGCCCAGGATTCGACCAGGAATCGACCCCGATCCGATCCATCCCTCCCACCCACCCACCGTGCATGGCATGGCATGGCATGGCATGGCAGGCGGCTGGACTCCAACCAATTCACCGGATCCATCCCTTCAACCATTGGCAAACTCTCCAACCTCACTCTCATGTAGACCCCTCCCCCATCACCCTCACTCCCTTCCAAATCCCTCCCTCTCCACCCTCACTCTCCTGTTGTATAGCCTGAAATCCTACTAGCCTCATTTTCAGGTGCGGACTTTTCTAGTCCCACTCACGTATTCACACGCGCGCTTACGAGTTCATCTCACATACTATCCACCACTATCAGCTCGTTTTTTTTGGGGCGTCAGTTACCTTTTCTAGTCTCTCTTTTACCTGTATTATCCACCATCACCGGTTGACTAGCTGCACACACACATGCCACACACACATGCCGCTCAGACCTCCCGCCCTCCCATTCACCTTCACCTGTTTTGGTCCTGCTTCTCCTGCTCCCCCTTCTCTTCTGCTTGTTCGTTCCTCCGCCCTCCCCTTACCCCTCTCCTCAGGGCACTCTCGTCTAACAAGGTGACCATGGGCATTCTCCCTGCCATTTCGACCCTAACTCTCCTCGGATTTCTCTCCCCCCCCTCCCTCTCCTCCCCTTTTCTCTTCAGGTCGCTCTCGTCCAATCAGGTGACGGGCGCCATTCCACCTGCCATTTCGACCCTCAAACTTTTGAGAACCCTGTGAGGCGCGAGGCAGGGAGGAGAGGGGGATGGGGGGATGGGAGAGGAGAGGGATGGGAGAGGAGAGGGATGGGAGAGGAGAGGGATGGGAGGAGCGAGGGATTGGAGGAGCGAGGGATTGGAGGAGCGATGGATGGGAGATGATTGGGATGGGAGAAGGGAGGATGGGAGGGACACAACGCATGTAATCCCCTTCTCCCCCCTCCATGCAAAGCCACCACAGCAATATGCAGCACAACAAGCTCTCAGGCTCCGTCCCCCTGTTTCCCCCTCACCAAGTTCCTCCCTTTCCTCGCCTTCTCCCCCGATCCCCCATGCCATGCCTTGGCAGCAATATGCAGCGCAACAAGCTAACAGGCTCCATCCCTTCTCAGACCAGCACTCTCACCCGCCTGCAACGCCTGTACGTCTCACTCAACCCCTCTAGTAACCCGCCTTTGATAGCCCTCCTTTGTATCCCTCCACCTCTTCTTGGTAGACCAGCACTCTAACCCGCCTGCAACACCTGTACGTCTCACTCAACCCCTCTAGTAACCCGCCTTTGATAGCCCTCCTTTGTATCCCTCCACCTCTTCTTGGTAGACCAGCACTCTAACCCGCCTGCAACACCTGTACGTCTCACTCAACCCCTCTAGTAACCCGCCTTTGATAGCCCTCCTTTGTATCCCTCCACCTCTTCTTGGTAGACCAGCACTCTCACCCGCCTGCAACACCTGTACGTCTCACTCAACCCCTCTAGTAACCCGCCTTTGATAGCCCTCCTTTGTATCCCTCCACCTCTTCTTGGTAGACCAGCACTCTAACCCGCCTGCAACACCTGTACGTCTCACTCAACCCCTCTAGTAACCCGCCTTTGATAGCCCTCCTCTGTATCCCTCCACCTCTTCTTGGTAGACCAGCACTCTCACCCGCCTGCAACACCTGTACGTCTCACTCAACCCCTCTAGTAACCCGCCTTTGATAGCCCTCCTCTGTATCCCTCCACCTCTTCTTGGTAGACCAGCACTCTCACCCGCCTGCAACACCTGTACGTCTCACTCAACCCCTCTAGTAACCCGCCTTTGATAGCCCTCCTCTGTATCCCTCCACCTCTTCTTGGTAGACCAGCACTCTCACCCGCCTGCAACGCCTGTACGTGACGTCGCACCTCACAGCCCCTCCATCTCCTTTTCTCCAAGACAAACGGCCTTCTTGACTAACCCTAGTAGCTACCTCTCTTCTCTAAAGCAACTAGCGAATGAAAGGAGGTAGGTAGCAGCAAGCTCTGAACTAGCCCTCTTGTAAAACTCTTTTCATTGCCTTGCAAGTTGCATCAACCATAGCTCCCCATCGCCCTCCTCCCCACTGCATCACGGCCCCACTGGCCCGCTACCTCACAGCCTAACTGCCCTACTGCGTGCGTGCCCCATACCCCAGGTACCTCAATCGCAACACCCTCTCAGGCTCCCTCCCTGCAACCATCAAGTCGCTTAGAAAACCCAACTTCCTCCCCATCCACTGCCTCACTGCCACATTCCCCGCCTCCCAATGCCCCAACGCACCACTGCCCCCGCAGGTACCTCAATCGCAACACCCTCTCAGGCTCCCTCCCTGCAGCAATCAAGGCGCTTGGAAATCGCAACCTCCTCCCCACCCGTTTCCCCACTGCCTCATTGCCTCACTTCCTCACTACCCCACAGGCACCTCAATCGCAACACGCTCTCAGGCTCCCTCCCTGCAACCATCAAGGCCCTCACCGCCCTGCGCATGCTGTAAGCCTTTTGAGTCGACTCAAAAGTCATCAAGGCCCTCACCGCCCTGCGCATGCTGTAAGCCCCTCTCCCAACCTTTCTCCTCTTCTGTGTGTAAGTAGACGACTTTTGAGACGTCTCAAAAGGCGCATGCTGTAAGCCCCTATCCCAACCTTTCTCCTCTTCTCCCTTTCCAAGCTATCTTCTCCCAACCTCTCCCCTCTCCTCCCTTCCCAACTTCTCCTGTCCTGTCTCCTCCCTTACCCTCCTGTACCCTCCCGTACCCTAAAACTCAAACGAATATGTGTTTCTGAGGTTCCAAAAAAACTCCTTCCGCCCCCCCATCCCCCCTTCTCCGCTTCCCCCCATCCCCCCACCCTCCCTTCCCCCCATCCCCCCTTCCTCCTGCAAACCCCCAATCACCCACGAGCCTCATCAATCACATCACCATGATCCACTCGTCTTAACATCCACCCCTCCACCCCCCTCCACCCGCCTCCACCCACCTCCACCGCTCTCCACCACCCCCCGTCTCCCCTTCCAATCCTTCCAACACCCACTCTTCCACCCTCCTCCCCTGCCTCCATCGCCCCCTCCTCCCGTTGCCCGTCAGTCTCTTCAACTAGAACACCATTAACGGCCGGCTCTCTCCCTGCCTCCATCGCCTCCCGTTCTCTCTTTTACACCCCCACCCCCCCCCCATCCTCCTTTCTCCCCGTTCCCCCCTTTCCCTGTTGTGAACCCTCTGAACCCCCCTCAATCTCTCTGACAACAACACCATCAGCGGCTCTCTCCCCGCCTCCATAGGGGCCCTGCCCTCTCTTCCCCCTTCCATCCCCCCTCCAGCATTAACACCTGCCTACTCTTCCATCCCTCCCCATTCCCCCCTCCAGTGTCTTTGACTACAACGCCATTAGCGGCTCTCTCCCCGCCTCCATAGGGGCCCTGCCCTCGCTCGTCTACCTGTATGCTCTAATCCAGCTACCTGCCTTCTCTTTTTCATTCAACCGACTCGCATTTTATTCGTCTCAGGAGTGACTCAGGTTTTTCTCCACTGCTTTGCTTCTCTACCTGTGTGTTCGGCTCATCTATGTGTAATGAGTCGTGGTTTGAGCCGACTCAAAGCACAGTATTTGCTCCAATCCAATGCTTTCCTTCTCTTGTGTACCCTCAGTGTGTTAGGCCCATCCATCCATCCTTGCATGGCCCCCTGCTCTCCCCTCCCTCTTCTACCTCTATATTCATAAGCTTAGCTTTGTATGGTATCCATCATCTTTGTTTTGAGACGTCTCAGAACAAACCCTTTTATCACGACACCTTTGTACTTGTGTCCCTTTGCTCTGCCCATGCACCTCCCTTGACTCCCTTGTCCACACTCTCTCCTAAAACTGTGTTGCCTCGTCTCACTCCCTCCCTTCCACTGCTTAAACCCCACTTCCTCCCTCCCGTAACCCGTTGTCTACATCACATCACTATCATCAACACCACCACCACCATCACCACCATCAGGAGTGGCAGCAACAACAAGCTGACTGGTGCCATACCTTGTTCACATTCCCCTCATAGACCTGCCTTGCATCCTCTCACTCTCTCCCTTCCACTGTCCCTCTCATCACCACCACCACCACCATCATCACCATCAGGAGTGGCAGCAAAAACAAGCTAACTGGTGCCATCCCGTCTGTCATTGGAGCTCTTTCAAAACTCACTTACCTGTTAGTGTCACATACCTGTTAGTGTCACATACCTGTTAATGTCTCATACCTGTTAGTGTGTCCCTGTGTCGCATACCTGTTAGTGTGTCGCATACCTGTTAGTGTGTCGCATACCTGTTAGTGTGTCGCATACCTGTTAGTGTGTCGCACACCTAAATGCATCACATAACTGGTGCTAGAAAACCTATCATTTTCGTATACCATCCTATCCTTTCCCTCCATCCCTTTTTTGCCTGTGCTGCTTTTCTCTCACCCTCCCTTCCTTCCCTTCGTTACACCACCATTATTTCACTTAATCTCAACATTTTCGAATCAAAATCCCCGCACCAGAAAATCCCCTTAATCCTATTCATTCCTTTCTCCCCCTTCGCCTCTAAACTCTCCCTTCCTCACTCTTCGTTTCCACTCCTGTGCACCTCTCCAAACTGCAGAGCACTCGACCGCAATTCTCTTTCAGGTGCATTCCCTTCAGCGCTCTCCAAACTCAGCTACCTTCAAACCGTGTACGTCCGTGACTGCATGGGCAGTGCATGCATGGGCAGTGCACGCATGGGCAGTGCATGCATGGGCAGTGCATGCATGGGCAGTGCATGCATGGGCAGTGCATGCATGGGCAGTGCACGCATGGGCAGTGCATGCATGGGCAGTGCACGCATGGGCAGTGCATGCATGGGCAGTGCATGCATGGGCAGTGCATGCATGGGCAGTGCATGCATGGGCAGTGCATGCATGGGCAGTGCATGCATGGGCAGTGCATGCATGGGCAGTGCATGCATGGGCAGTGCATGCATGGGCAGTGCATGCATGGGCAGTGCATGCATGGGCAGTGCATGCATGGGCAGTACATGCATGGGCAGTGCACACAAGCATGCATGTGGATTTCCTTTGAAGTGGTACCTACCCCTAATCCCTCTCGCGACGCTCCCTCCCTTGCAAACCTCACTTCCTTTCTTCTCCATGCACTCCTCCCCACGCCCACTTGCTTTCCCCTCCCGAGTTGACTTTTCAGGCGCCTCAAAAGTGCTTTCCCCTCCCCTCTCCCCGTGTGACATTATACTGAGCTGACTTTTGAGTCGACTCAAAACACTCCTCCCCACGCCCACTTGCTTTCCCCTCCCGTCTCCCCCATACCTCCCCCCTAACTCCTCACCCCTTCCTCCCTTCTCCACCCTCCACCCTCCCGCTTTCCTCGTCCCCATCCCCTCCCCTCTACCGCAGCTCCCTCGATCGCAACAACATCACTGGCTCACTCCTCGTGGGGCTGTCCCAGCTCTCATACCCATTTCCTTCCAATGTACTCCTTCCCCCTCTCCCCTTCTTCCCCTTCCCCACCCCACCTCTCCTCCCTCCCCCCCCCACCAGCTCCCTCTATCGCAACAACATCACTGGGTCGCTCCCTGTGGGGCTGTCTCAGCTCTCATACCTATTTGACCTGTGAGGAGAAAGGGGGGTATGAGGTGGGGTTAGGAAGCGGTGGGAGGGTAAGGAACCCCGTGGGGCTGTCGCACCTCTCATACCTCTTTGACCTGTGAGCAGTTGGGAAATGGGGGCGGGCGGTGTGAGGTTGGGAACCTCTTGACTTCTGTGTGTGATGGGGAGAGGGTAGTTGGGGGGGGGGGGGGGGGGGGGGGGGGAGAGGATTTTTAAGTTCATGCCATGTGTGTTGAAATCACTTTTTGAGAATTTTCAAAATGTGTGTTGTGCATGTGGGTTGTGCATGTGTGTTGTGCGTGTGTGTTGTGCATGTGTGTTGTGCATGTGTGTTGTGCATGTGTGTTGTGCGTGTGTGTTGTGTGCATGTGTGTTGTGCATGTGTGTTGTGCATGTGTGTTGTGCATGTGTGTTGTGCGTGTGTGTTGTGTGCATGTGTGTTGTGCATGTGTGTTGTGTGCGTGTGTGTTGTGAATGTAGTTCCACTAGCCTTTTGAGAAACTTAACTCTCTCCTCCTCCACCCCCGTGTCATACCACAGAGCTGACTTTTGAGTCGACTCAAAAGTCAACTCTCTCCTCCTACACCCCCGTGTCATACCACAATCTCACGAGCACCATCCGCTCACGAGCACCATCCGCTCACGAGCACCATCCGCTCACGAGCACCATCCGCTCACGAGCACCATCCGCTCATGAGCACCATCCGCTCACGAGCACCATCCGCTCACGAGCACCATCCGCTCACGAGCACCATCCGCTCACGAGCACCATCCGCTCACGAGCACCATCCGCTCACGAGCACCATCCGCTCACGAGCACCATCCGCTCACGAGCACCATCCGCTCACGAGCACCATCCGCTCACGAGCACCATCCGCTCACGAGCACCATCCGCTCACGAGCACCATCCGCTCTTTCTTCTCCTCTCATATCGCTCTCCAATCTGTCTCCCCTCCATCTCCGCCTGGCACCCCTTGCCTTACCCCCACCCCACGCAGTGACATGTCATACAACAAGCTGACGGGCACCATCCCCGCCTTCTGTTCTTCTCACTTGCTTCTCCTCTTGTCTTCCCTTCATCCTCCCTTCCCTTCCCCTCTCCCAACCCAGCGAATTGTCATACAACAAGCTCACGGGCACCATCCCCGCCTTCTGCAACACTGACATGGCAGACCTCTCCATCCTGTCGGTGCCTTGCTCACTCACGCACTCACTCAGTTGCACCCCATATGCACCTCTGATCAGACATGGCAGACCTCTCCATCCTGTCAGTGCCTTACTCACTCACGCACTCACTCAGTTGCACCCCATATGCACCTCTGATCAGACATGGCAGACCTCTCCATCCTGTCAGTGCCTTACTCACTCACGCACTCACTCAGTTGCACCCCATATGCACCTCTGATCAGACATGGCAGACCTCTCCATCCTGTCAGTGCCTTCCTCACTCACGCACTCACTCAGTTGCACCCCATATGCACCTCTGATCAGACATGGCAGACCTCTCCATCCTGTCAGTGCCTTACTCACTCACGCACTCACTCAGTTGCACCCCATATGCACCTCTGATCAGACATGGCAGACCTCTCCATCCTGTCAGTACCTTTGAGAATGATTCTCAAAAATGATTCGGATCCTTACCTACTTTCCTCACGGCCCCCGTCAAGCCCCCTGCCACGTCCACACCTCTAATCTGACATGGTGAACCTCTCCATTCTGTCAGTCCCTTCTCTTCTTTTCTCCTCGCTCCGCACACACACTCTCCTATCAAGCACCCCGTCACGTCATACGTGCATTCCTCTAACCACACACACGTGGCAGACATCGCTTTCCTTCAGTCCCTTCTCTTCTTTTCTCCTCTCTCCACACACAAACTCTTCTATCAAACACCCCGCCACGTATGCCCCCCTGTAACCACACGTAGCAGACATCTCTTGTCAAGAGTAGACAGGTGGGCTGCAAAGGCCTTACTTCCATCAACTTAGGTAGTTATGTGCATTCAAAACAACACAACGAACTGACCTTTGAGTCGACTCAAAAGTCACCTCGTACAAAACAACGAAACGAACTGACTTCTGAGTCGACTCAAAAGTCACTTTATTCAAAACAACGAAACGAACCCCCGTGCGTGATAATGATGATGGACGCTTTTGAAAATTCTCAAAGTGCCTCTGTGTCCTATCAAGCACCCCGTCACGTCACGCGTGCATTCTTCTAACCACGTGGCAGACATCTCTTTCCCTCAGTCCCGTCTCTCTTCACCCACACTCCAAGGCTCGTCGTCAGTCTGATATTTCGAGACGTCCTCCCTTCCTTACTCTCAAAGGTCACCCCCCGGGTGATAAGTCGATTTTTTAGTCGACTCAAAAATCGACATCCTCCCTCCCTTACTCTCACAGGCCATCCCCACTTCAACATTTCCCTCGCCCTCCCTTCCCATCCCATGCTCCCCCTCCTTCCCATCCCATGCTCCCCCTCCTTCCCATCCCATGCTCCCCCTCCTTCCCATCCCATGCTCCCCCTCCTTCCCATCCCATGCTCCCCCTCCTTCCCATCCCATGCTCCCCCTCCTTCCCATCCCATGCTCCCCCTCCTTCCCATCCCATGCTCCCCTCCCTTCCCATCCCATGCTCCCCCTCCTTCCCATCCCATCCTCCCCCTCCTTCCCATCCCATGCTCCCCCTCCTTCCCTTCCTCGCGTTCCTCCTCTCCTCCTCGCGTCTCTCTCCCCTCTCCCACCCTCCCCCGCTCCTTCCTCTCAGGAGCCTCTACAACAATCTCCTCACGGGTTCTCTCCCCCTTGCCCCCACTGCCCCCACTGCCCCCACTGCCCCCACTGCTCCCCCTCCTCGTCTCCTCCCCACACCGTCCCGTGCCACCCTCTCAGGAGCCTCTCCAACAATCTCCTCACGGGTTCTCTCCCAGCCTCGCTCTCACTCTGCGCCTCCATTTACTCCCTGTAAGCTGCTCTGCTGCCCTCTCTTCCCCCTCTCCTCTCGCTCTGCGCCTCCATTTACTCCCTGTAAGCTGCTCTGCTGCCCTCTCTTCCCCCTCTCCTCTCGCTCTGCGCCTCCATTTACTCCCTGTAAGCTGCTCTGCTGCCCTCTCTTCCCCCTCTCCTCTCTCTCTGCGCCTCCATTTACTCCCTGTAAGCTGCTCTGCTGCCCTCTCTTCCCCCTCTCCTCTCTCTCTGCGCCTCCATTTACTCCCTGTAAGCTGCTCTGCTGCCCTCTCTTCCCCCTCTCCACTCGCTCTGCGCCTCCATTTACTCCCTGTAAGCTGCTCTGCTGCCCTCTGCACTCACTGCCCACGCTCCCCCTTTCACTTCCCCCTCTGCCCTCACTTCCCCCTCTCCTCTCGCTCTGCACCTCCATTCACTCCCTGTAACCTGCTCCACAACCACTGCACGCTTGGCCATGCAGGGTTTACATGCTCTACTACCCCTTCCCCTACCCTTTTTGACCTGTTCTGCTTGCCATAAAGCTGTCTCAACTCGTCAGTCCCCGAGGCGAGGGTGATGTGACGTTAGCTCCTCCCTCGCCTCCTTGCACTAGAATCGAGGTGGTTTTTGAGGCGCTTAAAAAACCACCTCAATGCCCGAGGGTGATGTGACGTTACCTCCTCCATCGCCTCCTTGCACTAGAACCGTTCAGAACGTCTCCCATGTTTGCTCAAGTTCTCATTCGTCTTATTCTCCTCGTCCCGTCCCGCCCTGCAGTGCAGGGACGTCAGTGGAAACTACTTCAACAGCAACCCACCCACTCTCATCACCAACCCTCGTGCTTTCCCCGTCTTCCATCTTCTCCTCTTGCCTCTGCCTACCCCTCTCATCCCGCCCTGCCCTGCAGGACGTCAGTGGTAACTACTTTCAACAGCAACCCACCCCACCCATCCACCCTCATGCACTCCATCTCTTTTTTCCCACCCCCTTCTCCTACCAAACTCACTCCCATCCCATCCTCCCTACAACCCTGTCTCTTTCACCCGCCTCCGCCCTGCACGGACGTGAGCCGCAACTATTTCACAACAACCCCGCCTCTCTCATCACCAACCCTCATGTTTTCCTCCGTGTTCCGCAATATCCTCCTCTGTATCTACCTCCCCCTTTCCCACCCCACCCATCCGCCCTGCAGGGACGTGAGCGGCAACTATTGCAACAACAATCCCGCCACTCTTATCACCAACCCTTCCACACGCTTTCAACTCTTTCTCCTGCTGCACTTGCTCCCCTACCCCTACCCCTACTCCACCCATCTCCTGCAGGGACGTGAGCGGCAACTATTTCAACAACAATCCTGCCTCTCTCATTGCCAGCATGACCTCGCTGGCCTATCTGTACGTCTGATGTTCAGCCTCTCATGCAATAGAATAGCTCTCTGCTTATTCGTGCAACAGCGACCCTGCCAGACTATATCCGCCAGCAAATCCACTGCTATCATCAACAACTTGCCTTCACTCATCTATCCGTCCATCTAACATTTGAGTCGACTCAAAACCGCGTGTAATGAGCATCATCTATGTCGATTTTTTGGCCGACCCAAAGAACAGCAACCCTGCCTGCCACTATGTCCGGCAGCACACCCACCGCTATCATCAACAACCTGCCTTCGCTCGCCTATCTGTGCATCTGATATCTTGGGAACTCTTTGCTCTCTTCTCTCAACCTAGAATATCTCACTGTCATGTCCACTTAGCCTCTCCCTCACTCCAACTTCTCCCTCCAACTTCTCCCTCCAACTTCTCCCTCCAACCTCTCCCTCCAACCTCTCAACCTCCTTTGTACTCAATCCAGCATATCCTGCTCTCCTTCACTCCCCGATCTTTTTCTCACTCCTCATTCCCTCCCATGCCCCATCCCCCATCCTCCTCTCCCCTCCCCCTGCCAGCAACCTATCGCGCAACTACTTCACGGGTCCCCTCCCATCGCTCCCCTCGGCCTCCGCAGTCCTCTCTCTCGACCTCTCCTCCAACTATTTCTTCGGTCGTGGCAACGCGTACGACACTGCCAGCAGCCCCATCTGCCCTTCCGCAACAGTCCCTGTCAGCACCACCAACAACTGCCTCTCCTACCTCACCTCCCCTCCTTGCACCGACCCTAGCTATCCCCCGGACCAGCCGCAGCGTCCTGTATATCAGTGCCAAGCCTTCTGCCGGACCAACTTCTCAGGTTCGGACATCGCGGCCGTGAACGAGCAGTGTGGGTTCGGCGGAGGGGTGTGTATTGCCACGGCAACAGTCTCGGCGGCAGCGGGAACAGCTACAGTGCAGTTCAAGTGTAGCTGTAACACTACGTTCTATACCTTATCTACAGACAGCTTGACATGCATTCGAAAGCGTAAGTAGCTTCTCAGACTTCTCCTCTTGAGTGATTTTCACAATCGTGTTTCTCTTTTTGAGCGTCGTTTTCCCTTCTTTTTTTCCTTCGACCTTCTGAGGTGTGAGTCGTGTTTCTCAGCCTGACTCGCTCTGTTGCTTTGCTCTCACAGCTTCTCTTGGTCATGGCTCACTTCTATGTTTTGTTAAATGCATGCTCACCAAAGGTTCCCCCTTCTCTTCCCTTCCTCTCTCACATTGCCTTCCCCTCTCCGCCTCTTCCCTCGCTCTTTCCCTCCTCTCCCCCTCCGATTTTCTTCTCCTTTCCCTCTTCTTTCCCTCCTCTTCCCCTCCTCTCACCCTCCACCCCCATTCCTCTCTCCCATTGCCAAACTACAGCGGGTCCTCCTCCCCCCTCTCCTCCTCCCCAGCCTCCTTCCCCCCCACCTCCTCCCCCCTCTCCGCCTCCCAACCCGCCTCCTCCCCCTCCTCCCTCTCCGCCCCCTCCCTCGCCACCACCCCCATCGTCCTGGCAAGTGACTCGGTGGGAGTGTATAAACAAGGACCTTCAGGGCACCTGCAGTTGCAGCTGCTTATTTGGCAACCAGTGTTACTGCCCTGTCTAGAGCACGTGGTAACCAGCGTTACTCCTATCCCAAACTACAGAATGAGGTAGTTATGAGTGTTCGTACCCACTTTGGATAATCATTTTCCTTTCGTGCACATTGGTTTGCTACCAACTGAACAGCCCCTGCCTTTTCTGCTGATACTCATGATACAGCAGAAACCTGGTATGTTGTTAGTATCTGTATGAATGGTTGAATACTGTTTTCAGTACACCCATTCTTACCGTAGTTCACTCAATTTGTGTGTGATAGGGGTACACACAGGTCCACATGGTGTCTCTCAATACACCCTGTAATTTCAATGCAATAGCTTGACCCACCTTATACCTCAACATTTAGGGTGTGCTGTAGGTGCAGTTGAGTACAATATACAGCACAGACTTTCTTCACATGTTATTTGTTAAGGCAACCGTTGCTACCGGTACAACCACTACAGCTTCCAGAAACAGACTAGACTACAAGACAACATCGCATGCAGTGCATTGAAAGGGCATGGCAGGCGTGGCAGTCATGCTTGCCACATTCCATTCCACACACCTCCCCTCCTCCACCCCTCCTCCCTCCTCCTCCCTCCCATGCTGTCTTCCTCCTTGCCTTCCATCGTTCCCCACTTCCCTCCAGCTGCTGCCAGCCTGCAAATAGCATGCCATGCCACATGATGGCATGCCACACATGACACGCACATACCATGCCATGCCACGCGATGCCATGCCCACATAATGCCATGCCACACCATCCCATGCCACACGATGACATGCCACATGATGCCATGCCCACACGATGCTATGCGATGCAATGCCATGCCCACAGGATGCCATGCCAAAAAATGACATGCCATACCACGCGATGTCACACCATGACACGCCATAAATGACATGCCCACACCATGCCTCGCCACACCATGACATGCCATGGCACACTACATCACACAGTTTCACACAACACTGAATCTTACCAGACTAAATCATACTACACTCTATCATACCACATTGTATCATACTACACTGCATCACACCATACTGTTACATACAACAAAGCATCATCCCACATTGAATTGTACCACACTGTTTCATCCCATTGTATCGTACCGCACACTATCATACCACACTGAATCATACCACAATGAATCATACCACACTGGATCATACCACACTGAATCATACCACACCGTATCATACCACACTGTATTGTACTGCACTGTTTCTTACCACTGTATCATACCACACTAATTTATACAACACTGTATCATTCCACACTGCTTCATACCGTATCAAACTACACGATTTCAGACCACTCTGTATCATACCACATGGTATCATCCATACCACACTATAGTATAACACACTATTTCATACCACACTATCAAACCACACAGTGTCATACCACACAGTATCATACCACACTGTATTGGAGCACATTATATCATACCACACTCTACTATACCACAATGAATCATACCACACAAAATCATACCGTATTCTAATACACAATACCAGACCACTCTGTATCATACCGCACTCTATCATACCACAAATTATCATCCCACACTAATTCAAACCGTATCAAACTGCACGATACCACACCATTCTGGATCATACCTCATACCACACTGTATCATAGTGCACTCTATCATACCACTCTGTATCATATCACACCACAGTACATCATACCAAACTATATCAGACCACTCTGTACCATACTACACACATATCCACAGTGTAACATACCACACACGCTGTATCTTACCACACACACTGTATCATACCACACTATATCATACCAGACTAGATCATACCACACTGTGCCATACCATACAGAATCATGCCACACTCCACCAAGATAACCCCCCACCACCCCTTGCCCTTTTCCACCTTTACCTGCCAGCAGTAGGCGCAGCAGATAGCCCACTCCCCTTCAGAAACAGCACCCTCAAGGGATGTGACTTGCAAGGCGAGGTGTGGCAGTGAAAAATTGCTTCCAGCCCAAGACTCAAATCCCACCCCTGACGTGGCTAGAGCTGACGCGAACCAGAGCCGCCGGCTGGTCGGCTCTGACAGTGTCCATTAAGCCTTAAACGCCAGATTGGAAACCTGAGCACCGAGTCCCGTGCCGCACAAATTCCACCAACCACACCCCGATTCACAAGCCACAATTCCAAGGGATGCTGCCCCTAAAGAAGTGAACTGCCCACTCGCTCCCATGCTTCCCACCACCACCTCCCACACCCACCTCCCTTCACCCCATGCCTCCTTACCTCTACTTACCACAGCCGAGCAGGGCGCCATGATGCCTGAGGCTGCTGGGAAGTGGGGAGGTGAGGGTGGGGGATTACCAGAGGGCAGGGCTCCACTGTTCTCCAGGCAGGGTGCTGATGGGAGGGAAGGGAAAAGGTGAGTGAGAGGGTGGACTCCACTCTCCGCCCTTGCTCCAGTGCTCCCAATCTCAGGCTGCGGGGAAGAAACGGGGGAGAGAGAGGGGGGGGATCAGATCACCATATCTCACCTGGTACCATACCACACCTTTTACCACACCTCCCCACACCTTGACCTAGCCTAGCCTAGCCCCCCACCCCCCACTGCTGCTGCTGCTGCTGCTGCTGCTGCTGCTGCAGCAAATGCTGCTGCCGGTCTGCTACTCAGCTTCCTGCTACGGTCTTCGCTCGATGCCAAGTGACCTGGTAGCGGGCATAGAAAATGGAGAGGGGGGACAGGAGAGGAAGGGCAGGAGGAGGAACAGGTGAGTTGGCAGAAACAAGGAGCAGACTCAAGCTGACAGAAACGAGAATGGAAAAAACAAAGAGACAGCTGCAGCAGTTAGAGAACTAGAGGGAGGAGGGATGAGGCCAAGGAGGAGAGCTGACGCACCTTGAGAGGCCAAGCCCAACCCCATACTCTCCCTCGTGGCAGCAATTTGAGTCTGCTGCAGTGCTGCCTCCCATCCTATCCCCTCTGCACGGCTACTGGGGAGGGGCGTGGGGGAGGATCGGTGTTGACGCCTTCCATCTGCCAGGCAAGCAGGCAAGGGCGGGAGGAGAAGGGAGTGAGCTCAGGAAGAGGATTCAGGTGGAGTGTTGGTGGAGGGTGAATCACGGTGGGAGCATGGGATGGCATGGGATGGCATGGGATGGCATGTGATGTGAGACATGGTGCAGCGACAACACTCCCTCCACAAGAGCCAAGTACCAAACCTTCACCTTTCACCTGAACCATAACCTGAACCTTAACCTAACCGGAACCTGAACATTTCACCAAGGGGGGAGGCTCTGTGGAAGGGTGGTTGGCATGACGCAAGGAGGAAGGCGGCAGTGCAGGGGACGTTGGGATGTGTGGGCTGGAGGGCTGAAACAAGAGATTGAACTGAAAGAGAGACTGAGCGGACTAGAAACCAAAGGGCTGAGAGCTTATCTCTGTGTGGAGCGTCGGGGGTGCCTTGCTGCTGCACCTTTCTGCTGCCCCTTGCTACACGAGAGGCTTCGAGCCGGGCAGACAGGGGGGGATAGGGTGAGGATGGGGAGACGGAAGAGGGGAGGGGTTGGGAATGAGTGAAGGGAAGCTACGGAGGGCACAAGGGGGGGAAATGCGTGCATGTGCAGTGGGTGATGGTGAGAGCATGGGATGGCATGAGATGGTGCACGGTGCAGCGCCCTCCAGAGGAGCCAAGTACCAAAACCTGAACCACTGTGGGCAGCCATCGAGTGGGAGCGGAAATTTCTCACAAACGAGAGAACAGCATTGGCGGTATGGACTGCCACGAGCTGCGTTGGCAGCAGATGGACTCGCGTCGGGAGTTTTCACCGTCTTGGAGGATGCGCTCATTGGAGCGCGGGAGATCGCGGACGCGTTCGCCACGGAGGACGGCGTACCGCGCGGATGGGGGCTCACCCATACGAGGGCGACGAGGAGGAAGCCAGGGCGATCCGCATGCGAAGGCGGAGCCCAGGCCTCGTCCGTCTGGAAGTGATCCTTGGAATCTGGCAGGTGGCCAGCAAGGAGCGGGAGAAGGGCGTCATGACGACGCGGATATGACGGACTCGCCGGAATCAGCAAGGAAGGCTGACGACAAGGGAGATTGCGAAGGTGTCACCACTGCGCAGGGCGGCGGGGAACAACGCCTAGGCAGGGAGGAGGCAGATCTGCAGAATCGAGGTGCAGAAGAGCGTAATAGCGACGCGGAAACAGATCCTGCATTAGAGGGGACGTGTGAAGAAGGCAGAGTGAGGTGTCGAGGGAACACGGCGGCGGATTGCTCGCCGGACGACAGGCGCAAGGGAAGCACGAGGCGCCGCGAGAGCGCGGATGCAGCTGGTGCGACGGACGAAACAGATGGGAGTGGCGAAAGGCTTCATGCCAGCGGGGATGCAGCTGGTGCGACGGACGAAAACGAAATGGGTGGGAATGGCGCTAGGCGCCGCGGAGAAGAACGGGCGGATGCGAAAGAGGACGATCTGCAAAGCGATGGCAGAGATGGACGCGAAGAACGCGGATGTGTAATGGAAGAAGATCGTTCGGCGAACGAGATGCGCGGGGGTGGCGCGCGGCGCCACGAGGACATGGCAGCAGATCGCGCGCGAGAAGAGATGCGCGAGGGAAGTGCGAGGCGCCGCGGGAGCATGAATGCAGATCGTTCTGCTGGCGAAATGCGCGGGGGTGCGAGGCGCCGCGGGGGTGCGGATGCAGCCGGTTCGACTGACGGAATGCACGGGAATGACACAAGACGCTGCGGGAGCGCGGATGCAGACAGTTCGGCGGGCGAAATGCCTGAGAATGGCGCAAGGCGCCGCGGGAGCGCGGATGCGGATCGCTCGCCAGGCAGGCTGCGCGGAAGTAACGCGAGGCGCGGTGAAGGCAAGGAGACTGAGCGCGCGCCAGGAGCCAGCCGTGAGGAAGAAAGGAGGCGAGACGTGCAGGCGGGAGTGTATAGCTCGCCTGAGCCAAGACGCGGACATGAGCGCAGGAGGCGCATGGCGTTGGGCGGATGGCGATCACCAGAGCAAGGGGGAGAAGGAAGTGAGCACGCCCACGAGAGGAGGCGCGCGCGGCGCTCGCGTGCA